TTAAGGTATCTTTCCAGTTTAACTTACGTTGCCCTGATTAGAATAGTGACTACCGATTTACTTCTTCGCTAAAGGTTATAGCGGTGTTGGTTATGTTTTGGTTATGCATTATGGTTTCGCTAGACTGACCTCTTTGTCTGATCTTTGTCTTGACGATCTGGTGCCACTACATCTTTATCCAGTTCCACTACCGCCACGAAGGTAGTTAAGATAAAGGCGGGGGTCCCCCCCCTTAACTTATACTATAACGCCTTAACCGTATAAACGGTGCTACGTATAAAGGATACCTAGATAGAGTAAGCGATACTTTAGGTGCGATAAGTAGCCGAAGCGGCTATATAGCGTAGAAGACACGGGGGAGGGGTTAGGCCCTACCTAAGGTCTTAGGGGGTATAGAAGTAAGAGGTCGAGTCCTGGCTCCTTAGGAGGGAATTAGCCTAACGCCTTTAAGAGAAATAGGCGTACCGGTAGAAGCGTACCTTACTACGCTAATATAGTAGCGTGGCCGTAGCGTGGATACCCTAGTTCGACTACACGGCGCTTAGGAAGTATAAGGGCCTTATAAAACTATAGAGTTTTATCCTTACTTAGATTCGAACGGAGAAAATAGGCTTTCGCTATTTCCTCTTTATAAAAGGCGTACCGGAAGCGGCGATACTATATTACCGGTACGCCGATAAAGGGCCGGAGATAGCGGAATATATCGTGTTATAGTGCTAAGATATATTAGGGGAGATATAAGAGCGCCTCGCGGCTAATACGGGCGCGCGCCTACTAATAAAATAAGACTAGCTCTTAGCGCTCCGGAGTAAGGAGACCGCGGGGAAGGTCGTGAAGTGGTTCCTATAAACCGGGCGCCTCCCGGACTTCCGATTAGCACGAGAACTAGAAGCAGAGGCGTAGTAAAGCCCCCGTAGCGTTAGAACCTTGGATATAAATACGGGGAGGCGAAGACGATTATAAAAGGAGGTAAAGATAACTATAAAGGGAATAAGTAAAGGGAGAGTAAGATATTTATTAATAGCCGTTATACGACCGCGCTACGGGCGCGCTATATTTACTCCTTATCTATATACTCGTCGGACTTATCGTTATCGTCGTCGGAGCTAATTGTTTTACTATCTACTAGGACGATTTTATCCTTACCTTTACCCTTATCCTTAATAGCTAAGGCCGTAGAATCCCCTAATAAAGGGACGGGGATACCCTATAATACGCGTTAGTAGCGGGGTCGGCGCGGGGTTAGCGCGGGGTAACTTATAAGGTAGGCGAGGATAAGCTCTAATATCTCGCCGTTATAAGTGTAGCTACTACTATAGCTCTATAGGGGCGTAGTAGCGGGGGTAGTAACTATACTAGTACTATTAGCCCGGCGGAGGGCGGCGCGGTACGCCTAAAAGGTATAAGTCTAGCGGGTAGCCGCCTATTAATACTTCCGGATATTCTACGATAGAATTAGTAATAAGGATATAGCGTATACGGTACGACGGAGAAAGGAAAAAACCTATAAAGGGAGTCGGGGCGGCGTGGGCGGCGGCGATAGCGGCGATAAGGGCGGTAGCAGCGTTATTATAGGGGGGGGACCTAATAGGAGGATTAGAGGAGTAAGGGCATAACGGGGATAAACCGGGGCGTAGTGGCTATTACTACGATTACTATTAATATATTTAACGTAACGGGCGCCGGCTCCTAAGTAGGGTTAGTAAATATAGTATAGAGCGGGGGCGCCGCGGGGGTATAGCGGGAACGCGATAGGACTATATACTAGGAGGGTTCTAGCAGGGTACGGCCTAGTAGTCTTATACTAAGGATATAACGTATAAGGTATAGGGCGATAAGCGGACGGTAGGGGTAACGGCGGACTATACCGGGTTAGAATATAAAGCGGGGGTATAAAGCAGGCGCGACGATAATAGAGCGGGGAACTTATAGTGGAAGGCTAGGGGGTAGCCGGCCCTTTACCCTTATAGGCGCTAGCACCGGCTCCCCCTTTAGTGATAGAGGTCTTATTACTAAGTATCTAAAGGGGTTGGAGAGTTAGACCGAGGCGGGCGTTACGGGAGCGGAGCGGGGACGGCGCGAGGATAGCGTGACCCGGAACCCTGTTAGATCCCCTACTATATAACCGAATAGCACCAGGGATCCTGTACGGGAATTCTAGGGCCGTACCTATATTATACCGACCACGTAAAACTTACCTTAAGAACGATAGCTTAAAGGAGGAAAAAAGGAAAGGAGGAAAAGAGAGAAAGAGAGGGAGGGTTATAAGAAAAGGGAGCGGTAAATTAGCCTTACGAGTCACCACGCCTTCTAGGGAACAGTAGCCACGCCCGGCCTATACTATAGCGCCTACCCCGGAGAGCCTACGCAGCGCGAGTAAGGGAGGTATATAACTAAATAAGGGCCACTATAAATAACAGGTATATAAAGGAGGTTTTAGAGTAAATAATAAATAAAGGAAGGAGTAAGGGGGGGGTAGGCGTGCCCCCCCCCCTATAGAAGGGAGGGAGGGCATAAAAGGTGCCGCGGTAAGGGAAGAATAACCTCGCCGGATCCGGAATAAAGGAAAGGACGGCGGCGAGGGACCGTGGCGATAGCATACCAAGGGCGTATACGACTAACACGGCACCTACTAAACTAACTAGCCGACCCCTATTAGCTATTAGCCCGGAGGTAAGATCCGGTTTTCGAATAGCGATAAAAACGGGGCCGCGGAGCGATACTATAGCGGCCACGTATAATAGAACTACCTATATAATAAGAGCGCAGGGGTTTTTATCTATTAACGGCTTCCCCTCGAGAATTAGAGAAGGACTATTACCTAGGTGGCTAGCCTAGCTTAGCTAAGCGAGAACAGCGTAATAAATAATAATAATAATCCTTTAAGGTTTTTGTATTAGGATCTACGCGATAATCTTAGCCGAGTCTAATACCTTGTTATTACTCCGAAATTAGTTATCCTACTTTTATAATAATCACCCGATACCCTGCGCTTTAACTGTATATATAAAATAAATAGATTTAATATGCCTCTTCTAAGTATTTATAGCGTATCGCCTTTACGGAAGGCCTTCTAAATAGCGGTGGTTTTCTTAAATAAAGAGAAGGAAGGATAAAACCTTAGGCTTTACGGGCTTTTAAGGCTTTTCGCAGGACCTTTAATTCCCCCCCTCCACGTTATATTATCACCGACTAAGAGCTAGCCTTAATAAACGCCCTTAAACGCCTGCTAATCTTAAGTCGGGTTCCCTAAATCCTATATCTATAGCACGTTAATATAAACGTGCTAGCTAAGTCTAAAGGCTTTTTCCCTAAGCTAATAAAAACGACCTTTAGTATTCAACGGTATCCGAAGTTCTATACCTTCCTCGCGGACTAGAATTCCCTGATTAATAGCTCTTCGGAAGACGAATTTAATAAATAACTTAAGGTATTCTAATAAGATAGTAAGCACCCAAAAAACGCTATTAATTACACCCTAATAACCTGGATTACACTATTTAAAGAGAAGATTATTCGTTACTAGGTAAATCAGATTCCTAACTTTAGGTATATAATAATATCTATCGTGGAGTCAGGCTATATAAGCCTAAAGTCCTTTCTATACAGCTCTTTTAGCGATTTAGCTACTATTTTCCAGAAGCTACGGCTTTACTAGGAGTACTAGGAAAGAGAGATTTTAACCGAGAGGGCACGCCGATAGAATAAGGTGGATTTTACTAGCTTAATTATCCTTTTCTCCTTAGTTCGAGAAAAGGTTATTCCGTAGGCGCTTAAGGCGATCTAATAACAGGTTAAGTTACTACCTAAGCCTAAGAAGAATAACGATTAACTACCACGCCTAAAGGTAGCCTGCCTACCCTGCTTAATCCTTACCTCTTACGGGCTACCCTGCTAGTATATCCTATTTAGCTATTTACGAGATAATAAGCCGTTATAGTTACGGTCGATTAATCGGCACTAGTAGTAGAATAAGCCCTTAAACCCCGAGGCAGGTCCTTCACTAAAATAAGCCCTAGCTATGCCCTTAAACCTAGTAGTGATATAAGGTAAAGGTTAGCTAAAAGGAGCCGTTGCGATATCTTTAACTAATCGCGGCCGGGGCCGTGGTAAGATTAATACTAAGCGATTAGTATTAGCCTTTAAAATCGTAGCTTAAGAGGAGCGTTTAGGGGTAATAACTACGCCGCCTTTAACTATACCTCCAGTAATAAATACACCGCCTTTAATTACACCGCCTTTAATTACGCCGCCTTTAATTACGCCGCCTTTAATTACGCCGCCTTTAATTACGCCTTTAGTAATTACGTTAATAACTACGCCTCTTTCCTATAAACCGGGAATAGTCACGCCTCGTGGATACTAACGCGTTATAGAAGCACTTACTAACGAACCGATTAAGGTAAAGGAGGCTCCTACGGGCTTGGGGGAATATTAAACTAGGTATATTTCTGCCCGGTTTAAGGGCTTTTTCGATAAATAAGTCAGGATTAAAGAGCAGGATTAATAGGCGGCTATTCAGACTATAAAGAAACTAAAGGAAATTAATATATAAATAGCTTCGGTTATACCTAATTAACGGTAACGTAATTTACTCTTTACTTAATTAACGAATATCACTATATCTTTAGATTTATACCGCCTCGGGATTTATATATATTTATAGTAGGATATTCGAGTAAGGGAGTATAGTAGATTATAGCCCACTTTTCTGGGTGCTGGGTATCCAAACACGGGTGCTATTTAGACTTACCCTTCTTTTTGGTTTTTCTTAAGTTATTACAGTGCCTCCTGTGACTTGCCGTAGAATGTCTACACTGCAGACTACCCCTGTCCGGTCACCCCTGGCCATCTATCCCTTCTCGGTTAGCTATCACGTGGATATACATCGTTAAACAAATGGTAGTGATTAATTAATATATTATAATTGTATCCCGTTCCCTGCGGGCCTACCGCCTGCGCTCCTCTCCCTGTAAAATATCAACGTCAAACCCGCCATCGCTGTCCCCGGAACTTCAGATAGCAATTCCTTCATAGCTGCCAAGAATAAGATCAATCACGAGTCTGCAGGCAACGGTATGTACGAGCAAGAGTGAAAGTTGGAAACCAACTGGCAGGCATCAATGATCCTTACGGGAAGCGTTCGTGCGATTTGGCCGGTCCAACAAGACAAGTTCGCCGGATCTAAATCCAGACTTTATGGATTATAGTAAGTTATGACCGTGTTGTCTAGTCTTCCACAGCAAACGGGAATTTTTGTCAAACAAGCACCCAGCCTTTACCGCTGCAGCCCAGGTCTATTTTCATCCTTTTGGACCCTCGACTGAGTCGACTCCGTCGCCGGAGCAGCGCCCATCTCTATATCCTTGTCCTCCTCCTCCGACTCTACACCAGCAACCGCATGCTCAAAGCTGCGCCCGCGCTTCTCTGGTCCGAACATCGTAGTGACGACAATCCCCACAGCGATGATGGCCGTGGCGACACCCATGACAGGACCATACGCCTCGACTCGGTTCCCGTTCGGCTTCGTCACGAACGTCGTCTCCGCAATAGCGTTCACTATCTGCGCGCTGGGCGACGAGATCATATTCCCAAGCTGGTACGTAATGCCGGGGAAGGACGAGCGGAACGCAGGAGGCGACAGCTCGTTCAGATGGATGGGGATAACGCCCCAAGCACCCTGCACGAAGAACTGGGTGAAGAACCCACTGGCGCTCAGCCCCGCCTCGCCCGGGGGCAGGATCCACGCGGGAATGAGGCACGCGGACACGAGAGCGCTGGCGACGATGGCGCGGCGCCGGCCGACGAACTGCGACAGGTAGCCGATGACGGTGCCGCCGACGCAGGCGCCCGTCTTCATCAGGATGGAAGCGCGCGAGGCAGCGGCGTTGTCGAGCTCCTTCTGGGTCAGCATGAAGGTGGTGTACGAGTCCTGCGAGGTGTGCGAGTAGTAGTTGAACCAGGTCATGAGGACGGTGCAGTAGACGCACATGCGCCATTCCTGGCCCAGCATCGTCACTAGGGCGCGCCAGAACTCGCGCGGCGACGCGCCCTGCCTGCGGCCTTTTGCTTTCGCTTCGAGGAATTGTTGCGATTCGGGGAAGAAGATGCGGATGACGCCCACGGCGATGGAGATGCCGGCTGTTCGCTCAATGTATGTTGTTAGTAGGGAGAAGAAAAAGAAAACGGCACGGGGACATGGAGATGGCGTGGAAACATGAACGTACCGGCGATCCAAAAGACGGTCTTCGATGATTCGGTTGCACCACCAACACCGAGGTTGGCACACGCTGCGAAGACGTATCCGAGGGAGTAGCCCTGCTGGAGGACACCAGACATCAGACCTCTCGCGTTGGAGCTATGGGAACCAAGTCAGCGACCAGTGGATATGAGATTCGGAGGCCAAGGAGAGGGAAGGGGCGGGGAGCAAATGGTAAGATTTGATGGAACATTGAACATACGGACAATGTTCCAGGGCCATGGCAATGGCATTACCATAAACACCACCCATGAACAGGCCAAACAAGCTCCGCACGGCCAGGAACTGCTGGAAAGTAGCACTGTAAATCGTAGCGACCTGCAACACGCCCAACACGACGAGGTTGACCACCATGGGCCACTTGCGACCGTACTTGTCCCCCGCGATGCCGAAGAAGGCCGCGCCGATCGAACGGAGGAGCAAGGTGAGGGTGATGGCGGTGGTGATGTCGGTCTTGGAGCGGCCGTAGTAGTCGGCCAGCTTCTTCGTCTGGATGGAGAGGGCGTGGAAGTCGAAGGCGTCGGCGGTCCAGGCGGCGAGGCCGACGAGGAAGAAGAGCCAGTCCCGCGGCGAGAGCTGGGCGAAGAGCGAGATGGGGTTGCGGATGGGGTCCGGGTCCTGCCATTCTGTGGAGGTCTCGCCGTACTCGTTGGTCACGACCACGCGCTGGCGCCAGATGAAGAGGTCGCGGAGGGACTGTTTGGCTGTCGCGAGGGTCCCTTTTGCTACGGGGTCGGCGGGGGAGTTGGGAGCCATGGCTTGGGTGGCGGTTCTGCCACTGGTATTGGAATAGGAAGATGCCGAATAAGCAAGGTTCTGGAAGGAGAGGATGAGGGGGTGCGAGTATGCTGATCTATACGTATATCGTGAATTCGTCCTAGTCCCTGACGAAAGCGGGAGAGTTTTGATGGCGTCTCTCGAACGACGGCTAGAAGGATAGCGTTGAGGAGTCGGGCGGGAGCTTATAGATAGCTTGAGTCGGGACAGGGCCGGCCCGGCCGGGACTGGACCGGCTACCTCTAATCTTTTATATCTGAAAACTAACTCCCGTGTCTTTCGGATGACGCTAAAGATCTTTGAGTTGCCTCCGCTTCACGTGCTTATTTAGTCCCCTCGTCCTACGGTCTACCCATCAAAGCCAGACGAAATTCAGGACGACAGCGTCTGTACGAGAGGAACTCAGCAATTTGCCGGTGGCATCGTTGGCATCCGTGGGGGAAAGTCATGTCATTCTCACAGATTTCCACAGAGATGCGGTGATGTGCCGTGATCGTCTACCAACCAACAAAAAGGGCGTAATAACTCGGGTGAAGTGACACCTCCTTGAATATCGGAGACTGATGGTTTGACTGACCAAACTGAGGAGGGTCACGAAGAAGATCCGGGGTAGTGGGGGAAGAAAATAGGGGCCGGACGTCGAATATGCGGCCCGCGGGGTTAGGTGGGAAAGGGAACTCCTGAAAAGGCCGAGAGTTGACCGAAAAAGGGAGGGAAAGGTAAAAGGTAGTTACACTGTTCACACATGGCTGGGGGGTTATGATGATCATTAACCATATTACTTCCTGGATTGTCCACATTCTCAAGAACCAGTGGTTCCGACGGGTGAGCCCCAGACGTAGGAGACCGCCTCGTAGGGCCGAGTCGCTCCTTGTCCTCTTCTCTCGGTGCTGTCGAGGTCGATGGTTTCGACTTTGCAGCGAATAGGCGCGTCGCGTCGAGCTGATGGGAGGAGTTTGGTGATCCTGGAGGAACGGGCGGATGGCAGAGGCTCGTGCTCGTGGGCTGGGACACTGGAGTCGGCGTCCATTTCCCATTAAGGTGAGGAAGATGGAAGCCGCAAGACAGCATTACGGACATTCGGATGCGGTTGAAGATGCAAAACAGGGGGACCCAGTCGAACCCCTGTTCACTGTGTGCATCGAGGCTACATACTGTGGCTCTCCGTACGTACCTTAGGTACCTAAGGTACCTGTAATAGCCACCGACTCGGAAGAATCTCACTGAGAAGTTCGGCTCATGTACTCAGTACGGGACATTCGTTGACACCGAATTTCGATATCCCGCTCCTTTCCGGGGGCAGACTCGGCTGTAAAGTATGCGTGTATATAGCCATGTAAGAGTACCTTAGTTACTGATTGTTTATCCTGTAATTGAGCAGCCGGGTTCAGTATAAGATGATGTATCGAATGCTTATACCTAACTGGTCGGGTTATGAATTGACCATACCCGGACCTAATTCATGGCGCCACGCTGTCACCGCACCAACTAGAGGACGCCCTGTGTACGACAAGAGGCAAGAGGGGAACAGCCAAGCACAAGTTTACCTGTACACTAATTATCACCAGCCAGGCCTCATAAATTCATCATCACCCACTTCAGCTGGTTCCCTCAATTCCCGCCGAGGGAGCATTCATTCAGTAAAAAGAAAGGGAAAAAGAAGGATTTAAGAAGAAAAAAAAATGGCAGCAAATCTAAACGAGACGGCAGCAGCCTTCAAAAAGCTGCACGAACCCAGATCGCCCATCATCCTCGCCAACATCTGGGACCCGCCATCCCTCCACTCCCTCCTCACCCTCAACACATCCCAATCCCAACCCGTCAAAGCCGTAGCCACCGCCTCCTGGGCCATCGCCGAATCCCTCGGCCTCCGCGACGAAGACCTCACCGCCGAGCAAAACCTCGCCGCCGTGTCCCGCATCGCGCCCCACGCCCGCGCCGCGGGGCTGCCCCTCACCGTCGACCTGCAAGACGGCTACGGCTACGGCGACGCCATCGCCTCCGTCGTCGCCCGCGCCGTCCGCCTCGGCGCCGCGGGGGCCAACATCGAAGACAGCATCCCCTCGCGCGGCTTCTCCCGCGGGATAGCGGGTTCGCTGTACGGCGTCGAGGAGCAAGTAGAGCGGCTCCGGACCGCGCTGCGGGCGGCGGGGGAGGCGGGGTGCGCTGAGTTCGTGGTTAATGCGCGGTGCGACGTGTTTCGGCTCGAGGCGCCCGTGCCGGGGCCCGATGACGAGACCACGCTCCGGGAGGCGGTAAGGAGGGGCAAGGCGTATCTGGAGGCCGGGGCTACGACGGTGTTCTTCTGGGGAGGGGCCGGGCGGGGGCTGCGGACGAGCGAGGTGGAGAGGTTGGTGCGGGAGCTGGACGGGAGGGTGGCGGTTAAGCTTGGCGGAGGGTCGGGGGCGTTGACGACTGAGGAGTTGGGGGAGCTAGGTGTAGCGAGAATTAGTGTCGGGCCTAGCTTGTTCTTGGTTGCTATGAAAGCTGTAAGGGACGCTGCCGGCGCTATATTGACAGGTGGGGGGCTGCCCTAAAGTGAAGGCAGAGAACGAGACCGTGTGGGGTCGTGAAGAGAATTAATGGCGGGGGTGCTGTGGTCATATACGAGATGGTACGAAGTTCTTGGTTGCATATGTCCATGTCTACCTTACCTTACCTTATGACCTTCATGTTAATCAAATAAGGTACCAAGTCGGTTATTATCCCGATAAGTGGCGTCGTGGCGGAGAAATAGTACTTCGTACCTACGCCATAGCTTGGATTAAGGTACCTTTAGGTAGAGGGACATTCACGAGATTTACGAGCGACAATTGCGTCATTGTATTGGGCGAGGGCTTCCCTGTTATACGAGCCAGACCAAATGGTGTCCTCTGATCTTTGCCCTTTCTCGCAAAATAAATACTGTCTGAGAATGGTTATTTCGTGCCTGATTTGAAATGAGATGGAAAGAGGGAAAAAAGAAAAAATTCAAAGGGAGAAGAAAAGAAAAAAAACAAACGAAATCATATCGTTCCGCTAAAGGAAACCGGTCACGATGCACTCCTGTCCATTCGACAACCCCCGAGGCATCCTCACAATGCTACTGCTTCTTGTCCTTCTGCAAGGGACTCTCGTGGGCGCTACCCGGGTCATAGGCCTCGTCACCATGGACCCCTCCTCCCCCGAATGGACCTTAAACGACTCCTTCGTCTCGGCCATCCTCTCGACCCACAACACCTACCGCGAGGAGCACGACGCGGGGAAACTGAGGTGGAACGGCACCCTGGCGGCCTATTCGGAGGACTACCTCGCCAGCAACGGCGACGAGCCCGGCGTCTGCCCGGCCTGGGAACACTCCGACACCCCCTACGGGGAGAACCTCGCCATCGGACACTGCAGCGCGACGGCGGCGGTCGAGGCCTGGGGCGACGAGCGCGACATTTACGATTTCGACGACCAGGGGTTCAGCAAGGGCACGGGCCACTTCACGCAGTTGATCTGGCAGGACACGACCGACGTCGGGTGCGCGAGGAAGTGGTGCGACGGTATTCCGCACCCGGACTCGGATGTCACGTTGAGCAGGTGGTACCTGGTTTGCGAGTACTGGCCTCCTGGTAACGTGATGGGGCAGTTTGAGGACCAGGTCAAGATTGGCGAGTATGACGGTCCGGGGGAAGAGAAAGGGGAAGGGAAAGGGGAGGGGGATGATGAGTCCACTGCTTCGCTTATAAGGGGACGACCTAACCTGTTCCTCGCGGTGCTGCTTTCAGGATTTCTGGGCTATTCGGTGATGGTATGATAATATGATTTGGACGGATATTTTGATGGATTGAATATCATCAGTGAAGAATAAAATAAAATAAAGCGAAACAAACCAGGCCCACATGGAAGAAAATTGTACGTAGGTTAATATGGGTGAATCAAGACCAGAGTGGAAGCGACACAAAATGTCGATTCGACACGGCGATATCCGCAATACTGGGACCTGGGACCGGAAGTCGCCTTTCTTCCTGCAGCACGATACCTCTTCTGTGCCCCCACTCCATGGTTCCTCACATGGTTTCCCCTGAACGTCGGTGACACAGATCTTATCACAGTGTATACGTACTCCTAAGGTATCCGTACCTACTTGGATGGCTGTCCAGGGGTTCAACGACTTCTCTTCATGCTACGTATGGTACAACATACACAAGATCATAAGGCTGGCATGGCCAGTTTACTAAGGTACCTTACGTATAAGGTAAGTACTTCGTATTCGTAATGACAACGTACCGTTGTACGCAGCTTCGCCTAACCCCCGTCCCCACAATTCCCCATCTGTCCACCGGCTCCGTCCCCGGCTCAGCCCTAAAGCCCCTATTACCGGACAAGTCTAGCGTCTTACCTACAACCCAACCCGACCACTCCACACTCTTCGGCATTTTTCTACCTGGCCCACGTTATAAGGCTGGCCTTATCCTATCCAAAGCATCATGGGTGGTCCCATTATCATTTGTGATGTGACGCGACGCGACGCGACTTCTGTTTAAAGTCCCGACTTCTGGCTCTTCTCTTCCCGCCTATTGTCCTCATCCATCGCACTCGCCCACGCCAAATTCCTGCCTCGCACAACCTGCTGCAGCCGCCAACATGGCCATGCTGCCACTTCCCCAGGCCATTGGCCTCCTTCTGGTTACCGCGGTGGCCTACTTCTTCTATCGCATGTACCAAGTTCGCTCAAGTATCCGCTCCTTGCCTGAGAAATATGGCATAGTACGTTTCCGTCCAACCACCACGGCACGGCACAGCGAGACGAAAACCTAACACCCGCCAGGAGCTTCTCCCAGGCCACTCCTTCTTCTGGGGCCACTTGATAACCGTCGGCAAAGTCATGGCCAATTACCCCCCCGACGTCACCGGCCAGTTCACCCCCTTCGCCCTGTTCCGCGCGTACCCGCACCTGGCCTCCGCGGGCGCCTTCTACATGGACGTCTGGCCCCTCAACGCCCCGCTCCTCGTCGTCTTCGACCCGGCCATGATGGCCCAGTTCTCCCAGGACACGCCGCGCCCCAAGCACGACCTGGTCAAGCGGGAGTTCCGCCCCTTCTCCCAGAACCTCGACCTCGTCACCTCCGAGGGCCAGACCTGGCGCACCTGGCGCGCCGCCTTCAACCCGGGCTTCTCGGCCCAGAACATCATGGCCCACATTCCCGTTTTCATGGAGGAGGTTCTCGTCTTTAAGGCGTATCTGGGCCGCGTCGCCGCCACGGGCGAGACCATCCGGATGGAATCGCAGCTCATGAAGGCCACTTGCGACATTATTTGCCGCGCTGTCCTGTGAGTCTCTTTTCTTCATCCCCTCCCTTCTTTTGCCCTCCCCTTCCATACCGACCGGACTGTCAACTGATTTATTGCGTGCAGTGGAGTGCGTATGCATATCCAGACGAAACCGAGCCCCCTCTACGATTCCCTCAAAAGCTGCATCGCCCTCCTCATAGGAGACAGCAGCCCACGCATGTGGCCGCGCATCTTCAACCCGCTCCGCCCCTTTCTCATCTGGAACCACAACCGCATCATGCGCCGGGAGCTGCTGCCCCTCCTCGAAGCCCAGCTGAAAGAACACGACGAATCCGAAGTGCACGGCGGCACATCAACAAGTTCGTCAACAACCGGCCTGAAAACCATCGCCAACCTCAGCATCCGCGCCTACCGAAACGAGAGGGTCAACTTGGACAAGGGAAACAAGGAAAAAGCCGCCCGGGAATTCCTCGAGGTCGCCGTCGAGCACCTCAAGATGTTCCTCTTCGCCGGCCACGACACCACCGCCTCCGTGCTCTCCTACGCCTACTACTTCCTGCACAGGAACCCGTCCCACCTCGCCAAGGTGCGCGCGGAGCACGACGCCGTCTTCGGCCCCGACCCCTCCCGCGCCGCCGCCCAGCTCGCCGCCAAACCCACCCTCCTGAACCAGCTCCCCTACACCACCGCCGTGCTCAAGGAGGTCCTCCGCCTCTCCCCGCCCGTCGGCTCCGTCCGCGAGGGCGGCCCCGACTTCTTCCTCACCCACCCCGAATCCGGCACCCGCTTCCCCACCGACGGCGTCATCCTCTTCGCCTGCAGCTTCCTCTCCCACCGCCACCCGGGCATCTGGGCCGAGCCGGACAAGTTCGTCCCGGAGCGCTGGCTCACGCCCGACCCGGAGCAGAGGGAGAAGGAGGCCCGGCTGCGGAAGAACGCCTGGCGGCCTTTCGAACTCGGCCCGCGCGCTTGCATCGGACAGGAACTCGCGCTGACGGAGCTGCGGCTCCTCTTGGTCCTCACTGTCCGGGAGTTCGACGTTGTGCCCGACTTCCCCGAGGATGCGCCCACCGTGTTCGGCGAGGTGGGGTATCAGGCTGATTTGCCCGGCGAGCTGACGGCGCACATGAAGGGGGGGTTCCCTGCGAAGATTGTGCGGCGCCAGCATGTTGCCAGTACTGCGTGAGGGACCTGCGGTGTAACTGAAGAGATGATGAGCATCACGGACGGAAGGACTAAAATGTCGTTTTCGAACACAAATGATATTTTGGAACGTAAAAGATGATTCAATCGGTATTTCTTGCATCTTATATTCGAAATAAAATCGAGCCGATAACCAGTTCCAGCCCCATGGGCCATGGACCGGTTAGTCTCTTCAGGCACCCCGGACCCTATTGTAGAAGATCTCCAGAGCCTCATCAATCAGAATCTTGACCCTCTTCGCATCGAGCTTCTCGACCCGGTTGAAGTTGTATAACCCGTTTGTCTCTTGTTCAATGTCGGTTCTGTGGGGGTAATCTGTTAGCTCGGACGACCTGGGGAGAAGGGGGGGAAAAAAGGGAAAAAAGGAAAAGAGAAAAGAGAGGGGGAAGCACAATGAACCTACAGCTGAGTATAGACAAAAGCACAGCAATGGCCACCGGCAACAACCCCCTTAACCAGCTTGTCAATCCGCTCCAGCAAATCCTCCGGATCGCTAGCCGTAGTATACCCCCAGTCACGAGTGTCCTGTGAAGCAGGGACGATATTGACGCCGCCAAACTCGGTGCACATGATGGGCGCGCCAGGGCGGTGCGCGGTGCCGGGGTCGCCGGCCACAGGCGCCACGAAGAGGTCCCGCCCCGCCTTGAGGCCGAGGATCGCGTCGAGGCTCGCGCACGTCTTCTCGAGTTCCGGGCCGTCGGCGTAGTCGTGGAAGGTCGAGAGGTCGGTCAGGACGTGTTCCCAGCCGCAATTGTCGTTGATGCTCCGCGTGGGGTCGAGGGTCTTGGTGGCGTAGTAGAGGGACCGGATGTGGTTGCGCTGGTCGACGTCGTCCTTCAGCGAAGGGTACCCCCAGCTCTCGTTGACCGGGGTCCAGGTGACGACGGAGGGACGGTTGATGGCCAGCTTGACCGACTCGATCCATTCCTGGTCGAAGCGCTCGACGTACTCGCTGCTGAATTGGTACGAGTTGGCCATCTCGGCCCAGACGAGGTAGCCGAGCTTGTCGGCCCAGTAGTAGAAGGCCGGGTCCTCTACTTTTTGGTGTTTCCGGCAGCCGTTGAGCCCCATGCGCTTGGCCAGCTGGATGTCTTCCTTGAGGCTATCGGCCGTGGGCGGGGTCATGAAGGTGTCGGGCCAGTATCCCTGGTCAAGACACAAAGCCTGGAAGTAGGGTTTGCCATTGAGACGCCACACGCCGTCCGGGTTGGACCAGTCGATGGAGCGCATGCCGGTGGTCGTCTTGACCTCATCTAGCACGTCTCCTGACGTGGGGTCGATCAGGCGAATGGCTAGGTCGTATAGGGACGGGTGTTCGGGGGACCAGAGAGCGACTCCATCCCGCCAGAAGTCGTCGTTGCCTAGCGGGGTGGAACTGAGCACGTCGGCGGGGAGCTGCTTGCGTTGTTCCTCGGAAAGCCGGAGGTCAAGATCCAAGGTTACAAAGTCGGTCTCCTTGGAGAATTCAGCGGGCGATGACTTGGAGACGACAACACCAGCAAAGGCAGCCTCCACTTCAATGGCGCATTTCCGACCTGCACGACGGCCAACGACGCCAATGGTATTGTGGAGCAGGCCCGAGCCAATGTCGTTGGACCGGATGACCGTGCCACGGCTGCTGTCGGCGATGCGTACGGGAGGGACGACCTCGAGCCAGACGTTCTGCCAGATGCCGCCGGAGGGGGTGTAGAAAATACTCTCGGGCTGGGCGGCCCAATACTGTTTCCCACGAGGTTGGGTCAGATCGTAGGCGGAGTCGTATACACGCAAGGTCAGGCGGTGAGAACCGGTAGCGGCGTTTGCGGAAGCAGAAGGATCGAGCTCATCGGTGATGTCGAGCTCGAAAGGAACGTGACCACCGCGATGTCCGCCGACGTAGCGACCATTGACCCAGACTTTCGCCTCGTAGTCGACGGCGCCGAAACGGACGAGAAGCCGGTGGCCTTTTTTGATCTCATCGGGGCCGCGCGGATCGGCAATGGTGCGCTCGTACCAGAGCACCTCGTGAACGCCGCGGTCGTTGATGCCGGAGGCGGGTGACTGGAAGACAAAGGGGACTATGATTTGGCGCTTCTTGTTGGTCCTGGCGTCTTCCGAGGGGGAGAAGATGTTGTCTTTGAGGAGTTCCTGGGTGCCGGCAGCAATCTTCTGGGTGATGGTCTGGCCCTCGGACGAGCCCTGGAAGCCAACAGATGACGAAGCGGGGCAGTCCTGGGGAAGACCCGTATGCTGCCAGAGCTGGGAGAGGCCGACGTCTGTATCGTCGAAGAGGAAGTCCCAGGGCCCATTGAGAGACAGCCATCGCAGAGCGGAGCGCTCAAAGTCGGGACGAGGATACGGCTGACTGTCGGTGGCCATGGTAGGCGTAAACTGCGGGTGGATGAAACGAATTCTTGGACTCTGAAAGTATTTGTCGTCGTCGACAGATGACGCCCAAACTGAATGAGGACAGGACAGTGGACGTGGCAACTACCTTGGGAGTTGTTCAGGCAGTCACCTGCTCTTTTGTTCTGCTTCGTTTCATCCCCTCCAAAACGAATGCTGATCTCCGTGGTACTCGCCAAACTAAGGTACGGAGTATGGGTACTTGAATGGTGGTGGGTGGTGGGTGGTGAGGGGAAAATGAGGGGTCCGGTCCCTGAACTCCCCACAGTGACATCATAAGAGGACCACTAAAGGAACCACCGACAGCCCGCTAATGCCGCGAAAAGCCAGCAAAGAGGAGGTAGGTAACCACTTGAGACGCTGGAACAACGCCGGGGACAAAATTGCGGGTGCTGCTGGCGGTGTGCTGGCGGTGGGCGATCCAGTCAGCTGCCGTCTGCCTGCATATCAGAGGTACATTCCCGGCTTGAGTCACTCGTACCATCGTAACGGTAGCAAACCCGCCCATCACTGGTCAAGCGCACTGAACACGACGACGTTCTTGACGACGCAATCTTGGCGGTTACTGCCGCATCCCAGCGAGGTTCGGGCCAGTTGGTCATCGCCGTGCCCATGCATGTCTGCAATGATTCGCGCGGCCGCATTACAGGACATTTCAAGCGGTGACGGTGACGCTGACGACGGTGGCGGCGACAAAGACGTGGGCATGGACGTTGGCATCGTCGTCGTTGAAACTGATTCAGCGCTGCTGCTCATCTGGCCTCGGGTGCTGGCATCCGCAAGAACAGATAATCGATCCATCGATGTTTCGCTCGGTGATACCGGCATTGGTATTGGCCCTGCGGAAAGGGAAGAGCTAGTCGTAGGCCGTTGAAGGCACCCGTTGCCATTGTCCGTCTCGGCTGTCGCTCGGCAGCAGGAAGAAGGAGGAGGAGTCCGTGACGCGCTGCCGGGTTGTTGTTGTTGTTGTCCATGCTCGCCATCGTCAAACGACTCCAGGAACGCCTTCACCTCGTTCTCGGACACCCCGCGCTGCGCAAGGAGCATGCGTAGTCTCGCGTTCTCTGCACTGACCGCCCGGGCCGCCTGCTGCATCTGCACCGTCGCCTCGACCCCTCGCCGCTCGTATTCCTCCACCTTCCTCTGCAGGCTCTCCACGAACGCCTTGCGCTGCGCCCGAGATCGTCGCTGGTTATCGCGGACGCGGTTCGGATCGGGGCCTCTCTGTCGAAGCGGCGGCATTGTGTCAGAAAACGGAGCCCTTTGGTTGTGAAGTAGAGACGTATGGGTAGAGGAGACACGGGAAGAAAGGTTTGCGACGCACCCGAAACGCATTGTTCTCCTTCGCGGATGTGTTGGAGTCTTCAACTGCCGTTTTGCCCGCCATGGCAACCATTGCCCTGCGTGGTAGGGTCGGGCCGTGGTCGATTACTTGGTCACATACACGTACAGAATACAGATTGCTGGGGCAATTTGCTGTTCTTATTTCTTTTTTTTTTTTTTTTTTTTCCCCTCTTTCTCTTTCTTGGCCCCACATAGGAAGAAGACATTAGTAATCAAAAGGCATTCAGAACAAGTGATGACAAATCACTTCTGTAGTGTCTTGAACTTCTGACTTCAACTTCTTGGAGATATTTCGGTGAGTCGGTGAGCCAACTCGAGATAACGATGAATTGATTCATGTACTCGGGTTATTCCAACTACCTGAACTTTTCACCCCTCTTATGCATCGCGCCATTTTTGCACCACCTCTCCAACGAGACGTCCTTCGTATCCTGACACCTCCAGATCCATCCCCTATTCCCTATTCCCTATTCATCCCAGATAGGCAACGCATCGACTTCTCGAGATTTTAGGATCCCAGCCCAGGTTGGCAACACGAGCCGAGCCTATCATGGGCTCTCACGGATACAGGCCGTTTCTGGCTCTCATTGATGCCGTTGACAAGTCAGCAAATCCTTTTGACCTCATCACTTTCTGCTCCCAAGTCCCAACGTCACCTCACCCCATCATGCTCACAACTCACAAGCATCTCACAGCGTTCCCCAAAACTTCGATTTCAACCAACTATACAGGCTCCTCCTCCCCGCAGACCCCCGGCCCCACGGCTTCATAATCCCAGCCACCGTATCCCGCCTTCCATGGACCGATAACTTCACCGTCGACCACGCATCCCGCACCGTCCAACTCCGCCCGTCTCCGGATACCGCGAGCGACCCAAGTGCATGGGCGAACGCCGCGTTGCAAGCAGTTGTAGACGCCATCGTTGCCAAGTCGGCCCATGACCCATCCACCTTTCCCTCTGTCCGCGGCTACCACAGCGAACCCTTCCGGGTCATCGGCGCGAACTATCCCCTCAGCATCGAGCGTTTCCCCGCCCCGCTCTTCGGCATCGGCTCCCGCGGCGCCCACATGACCGCCTTCGTCCGGGATCCCGCGATTCCCGCCTCCAACGACCCCCGGAATCTCAAGATCTGGGTCGCCCGCCGCAGTCCCCACATCTTCACCTACCCGGGCCTGCTCGACACCACGGTCGCCGGCGGCGTCAAGGCCTCCGACGAACCTTCCGACTGCATCCTCGCCGAGGCCCACGAGGAGGCGTCCCTCCCTCCCGACCATGTCAGGGAGCACGCTCGCGCCGTCGGCGCGGTCACCTACGTGCAGATGAACGATGCCAAGGGCGCGTTTTACCCCACCGTCCTGTACGTCTACGACATTGAGCTTCCCGGGAACATAGTCCCGACGCCCATGGACGACGAGGTGTCCGAGTTCCTCCTTATGACCGTCGACGAGGTTACAGAGGCCATGCTGAGGAGGGAATTCAAGCCCAACTGCGTGCTTGTCATGCTGGACTTTTTCATTCGGCATGGGATTCTGACCCAGGAGAATTCGCCTGAGTATCTAGACCTCGTGACGAGGTTACGGCGGCGTTTACCTGTTGCCACTGCTCCTGAGCCCTAGTGAACGGACAGCATAGACACGGGCCTTTGTGCTACGTATGGCATGTTGAAGCTGGGCACTGAACGTACGTCTAGATGAGAGACGATGGAGACGAATGACAGAATAGATCCCTCAATTAAGGTATACAGCTCCCTTGGCTGAAAACAGAAATCCTCTTGGGAAATCAGCTTCTTCGGACAAATAGATACAAATGAAATGATGCGGAACTTTTGTCAAAAGGAAGGCTGGTTAAAGTTCAGGTCATCGGACTAAGGTAAGGAACATTTACATTCAGGCACTGGTCTCTCAGAACGAGGATCCCAAACATGGCAAGGAATTAGATGCAGTTAAAGTATACCAGAGCGAGCCAGGCTTACAGCTTGAGGCGAATGAGCCCAATCAGGTCATGAGAACACAGATATGAACTGACACTTCCCGAGTTCTTGATTCCAGGCGTGTATTTACACGAGAGACAAGCGATGACAGCCAGCCTCGGATAGTGACACCTGCTGGTTACGTCGTTCTGTCTTTCTATACCCTTCAATTATTTGGGAAAGTCTAAGACTATAGGCTCAACGAGTCAACCCCCAGGCTCTCGGAGACAATAGCTACTCACTCGGTCTTGCTCCTGTTCGTCTTGGTGCCAATGTTGTTGTGGCCCATTGTGTAAGTTGTTGATTTTCTTATTCACATTGTTGCCGCTAGGTAAGAACATCGGCTCCATCATTTCGGAGAAGAAAACGGAAATTCAAAGCTCGCCCCCTATTCGGCTCTTGTCAGGACTCGGGGCCGAGTGTCCCGATTCCCAGGATTCGACCTCTTCAGACAGACAATACCGTGTATCCTATAGGTGCCTCAGACCCAAGGATGCAGAGTCTATGCAGCAAACCAGCTATTGTACAAGTCATCCGTGACAGGTTCTTACAGTTCAATGTTTGCTTTCTTTGGCAAAGCTACCCTGACTTCCGTTTTGATGAACACAAGCGAGCTCATCTTTTCATAATGACTATTCAAGGATTTGTAGTCTATAAAAGCGCCTGTTGAGTCTTTATACGACCACCATAGTAAATACGAGAAGGCTCCGGACTAGTATTGTCTCCCCCTTACAGTTGCTCTCCGCTTGCCCACCTTCCTACTTGTTAATTTGCTCCATATGTGCCTGCCCTCTGAAAAGAAAGAGGGAGAAAGGTCTCGCTTTTCTTAAGTATCTGAATATTTATTTCGCTTAGATTCGACTTTTCCTCCTTGTCGGTCTACTCAAGCCCATGCTTCTCACCTTTCGCAAAGCATGTTCGTATTGCAACTGCATTGCTCAAGTCATATCCAGCAGCGTGCCTCCGATTCAAGCAGATTCAGGCTACTTCAGGCTACCCTCTTCAACTTGCCAGCCCCAGTTCACTGCTCAACCATCATGAAGCTCAACTATTCCATCCCAGCCGCCCTCTTCATCACCCTCGCGGCGGGCCACATGGCCATGTCTGACCCTCCCCCAATCAGACACCGAAACAACCCAAACATCAGCCCAGACGAGATCGACTTCCAGTACGCCGACCCCATGTCCTCCAGCGGCTCCAACTTCCCCTGCAAAGGCCACCTCAACGCCCTCTCCAGCCCAGCAGGCAACCCCGTCGCAGTCTGGAACGCGGGGGGACAATACTCCCTCACCATCACGGGCGGCGCCCCCCACAGCGGCGGTTCCTGCCAAGCATCCCTCTCCTACGACGGCGGGCGGACATTCAAGGCCATCCACAGCTGGATAGGCGGCTGTCCCGGCCTGGAAGGCGACAGCAACTGGTCCTTCACCGTCCCGCACGACGCGCCGTCGGCCGACAACGTCGTCTTTGCCTGGACGTGGTTCAACAAAGTCGGGAACAGAGAGATGTACATGAACTGTGCTGTGGTGAGCATTGCTGGCGGCCTCGGTACACGGGGTGGAGGACAAGGACTCCTCCCTTCCCGACCGGACATGTTCGTTGCGAACGTCGGTAACGGGTGTACTACCGTCGACTCGCGAGATGTCATGTTTCCGAATCCCGGACCGGATGCGAACATTGCGAGTCCTGATGCCGTACCTCCTATCGGTCTTGGCTGCGATGTAGGACTCGGAGCCGGGCATGATTCGAGTCACGGGAATCACGAGCTCGAGTGGGATGAGGAGAGTCATGAGAACCAGCAGGTTCCGGGGGGCAACGAATATCAAGACAGGCACAAAGAAGAGACTGGCAATGATGGCGTGGCATGGAAAGGTGGGTATGCGCCTGGAAATGACTGGCCTGTTTGGTATAGCTGTGGTGGAGAGCGGAATTCGAGGACGCATGATATGTCTCTTCTTTGGTCAGTTACCGCTCTGGGAGTTGTCTTCCACCAAAGTTGGTTCGCTTGAAGGGGTAGTGTGCTACAGCATCGAATAATAGCAAGGGCAAGAGTATATAAATCGGGTCATCATGTCATGCGAGACAATTCCCTCTTGAGTTGATCTCAATCTCTGAACCAAAGCCGTTTCTCGCCAAGCAGTCGCGACTCGCCCGTTCAACCATGGTCTCGTACCGGACGTCAGTGCTTGCCAGCGTTCTGGCCTCAGCTGTGGTGGTGTCAAGCCTTCCACAGGGTCATGCCGGGCGAGGTCCCACTCTCTGCTCCCTCAAACCCTCGTACGACTACATCATAGTCGGCGGTGGGACAAGTGGGCTGACGGCACGGTAGCGAACAGGCTGAGTGAAGATCCAACAAGTAATGATGGCTCAGCGCCCCTTCTTGCCACGCTGGAAGAAATCGGGCCTGAACCTTGAAACCCAGAGGCCGTCTTGGTTGTTGAATATGGAGATTTCGCCGATACCATCAATGTTACCGTCCTATTCTTCACCACGTATGACCGGTCCTCTCGCTTGTATGGCATGGTCTCGGTTCCCCAGGCCTATCTAGGGAACCGTACGGCAGATCTTCGAATCGGAAATGTGGTCGGTGGAAGTTCGACCGTTAATGGCATGGCCTGGGACCGTGGTTCTGCTGAAGACTACGACTCCTGGGGCGCTTTGGGTAATCCGGGGTGGGATTGGGACGCCCTCCTCCCATATTTCCGTGAATCTTCCACTTTTGAGCCTCTAGCGGCAGAGTATGTCGACCAGTATGGGTACGAATGGAGTCCCGAGGCTTACGGAGACGGGCCGATACGAGTCGGGTATCCCTCATGGCAATGGACTCCGGCTGGTAAGCATATCTGGAGGGGTTTTTTCCTTTCGCCACTTACTCCGCACTTTTAAGAGCTCAAGCAGTGTATCCGACTGTGAAATTCGCAAAATCTGACTTCATTGCAGAACTCCAAGCTCAAGCATGCGCCGAGGACCTTGACGTCCCAGTCCTTACCGACGGTGCAGGTGGTAATAACGTCGGAATCGCGTGGCACCCTCAGAATTCGGGTGGTCGAAACGCCACTCGATGGTCAGCAGAAACCGCCGACTATAACCCCGTGAGCGATCGAGAGAATTTGCACCTCCTCGTTCGACACTACGGAGCTGCCGTGACATTCGAGGGAAACAAGACGGCAGGCGTCGAAATCGCCAGTCGAGATGGACATGGTTCGAGATTCATCGAGTCCGAGAACGTCGTCTTGGCCGCAGGGACCGTGAATACGCCGCGCATTTTGCAGCTCAGCGGCATCGGTCCTGCAGATCTCCTCGGTGCGCAAGTGCCTCTGGCCCACCTTCCTCCCATTTACGCCGAGAACGAAGCCCTCCTCGAAGGATACCTACGCCAGCGCGAGATCATGCAGTCGCAGTTCACAAGCCCCAGCGTGGGGGTCGTCGAGATCACCTTCGGAGGCTCCGCCGCCGTGCTAGGTGCGCTGCAGAAGCCCTCTCTCGCGAGGGACCATCTTCATCAACAGCACGGATCCCCACCCGTCCATCCCGCCCCTGATCGATTTCAACGCCAACTCTAACCCGCTGGACATGCTCGTGGCCGTGCGTGGCCTTAGCAAGGCGCGCCAGTTCATGGCGGCCGAGAGCGTGGCGCCGCTTCTTCCGGTGGAGATCGTCCCTGGCCTGGGTGTCGAAGACGAGGCCGAGGTTGAGACGGTGCTGCGTGACTGGCTTCTTAGCCCCAGCTCCGATCACCCCGTGGGTACCGCGGCTATGATGCCGCGCGAATGGAGTTGCGCGTGTATGGCGTCGAGAGTCTCTGGGTTGTAGATGCAAGCATCATGCCCATTCTTCCAGCTGCACATACGCAGGCGACCGTATATGCGGTTGCTGAGTATGCAGCTGATCTGATCAAGCGTGTGTAAGGGGAAAAAGAAAAGAAAGAAGAGGAAAAAAGGGCACGTTCCATGCAAGATATTAGTCTGAGAGTCAGTCGCAGTCCGATGAAGGATGGAGTGTTATGTTCTGCCTGCGATGAGTAATCAACTAGCCACCCATTACTCATCGGCTTCTGTCTGTGTGTCGGGGTATGACGTGCCTTATTACGTAAGGTTCAGAAGCTTTGGAAGGTACGAATTTCGGAGCTGCCTGGCTTCTAGGAGGTAATACTGTACCTTTGACATTCTTCCACGCGGGGGCACTTGTACTGCGGACTGCTGGCCACTTTACTCCGTACCTCCCTTCCAGCCTGTTCTTCATCGCCTACCGCCAACTGTTCAACCTCCCACCCGTCCTACTTCACGCTGCAGCTTGTTATCAACCCTTTCTCCCGATCCCCATTCGAGCCACTGAACATTCCGCGTGCCCGTCCTCGCCAACCCCCCTCAACGTCAAACCGTACGCTTGCATCATGTCTGGCCAAGGCCAGCAACTTGGGTCCGAGGATGCGGAGCGTGCCCAGACTCTCGCCCACTTCCAACAGCTTACTGGGTTAGAAGAGGACAGAGTAAGGCACCGGTCACCCCTTTCTTTTCCATTCCCCTGCGTCGCTAACCTTCCCAGTGTGTCGAATACCTCGAACCTGCCAATTGGGACATTGGCCGTGCGGCCCAGGCCTTCTATCTCGACGAAGAACAGCTGTCCGAATCGAGACCAGATGCCAGTGCCACTGAAGAATATACCGGGCCACGTACCCTCGATGGTCGCCCCGCTCCGGAAGCCCTGCGTAACCCCAGATCCTCCTCGTCTCGAGCCGCCGCTCCCCAGAAGAAGAAGGGCCTGGCAACCCTAAGTTCCCTCGCCTCTTCAAGCAACGTACCGGGTGACGATGATGATGACGACGACGACGATATGGGTGATAATGACGACGGCCGCAATCCCCGCGACTTGTTTGCCGGTGGCGAGAAGTCGGGCTTAGCCGTGCAAGATCCCACGCAGGAAGGATCTGGTGCGAAGAAGATCCTAAAGGATATATTGGCCAAGGCCAGGGCGTACGAGACCTCTTCCCCTTTAATACCCCGCCGCCGACATTGAAAGACTGGAGACTTGGTACAGATTTGCTCACATCTTCTGCAGGAACGAAGGTCGTCCCGGTGCCGACTCCCCCGCCGGCCCCTCTAGCTCGTCCTTCTTCCGTGGCTCCGGCCAGACCCTGGGAGGCGACGGCGTCGAAAGCCGTGTCATTCCGGACCCCTCCAGCGCCACCCCTGGTCGGCCGTCTGCTGGCAACGAGGACGTCCAGGAACGTGTCCTCCACCTCTGGCACGACGGCTTCAGCATCGACGACGGCGAGCTGCGCCGCTTCGACGATCCCAACAACGCCAATGACCTAAACGCCATCCGATCCGGCCGCGCCCCTCTCCAGTTGCTGAACGTTCGGCCCGACCAGCCCGTGGATGTTAAGCTCCAGCAACACGACGAGAACTACCAGCCGCAGCCCAAGGCCTACAAGCCCTTTGGCGGGACCGGCCACCGACTTGGGAGCGAAGTCCCGGGCGACGGTAGCAGCTCTTCGTCTCCTGCACCGCCGCCTGTCTCGTCCACTGCTCCTGCTGCCCCCTCCGCTTCGACGGGCACATCCGCTGCCCCGACGACGTCGGTGGACGAATCGCAACCCACGTTGACTCTCCGCATTCAGCTGCCCGACGGGACCCGACTGCCTGCCCGCTTCAACACGACGCACACACTGGACGATGTCTACGGATTTGTCGAGCGTGCGTCGACTTCGGTCCGCTCGCGCCCTTGGGTCCTTGCGACCACTTTTCCCAACAAGGACCATACGGACCGCAGCCTCGTCCTCGGCGATATTCCCGAGTTCAAGAGGGGCGGCACCGCTGTCGTCAAGTGGGCTTGAGTAGACGGGCGTTGAGGGTAGTACGAGGTCACAGCACCGGGGGGGAGATAATGACATGGTCGGAAAGGCGTTCTGATACTATGAAAGTGATCTATCTGGTTGGTCTGGATCCGGGTTGCGCAGCCGCGACATCGCCGGTAGAGGTAGGCGGCTTATATAATTTTCCCACCCAAGCAATTCAAGTGGTAGACGCAGCCCAGATGTAATTACATTTGTCGAACTCTTGAACCCGGCCGTAACTGTGACATGAACCGGCATCTCTTCAGCGGCTGTGCTAGTACTTTTGAATTGTAATTTCCTCAAAATGTCTGGCTGACAAACCCAACGCCTTAGATGGTATCTCATGAGCCGTCCTATAACGCCGTCCTAGCACAATCCCATGACGCTCAGACAAGACAAAGTCACAGGCCCATCCCAAGTGCCCATTACCACATACCATTATTGCAGATCAGAAGCAACATCGCCATCTCTCCCTCTCTCTCGCTCTCCATCCGGTTGGTTCTTCGCCCCGTCGCCAAGTCTATCCCCCAACGCCGTGGGCCGGCGCCGCCGTGGTCACCGGTCCATCCAAGAACTTGAAATGCTCGATGGCAATCTGGCAGTTCAGCATAGCGGCGTTAAAGCGCGCCTCGCCAGGCGGGAGGACGACCATGAGGTACGTATTGGTGGTGAACTTGAGGATGAAGAGGTTGAAGCGGGAGCCGGCCTTGTGCTCCATGCGGACGAACTGCTCGGCGTTGCGCGGGGTGCCGGTGAAGCGGCTGATGCTCTGCTTGAAGTGCTTCATGATGTTGGAGATGCGCTCGAGGCGGTCCTCGGTGGGGTTGCGCTGGCCCTCCTCGGAGGTCCAGGACGAGACGGCGAGGAAGGAGGTGCGCTCGAAGAGGAGGAGCTCCTCGGCCTCGATGGCCACGCCCAGGTTGGCGAGGTTGCGCTCGATGGCGGCCAGGTTGGGGACCAGGTCGTGGATGATGCTCGCCCAGGCCTTGTAGAGGGATTGGTCCCATATGGAGGTCGCGAACGGGGTGATCTCGAGAGGGGACGACGGAGTCGACGCAGAGGTGGCGGCGGCGGCGGCGCCCACGCCACTACCGCTACCAGAGCTGCCACTGCCACCGGTCGTTGCCGAGGCGGATAAAGGTTCGAGGAGGACGACCGAGCCGCTGGGGTCGGCAGCGCCGGCGCCTTGGTCGGCGGCAGAGTAGCCGATGCTATTGGCGTACTCCACGGTCTTTTGGCGGACGATGCGCACGCGTTCGTCATAGACGGCTTCGCGGAGGGAGGGGGCCACCAGGTCCATCTTGTGGATGAGGATGTAGATGCGGGCTTGCGGCGAGTACTGGAGGAGGGCAGACAGGATGGAGACGTACGTGGCGAGGTCGCGGTCGACGTCGCGCGACTCAATGTCGAAGACGTAGATGAGGACGCCGACGTTGGAGAAGACGTGAACGCGCTGTTGGGATAGGTAGTTCTCCATGAAGGCTTCTTGGCCGCCGCAGTCCCACAGGTTCAGGGTCAGGTTGCCGAGGAACTTGACGTGGGAGAGGTCGATGTCGATAGTTGCGCCGCTGGTGGAGGAAGGGAGGAGTCAGTACGTTGAGACAAAGGTTCGAGGTCCTGAAGGGTGGAAAAAAAAACCCCCCAGAGAGAGAGGAAGCAAAAGAGAAGGAAGAAAGAAGAGAAATGGTTAACTGACAGTCTGCGCGTGTCTCGGGCGATGTAATTGCTGAAGATGATGCTTCGCATGCTCGACTTGCCTGAGCCGCTCTTGCCCATAAGAAGCACCTTCTTCTTCTTGGGTTTCTTAACCTCGTTCTTGGTCTCAGCCAAGGGCAAGTTGGAGGTCCCATCGCCATAGCTCCCGGCGTCGGCCATGGTTGATCCAGAAAGGCTGCTGCTTCTTAATGCCTTGCCGGATCAAAGCATTTGGCGAGAGGTCGCGTTCTGAGCTTCGATGTGTGTGGGTTGATAATGCCACCAGCTGTTCGTATTCACCAATTGAGACAACAATTATATAAATTCTACCTCCACAGGAAGTGTATATCTTCAATGGGCCAGTGGGAGGGAGGGTGAAGGTTAATAGTACGTTCCCAAGGACGTGATACGAAAATGGGAAGAGACCCGATAATCGTGAAGATCCCCGCAAGCCTTCATACCTACCTACCTAGGTACTAAGGTACGTAAGGTAAGGTAGTACAGAGTACAGCTCAAGCAGCTGATGGTGGTGAATTACGTAAGTGGTGAACTGGGGTGGGAACGAGTTTATGTAATAGAATAAGCTTGGGTCCAGGACCGTACCGTAGCATCACTGCCAAGCCCCTGTGACGAGAAAGCGCTTGGAGCTTCTCCCCCGTCCCGTTCCCAGTTCTCTTCAGCGTCGGTAGTTCGGAGCCTCGGTGACATAACCTCCCATATCCTTTCGCATCGTCGCTCAACCCCAAACCCGCTCAAGTCCACAATCGTCATTGCCAACCCAAACCGACGGTACCCGCCCTCACCTACCTTCCTCGACGCCCGCGCAAATGGCATCTAACGATTCCCTCAACCCCCTCGCCGAGTCGGGGGTTACCGTCCGCTCCGACAGCGAACAGTACTCGCAAGGCGAAGACATCTCGCCCTCGCCCGACACCTCCTCTCCCGTCATCCTCTACAAACCGCCCACGGTGTGGTCCCTGCTACGGGGTGCTGCCATCAACTTGCTACTCCCTTTTATCAACGGAATGATGTTGGGGTTCGGCGAACTGTTTGCCCATGAGGCCGCCTTTCGGTTAGGATGGGGAGGGACCAAGGTATGATATTCCAAAGACTGCGTGCGCAAGAGGAACAGGTACTAATTACTCTCCTTTTTCTTAAGGTATTCCCTACCTCTCGCAGGAGAGCTCACCCCATCGGCCCGGGCATCGAGGTGCGGGAGAAGAGCCCACGGTCGCGGACGACCTTGAGTGACCTTACAAGTCTGGAATGACTAGGTGGATGGGAATGAACTGTGCTATGATCCCTCCTGACAGGGGAAGAAAGAAAACGCTAGGCATGAATGACTGTTGGCTGGCTTCATGCGTGCCCCGTCCAAGTCTTCTCCGATCCCATTACCATAGCCACCAAACTTCGGAAACCTTAAGGAGATTGTGGTCTGGAGAGAAACTGTGGCAAACCTTGTTTGAAGAAAAGTCCTATCAAGTCAGCGGTCTATAAACCCGGAGATGGTTTATTTTGGACGAGCAGAACGTCGTGAATGGGAATGGCTGGCTATTGTGACACCAACCTGGATGGCTATATACCCGAGCCGGGACCATCCCGAGGGGCAGAACGGATCTTATTAAGGAAACGCAATAATTAGTGTAAAGACGACACATATAAATTCTGGTTATTTCCATGTATTTATATGTCCGTGCTCGGTGGTGTTACGCTACCTATTATTTCATGCAGACGCAACAGGTTGGAAATAAGCGTAAGGTAGTTTACTGAGTACCTTAGTCATCGGGTGACTAATAGCGTCTCCCGGATGGCCCCAGCTGTTCACAGATGATCCACTGAGGCCGAACTTCTCCCGGCGCGTCACGCCAAAAAGAAAGAAAAAAACTGGAAAAGACATCGCGACTCGGGCCGACGAGGTCACCTTCCTGTGCTTCCCCTGCATCCGTCCCTGCAACCGTTTCTTCCGCATCGACCATGTTGCCCAGCAGAGGAACCCTTCGCTCCCTCTCCGCTGGGAGGGCTGCCCTACAAAGCCAATTGGTGAAAGCTCCCGTCCGAGATTTCCCGCCTCAGGGTACGGTACCGACAAGTTGAATTACTGACCGTTGTGAGGACAGACCGCTAGGGCATACGGACATGGGCGACGATTTGGAACCTCGTCGCGGGGAATCTCTGCTTCCACTTTCGGGAAGAGCCTAGCAGGAACTAAGCTGCCAGGAGTATCGGGCTCTGCCAACGCCCTATTCATCGGCACTGCGCTGTCTTCAAGGCGAGGCTTCTCCCTATGGACCCGTTCTCCCAAGTCCGAACCGGCAACACCAGAACCCTCCGCGTCGACAGCCCCCGTAACGCCCCAAACGCCCGATACCAACGCCTCCGCCTCTGCCTCCGCCTCCGTATCCTCCTCCCCATCCTCCTCCCCCTCTCCGACGTCCAATCCCACCGCAGAGTCCACACCAGCGGCTCCCGTCGAGTCGACCACCCCCCCATCTCCCGTCGAGACCCCAGATCTGGACGTCCTATCCAACACCTCCCTCCTCGACATCCCCGAACGCATCGGCTACCTAAAGGAGCTAGGCCTCGACTACGGCTGGGGCCCCACGTCCATGATGCAATGGATCCTCGAACACGTCCACATTTACACCGGCCTCCCATGGTGGGGCAGCATCCTCACCACGTCGGTCCTGGTCCGCATAGCCCTATTCAAGCCCACCCTCACGGCGCAGCAGGCCACGGCCAAGCTGCAGGCCGTCAGCTCCACGCCGGAATATAAGGCCGCGAAGGACCGCATGACGGCCGCCGCCGCCGCGGGCAACACGACCGAGATGATGGAGGCACGCCAGGTGGTCACCCTCCTCAACAAGCGCGGCGGGGTCAACGTTTTCGCCTCGCTCTGGAGCTTCCTGCAGATTCCCGTCGGGTACGGCGCCTTCCGCATCCTCAACGGCATGGGCAAGCTCCCCGTCCCCGGGTTCGAGGACGGTGGTTTCCTCTGGTTCACTGACCTTGGCGTTTCGGACCCGTTCTTCATTCTGCCGCTGGGCACATCGTTGATGATGCTTGCCACGCTTAGGGTACGATTCCCCCCTCGCCCCCCCGGCGTCCTTTACTTTCCCCTTTTCTTTGTATTATTTAACTTCCTTTTCTGTCCAACTTTTACGTCAACCGAACAATACAAAAGAAAAAACAACGGCAAAACAAACAAACAAATACTGACATGCACCTCTCCCAATTAGGCCGGAAGCAAATTCGCCCCTCCCCAAACACAAGCCCAAATGAAGCTAATGGCCTTCATCCTGGTCCCCATGAGCGCCGTCCTGACGAGCTGGCTCCCCGCCGCCGTGCAATGGTACTTCCTCACCACCACCACGCTCGGCTACGGCCAAAACGTCATATTCCAGAACCCCGCCTTCCGCCGCCTGGCCGGCCTCCCGCCACTCGTCCTGAACCGTGGCGCCGTCCACGGCAACCCGTTTGCGACCTCGGCCACGGCTATCCCGACGACTGCCACGACTGCCACGACTGCCACGACGACGGCTGCCGCGGAGCCGCAGTCGAAGGAGGGCGGCAACGTCCTGAAGGATGCGCTCGCCCAGGTGCGCCAGACGGTCCATGCGGCCAAGGGCCGGTCGGGCAACTATATCGAGGAGGCCAAGAAGGAGCAGGAGAAGAAGAACTTGGAGTCGTGGAACGAGAAGCGGGCCGAGGAGCAGAGGAGGAAGTTTAAGGCTGAGCTCAACCGGAAGCGGTAGGGCTTCGCTGGAAGGGTGGAGGAGCCTCCTTTTTCTCCTTGGGTGTATTGACCGTTCCCGGACAATGGGGATGTGTAGACGGGGTTGATCACTGTATACTACTTCCTATACTACTATGGCGCTGTACCACGTAAATAAATGCAATGGATGGTGTTTTGATAGAGCTTTTACAACTCGCGGTTCATTCGTAAAGGTAGCGTAGCGATGTTCGTGTCGGCTGTTCTTGAAGCTATACTGCAACCTCGACCTTCTTTCTCTCTGTTCCACTTGGTTCTCATCTCCATAAACCCCCAGTCCCATCAGACCTGACCAGTCCGGCTTTTCGTCTTTCCGGTCTTTGTCGTGCGAGTCCGCCGCGGCCATAACTGTCATTTCAGATGACAATTCGAGTCGAACCTCCCACACCTACACCTGCTCGCCGTCCTGGCTCCACTCTTGCCATCATCTTTCCTCGCCTTCATCTACCGTAGAAGAAGAAGAGAAGAAAAAAAATATACCGCAGTCAAAATAGCGGTCCCCTTGCCTGCCACCCCTCCTTTCGACCTGAAAAGGGAGGGAAAAAGAACCGAAAACCGCAGCCCGGCGAGAGAATACAGTCTGAGAAAAATGCTCAATGCTCCTCTGTTGAAACGAAGGAGAACGAAGAAAAGAAGAAGATGAAGTAGGACGGACGGAAAAAGAAGTGAACAATGAAAAAGAAAAAGAAAAGAAAAAAAAGAGCTTGTCCAGTCTAAAATACCGTACCATCGCTATCAATGAGAATAGGCGGCTCCTTTGTATTGGGCCTGCTGACCTCGGCAATCTCCCTCCCGCCCTTCCAGCTACCCGCCTCGAGAAGCTGGGCCAGCGTCAACTCGTTCCCGGCCAACTCGGGGGCGAGGTACTGGTTGACCTCGACGAGGAGCTTGTCGAGCAGACCGACGGTGACGCCGCGCCACTCGACGATGACGTCGTCGGACGGTTCGAACATGGGGGCGACCTCGACGCCGCGGACGCCGGTGCGGTCGTAGTGTGCGGCGTAGTTCTGGAGGCCGCGCTCGGCGTCGGCGGGCTTGAGGGTCAGGACGCCCGTGTCGATGAAGAGGCCGCCGTTGCGGTACTCGGGGAGGCCGGTCAGGAGCTCGGCGCCGGCGAAGTGTACGCGCAGGAGGGACTGCAGGGGCTGCATCAGGCTGTAGCAGAGCCATTGCGAGAGCTTGTGGAAGGGGAGGATGGATTCCCATGGAGCGGTCGTGGAAGGCGGGAAGGGGGATAGGGCGCCGGTTTGGGAGGAGGCAGAGCCTGATGAGGAATGGCGCGACGCGGGTTGCGGCATGGTGGAGCACGGCCAGGCGTCGCCTAACGGGACGCCGTTGATGGCAGTGCGGGAAGGAGGCCAGATGGGCGAGAGGCCGTCCATGAGGACGTGCCATAGGGTGGTGATGGCTACGATGGGCATGGACGATGCCTGGGTCGAGGGATGAGATAGGAGGTAGTCTGATTTTGGTCAGTCATGCCAGATTTCCCAGAGCGGTTTCAAGAGACGAGATCTCCGACAGGACGAAGAAACAACTTCAGATGGGGGGATAAGAAGATTATCGAGGACACATACCAACCATGTGACCTGGCCGTCCCTCTTGACCGAAATACTCCTTCTTGTCGTTGAGAGCATCGGCGAGTCTGACCAGGAGCTGGGTACGGCCTTCGATTCCCGTCATCTCGTTGCCCGGCCGCGACTGCAAGCCAGCGGCGACTTTTTCGGACGTGAGGTTACGAAGACCGTTCTTGTCTACCTGAAACTTGTTGCTGCTATCACCTGAAAAGAGGCCCTAATATCGGAGATCTCATCAGCGACAAGGGACGCCTTTGACCGCTAGTGCCTTATACCCAATTTGCTCGGAACGGGATGGGGACGACCCGCATTGGGAACGACGTACGGATTTGAACATTTCCAGACTGGCAACGGCAATGCCTTCTGACCGACGATAAAGGCGGCCGTTTTCTGCGCTCTTGTAGCTCCATTGCGTGCCAGCACCAGCATCCAGTAGGACGCTGACCAGGAAGAGGTCAATCATACGACGGCATTTTTCCGTGTTGTCGACTTCTTCGGGGAAGGTGGACAGCAAGTGGGCGATACGGTCACGTCCGCCGACGCAGAAATGCTGGTATCGGCCGTGGGGCGGGATAGTGTTAAAAGGGGCATCGTAGTCGCGCTGTGATTCCATTCGGTTGACGGCGTTGTCTCCGAGTCAGCCAACCATTTTATTGGTCTTTTTGGGTCCTGTTGAAAGACGAGGTAGGGAGATGTTGGGCAACGACGGGGGCGAGGGATCAAGGATCGAAAGGAGAAAAAGAGGAACGAATGGAACGAATGGAACGAATGTAGTATAAAAAGGCAGTATATACCTTGATGATACCAGAAACGAAGCTCACGACATCGGGAAACTTGGTCAGGTCGACGTCAAAGTGGTTCAACTCGTTGCGCAGCGCCTTGTCGAGTATGATCTTGCTCCTCTCACGAACGGCGCCCAAGCTACGAAGGTAACCGACTGGGTCGAGCTGAGGGTCAGGCGGGCGCGGTAGGTCCATCTTGGTGAGGGAGACGGGAACGGGGGAGAAAGGACCTGGGCCTCCGGTGGTGGTAGAACTGCGGATGGTGGCAGGAGGAGACTTGAGGCTCGAGACACCGGAGTCGATGCTCAGGTCGGAGTGGTTGATGGGTGCTGCCGACACCTTGGGGGGTTTGTCTCTGCGGGAGAAGAGGCCCATATTGTGGAATGACGTCGACAAAAAGAGGAGTTGGGTGAGACAATGGGTGGTTAGTGGTTGGTGCCCAGCTGGCGGGGTTGTTGACTCGGGGGGTGGGCGGCTGGGCGAAGGGGGGCGAAGGGACGAGCTTTCGTTGGTGGTGGTGGGGGTGAAAGTCGGGTATCAACTTGTTGGTCTCGGATTGTCGCGACGATCGACTCGAAGCGAATGCAATAGCAGACGGTCTGATAAAGGAGAGCGTCCCGGGTTGCTGCCGCTGCCGCTGTGCTGCTGCTGCTGCTGCTGCTGCTGCTTATGCTTATGCGGGGTTACTGATAGCACTGCATCCAATTAAAAAGCTGATTAATCCCCGTTCAAAATGATGCTGGGCATGAATTGGACGCCTGATAGATAGGTAGATGACACGGGGAAAGGGAAGAAGGGAAACGAAAGGGTGCCAGTGCATGAAACTCTGGAATCGAAGATGAAGACAAGTCATGTGCAGGACCAAGCTCGGGACGAGAAAGAGGGATAAGGCCATGAGAAAAGAGAAGGAAGAGAAGAAAAAAAGTAGTAATCAAAAATGATGTGAGGAGGGGAGAGAAGGGAGGGGGGGAGAAGCCGTGGGAGCAAACCCCTGGTCTTCTCTGGTCTTCCCAGCTACCCGAGCTTGCGGTCAATCGTCTTCTCGAACCAGGAGAACTTGAGAACTGCAGGGGGCAACGATGAAGAAGGGCGTTCCAGACAGACCAGCACGGTCCATATGGCCTAATCACCCTAGCTAGTGAAAATATAGTTGCGCTAGGCCCCGGGGAACGGGGACGAGAAACGAGGGACGAAGGACAAGGGACGAGGGGCAGGGGTCATGACAAGAGCATGGATGATCAGGGGTTGGAGGGGATAGGCAGGTCGATGGTCGATGGTTCCAGTCGGGAACCCGGTCAGTGCGCCCCCCCCCCACCCAGTTACTAGGACGGTGGGTGGGATACCATTCCCTTTTGTCTTTTTGATCCTGCAGAACGAAACGAGGGGGCAATGTTTAGTCCAGAGGGACCGTAGTAGCATGACAGCATTTCTGGCTGTTGAAGTTCCGTGAGAGACAGGAGACAGAGATAAGAGAAATAATGCCCCGTTGATGTTATGTTGTTTGAAGGTTGTTGATGTGTAAGTTGTAGCGAAGTATAAGGTATTGGTCTTCGCATGGTACCTAGGTATGTACGTACCTTGCAGAACTCGACCGATGCAGTGCTGTCACAGCGGACAGTATCAGTAGGTCTTCCCCAGATACGGAGTACCTCCGGAGGAATACCCAAGGTACCTACCTACCTAGGTACCTAGGCTGTGGACTTGTTGTCGTTTGTGTCCCGTTGCGTGGGATGTCGGGTCGGTGTATACTATATATCGGGTATCTCCCGGGGTTTGTCGGGTCGTTCGGCGTTCATCTTTGAAAGTACAAAAGAAACGAAGAGCAAGTGGAAGGACTCTGGGTCTTTTTGGTTTTTCGTTATCCTCCCTTTTAAATAAGGTACGTACAGTCGCCGGGTTACCTTAATCTGTCGTTGACAAATTCGGTTCCAACGATGGCGTGGATGGGCAATATTTCGCACGGAGTGCAGAGTTGAATGATACATAATGTACTCCTTCAATGCCACGAGGAGACGCCACATCTTCCTCGTCGAGTATGGTCAAATGGTTTGATCTTTCGAATGTTCGAACTAAAGATGTGGCAGTAAACTATGTCCCGAATAGTAACAAGTGGCGCATAGTATATTATAGTATTGAACCAGCGTCGCCAGTCCAATGCGTACTAACGAAAGCAGACAGAATACGGACGGGTTGAACCATGGAGGATCAAGCACGGAGGGAGATCTGGGTGGTCTCATTGATCGCCGGGCGGCGGTGACGGGGTTGACGGGATGTTCCTACGGGAGCAAGCGGAGACGAGAGAAAAGAAAAGAGAAACCGATGAAAAAAAGGTCCGTCGGTAGGTACCTTATTACGTTGTGTACCTTACAAAGTGATGGACGGAGGTGATCTGTACTCCGTACTCCGTACCCCTGATTCGTAAGATAGGTACGAAGTAGGAGGTATACATAGATACTCGAAGCGAGGCGAGGCGGACACCGCTGCAGAGTGGGACGACAAGGACAAGGACAGGGCGATAGGAGGGCGACGAAGTGCCTCAGGGGAAAAGGTCACGCTAAAGAAAAAGAAGAGAAAAAAGACAAAGTGAGTGACAGTATAACGTAGATAGACGATAAATTTGAAGACTCGAAACATGTAGTGGCACATTGAGAAGACATTTCCAAGATGCATTGGGCGAAAAAGGACGCAGGCGTCGCTGGGACTCGATTCCAACGGTTCGTCTTTCGTTCTGTAGCCCATTCATTGTCCGTACAGAGTTACATATGCTTCCTCCGTAAGAAGAAGGTAAGATGTTTTCGCGACACGCGTACCTTTTGATATTGAATCAAGCTAGTACCTTATAGAGGACGGGATGCTGTGTCGTGGCAAAGTAGTGATTAGCTATCCGTGCCCTTAGTGCTGCCCAAGCCCTTCCCATCATCGTCATCGTACGAAGGACGTGATTCTCTTTGAAACCTCCTCGGCAACTCCCCTTTATAGCAAATACCGTCCCGTGTAATATAGTACGACCGCGCATCGAACCCCACTGCTGTTTCCTTAAAAGACCCAGATAGCGAGATGAAACGGCACGCGGAAGTCGACCCGAATAGACGCTTGCAACCGCCGTTGATGGCCTTGACCTTGGCTTTGGGCTTGCCCAAACGAAATAAAGCGGAAAGGAAAGAAAACGAGGGGAGAAGAGGGGAAAAAAGAAAAGAAAAAAGGCACGAAAAAAGGAGTGCGTCCAAGCTACGAAGAAACGACCACCAGGTGACCCACGCTAACCAGCATGGATCTGGATTACTTGCAGACATCGCGGGTCTCCTACCCCCTAGCTCACAGGATCTTGATCAGAGCGGTCGAATCATCTTTCGTTCCGTTATGACAGAATAGGAACTCAAACCAGCATATCATTATCAGAAACACTTCGCTGACGTGTGTCTCTTTTTTTTTTTTTTTTTTTTTTTTTTTTTTTTTTTTTTTTTTTTTTTTGCTCTTTTTTCTCGTTCTCCGTTGTATGTGAACCCGGAAAGGGGAACACTGCGAAAATGGGGAATCATGAGATCAAGGGGGAACAGAAGGGACAGAAGTCGCCCTAAATCATCGAGCGGTGAGTAAGGTATAATATGGTAAACCCCACCCCGAATCTTCAGGACTCGCAAATGACATGAGTTGGAATAGAATAGGAGAAGCAAAAGAGGAAAAGGGAAAGACAAAATGAAAAGAGGAGGAGAAGTGAAGAAAAGCACGAAGAGAAAGAACGTTTATCGATTCGCTCTTTCCGGTTCTCTTCGGGGTTACGTACAGGCAACTGTGGCGCTGGCCCCATGCAAGGCACCAGGAACAATTCGTACCTTATGCAGTCACGACTCGCGACTCACCATTGCACCTTCTTCTCCCAAGTGGTCTACGATTCTCCCTGTTCCCCCGCCTCCCACCCCATTCATCTGCAAAACCATCTGCATCGAAAATTCCTGCCATTCTTCACTAATTATGCCGTACACATTCATATTTTGCGGCTGTGCAACGAACTCTGTATACTGTATGCCCTCTGCGAGCAGAGAAACCGTGGGGCAGTTGAGTGTCCCTCTCCCCTCCCCGCTGATCTGTTGCTTTTTGCGGGGGGGAGGAAGAGGTCGGTCGGGAACCACGTCGGCAGAACGAAAACGAAAAAAAAAAAAAATTTGCTCCCCAGGCGACAATGAAGCTTGTTGATTGAGATGATGGTGCATCCTTGGGAGACGGCACGACGGGACGAAATGCCCCTTTGCCAGCCCAACCATTGGAAAATCCGACACCTAACCCACGCATCCGAGATTCCTCCCTTTTAATGGAATGAAAACCCCAGGCCCAAGTCCCCCCCGGCGGCCGCCGCTTTTATCATCCCCATCCCTATTCCTCCAACGCACAAATGGCATCGACCTTGGCGGCGCTCGCGCTCTGCGGGTCGAACCGGTAACCGACCCATTCCTTGGCAAGCCGGCGGGCGAGCTCCAGGCCGATGACGCGCTCTCCCATGCAGAGCACCTGGGCATTATTGCTGAGCACGGCGCGCTCGACCGAGAAGCTGTCGTGGGCGGTGACGGCGCGGACGCCCTTGACCTTGTTGGCCGCGATGGCCACGCCGAGGCCGGTGCCGCAGATAAGGAGCGCCCTGTCGGCCTTGCCCTCGGCCACGAGCTTGGCCGCCGCGGCCGCCCGGTGCGGGTAGGCCGTCTTGTCGTCCTTGCCGAAGCTGCCCACGTCCTCGATGGACTCGACCCGGGGGTCCTTCTCGAGGTCGGCTTTGATTGTGTCCTTGTAGGTGACGCCGGCGTCCTGGAACGTTTTTCATTGTCAGCCTCAAATATTCGTCCTAGACCATGCCAAGTAGATTGGCATAAGGCTGGGATTCCTTTCCCTTTCCCCTTTCCCCATCGACCGTGAGCATGAAAAAGCGCATAGTACAAGGGTAAGCGAAAGAAAGGGGCGGGATGTGATGGGAAAACATTTCTCAGCCGAGTTCGAGTTCACTCACGTCGCAACCGACAGCTATTCTCAGCTTCGAGTCTGCCATGGCGGGATCTGGATTGTGCAAGCTCGGGTACAAACGACTTCAACGTTGAAGACTGCCAAAGGAATACAAAGTAGATCACAAGAGGGTGAAAAGAATCGCTATTCCAAAGCAGAGAAGAGAAAAGAATGGAGGTGAATGTCAGCCATGAACCCCTCCCTCCTGTCAAACTCGACCCCTCCAAAGCGCAGCGCTCGAATTACCCTCCTTCTATTCTCAGTTTCCGGTTTACTCTGACGTATCCCAAGCTTACAAACATTGGACCTTTGATCGGTGCCTTGCCACCTCCCATCGTCGACATGGGGCAGGTGATTCGTGGGGGTCGGGGTCGGGTTTCTCTTTTAGGAAACCCGAAGACTTTTTCGAGCTGCCGGCGTCCTCCCGACCTTCGATGAGACCAAAGAACACATGACGAAGATTCTCCTCTTACGAGCCTCACCATTGGGCGCCATGACCGGTTAATAAGCTATGGGAGGGGACTTTGGGGGCTCGAACCTGACAAGAGACAGGAGGGGAGGCCAACGAGAGCTCACCAACCGCACCAACCGTAGCCAAGACCCTCCATAATCACCCCGCCAAACAACCCCACTGACGTGGCTCTACACCGTATCGCGGGGACGGATCGGGCTTGGGAGCGGTATGCCCATCGGAGGAAACGCCGGGGGAGTGGAGAGCGGGGGGCGAAGCCTTTCAGACACTCCTTGTGACACGCAAAGCCAGTAACGGAGTACGACGTATGCACATTCGGACCGCCCGCCGATGTCTCAACTGAGGACGATCCATTGAGAATGGGCGAGACCCCTTCGTTTACTGTCTGCCACCCTCGGCCTCGGCCTCGTCTCCCACTCCTCCCTCTCCCCACGTAATACCCCAGCTCTTCTGCAGATCGGCTGAGGCTCCGAGAAATCACCCCTCCCCTTTCTTTCGTTCTCTCCCTCTTTCTCACTCTGTCTCCTCATCTTCAATTCTCAATCTTCCAATATTCTCCCTTCTCTGATCTATGCCCTTCCATCCCAACGCTCATTTGTCGATTGCTTGACGCCGAGTTCACTTGGCAGCCAGGAATACATCTCCCAATACTCACCAAAACCCAGCTGTACCAATTGATCAAATAGTAGACGACATTGGGACGAACGAAAGCGAATGATCGAATAAGGACCAGGAAGCAAGAAAAGAAGAAGCAAAAGAGAAGTGAAGAGAGAAGATATGTCCAAACGTCACCTCTTCGACTCGCCGGATGGGCTGGTCAACAAGTGCCTCCGGGGCCTTGTCTCTTACAACCCGTCGCTCGCGCTCGACGAAAGCAACCGCGTGGTGTACGACACTCGGTTCGACCGGTCCAAAGTGAGCATCATCAGCGGCGGCGGTTCGGGCCATGAGCCGGCCTGGGCGGGCTATGTCGGTACGAACCTCTTATCGGCCTCGGTGGCCGGCGACATCTTCGCCAGCCCTAGCACGCGCCAGATCATGACAGCCATTGAGCACGTGCCCTCCGACAAGGGCACGATCCTCGTCATCACCAACTACACCGGCGACTGCCTCCACTTCGGTCTCGCCAACGAGAAGGCCCGCGCGCAGGGCCACGACTGCCGCATGATCATGTGTGGCGACGACGTCTCGGTCGGCCGCAAGGGCGACCGCGTGGGCCGTCGCGGCCTGGCCGGCCAGATCGGCGTGCTCAAGGTCATGGGCGGCGCCGCGGGCGAGGGCGGTTCGGTCGACGAGGTGTACGACCTCGGCGTCTCGTTCGCCGACCAGATCGTCTCCATCGCCGCCACCCTCGACCACTGTCACGTTCCCGGACGGTCAGAGCACGCAGCACTGGCACCCGACGAGGTGGAAATCGGCACCGGCCCGCACAACGAGCCGGGCTATATCAAACTCTCGCCGCAGCCGTCCCCGGAGGGCATGGTCAAGGAGGTCCTACGGTACTGCCTCGACCCCAACGACCCAGAGCGCAGCTACGTCCGTTTCGCGCCTGGCGACGAGACCTTCCTGCTGGTCAGCAACTTCGGCGGCATGTCGCACCTCGAGATGGGCGCCCTCGTCGACGAGCTGCTGGCCCAGCTGGCCGCGGACTGGGACCTCCGCCCCTCGCGCGTGTACGCCGGTTTTCTCGAGACGTCTCTCAACGCCCCGGCCTTTTCCGTCTCGGTAGTTAACGTGACGGCGGCGGCGCGCGGGTGCGCCTACTCGGTCGACGACATGAAGCGGTTCGCCGACGCCCGCACCGATACCTACTGGGAGTCCATGGCCGGTGCACAGTCGGCGCGGCGACCACGGGACGAGCAGTTCGTGACGAAGAAGGAGGAGGAGACCAAGGCACCAACGCCGGAAGACCGAGACGTCAAGGTCGACGCTCAGAAGCTGGACAAGATGCTGCGGACGGCATGCGAGGCGGTGGTGGCGGCCGAACCGGACCTGACGCGGTGGGACACGGTGATGGGCGACGGCGACTGCGGCGAGACGGTCAAGACGGTGGGCCTGTCGCTCCTCGGGGCGTTGGACCAAGGGGTGGCGTCGGCGGGCTCGGTGGACGCCGTGCTGGCGGCGCTGGAAGACATTGTCGAGTCGCGCATCGGCGGCACGCTGGGCGGCGTGCTGGGCATCTTCTTCGTGTCTCTCCGGCTCGCCATCCAGGAGAACGCGGGACTGGCGCGGACGGAAGGGCAGGAGGCGCTCTGGGCCAAGGCGCTGGCGTCGGCGCTGGCGAACCTGAGGCGGTACACGCCCGCGGCGGTGGGCGACCGGACTATCATGGACGCGCTGATCCCGTTCGCCGAGGGCATGGCCAGGGGAGGGTTCGAGACGGGCGTGCAGGCGGTGGCAAAGGGGGCCGATACTACCAGGGGTATGAAGCCCAAGCTGGGACGGGCGACGTATGTGGGCGGGGACCTGGCGGAGAAGGATGTGCCCCCTGACCCGGGCGCATGGGCTGCGCGAGTTGCGCTGGAGGGGTTGAAGACGGGAATGTCTTCATCGTCGTGAGAATGATATGAATAGCAAGTACTTCGTGATTCAACGTGACTTTTAGTCTTTAGTCTCCTCCTTTATAAGGCACATGTTTCTCTTCTCGCCCGCCTGTCTGGTGTTAGTGTGGTTTGTAGGTGTAACGCCTGTGTTGTTCACTCTATATGCCCTGGGTACTATGTTGACTACCTTACCTTGGAACACCTGCAAAAAAGGCACTCAGGCTACGCCCAACTCACCTAATCACCTTAATTGGACATCCGAGGGGGGCACAAGCGTGGCCAAGTTGGTTCAATGAGAAGGTCCCAGTTGACTCGCCGGTCGTCCCGCATGGAGATCGGCGTTTTCACCGATGGAGGAATAAACCAATACTATTACTAAATTCCAAGGGCGGGGACACAGAGGTGAATGAAGTAATGATACAGAAGTATCTCAACGCGTCTCTTTGTATTTTCAGGTTCGGTTCCCAAGGCAACTTCTTCTCACATCGTCAACATCGGCATCGCCCTCATTTGCACAGCATATATATTTCTTCCCTCCGCCAACATAAAACAATAATATTCCCTGCCCATTCCCACTAGAAAAGAAGAGAAAGACGAAGAAAAATGACGTCAACCCAACCCCCCAGGAGAAGAATCCTCGGCTTCTCAACAAAAATGTACTTCTCCCACGCCCGCACGAAATCCTACCTCTCCTCCATCCTCCCCCACCTCACCGCGGAACAAAACGCCCAATCCGTCTCCTCCCTCGACCTCTTCATCATCCCCGACTTCCTCTCCCTCCCCTCCGCCGTCTCCCAAACCCGCGGCTCCCCACTGCTCGTCGGCGCCCAGGACTGCCACTGGGACGACACCGGCGCCTTCACCGGCGAAATATCCCCCGCCGTCCTAGCCGAAGTGGGCGTCCGCATCGTCGAACTGGGCCACGCGGAGAGGAGGCGGCTCTTCGGCGAGACGGACGAGTCTACTGCCCGCAAAGCCGCCGCCGCGGCACGGAACGGCCTGATCCCGCTGGTCTGCGTGGGGGAGGTTTCGCGCGGGTCGGTCGACGAAGCGGCCCGGGAGGTCGCGGGACAGGTGGAGGTTGTGATGCGGGCTGTGCCGCGGGACAAGGAGGTCGTGTTGGCGTACGAACCGGTTTGGGCTATTGGGGCTGCGGAACCTGCGGCGGCGGACCATGTTGTTGGTGTGGCGACGAGGTTGCGTGCTTTGAGCTGTGTTGCGGACCGGCGGGGGCCCGTGAGGATCGTGTATGGGGGGAGTGCTGGCCCTGGGACATTTGCCAAATTGAAGGATGGGCTGGATGGGTTGTTCCTGGGGCGGTTTGCGCATGATCCGGAGCAGTTCTGGAAGACGATTCAGGAGGTGGCTACGGCGTAGGGGAACTGTGAAAGAATATCAAGTAGGGGCTTACGATGATGCATGGTCACATTTTCTCACGACGGCGTAGCACAGGAGACGAGAATCAGTGTGATAAAAAGAAAAAGAAGAAAAAAACCCAAAGCCATATCCAAGAGATGACGCTTATTATAATAAAGACTGAACAACCAGATTCCCTTCCGTCTATCCCAAGTTTACCAAAGATGCCGAAAGTCAAGAATAAATTCTCTGTAGAAGGTCGAGAAGGACACAAAGCGGAATATATGTGACATATCGTGAGGCCCAGTGTGCCCCATGTGATTCCCACAAACGACACTCAGTTTAGAAGAGGGTGAAGACGCCGGCGAGGAGGGCCAGGCCGACGCAGGTGAGGGCAGAGAAGCCACGGCCAGAGATGGCGGCCGAGTCGTCGTTGTTCTCAGCGGCGTCACCGTCGTCACCGCCGACAACAGGCTCCCGATCCGGGCCGGAGTCGGAGTCAGAGTCAGAGTCAGAGTCCGAATCCGAGCCAGAACCAGAACCAGACCCAGAGCCGGCGCCGGAGCCGGAGCCGGAGCCGGAGCCCGCACCCGAGCCCGAACCCGAGCCAGGGGCGGAGGTCGGCTCATTGGGGCCGGCGCTACCCGTGCTTGATGGCAGGGACTCGCTGGGGACGCTGGTGGGCGTGTCAAAAGTGGTAGGGCAGGTCAAATTGAAGAGGGGCTGGGTGTTGAGGTCCTTGGTGATGGCGAACTTCATGGTGTTGTCCGGGTTGGAGTCGCGCAGGATGTACCAGAAGGTCGGGGTCTTGCCGAAGAGCTGGCGGCAGCCGACCTCGTCCCAGTAGTACTTGGCGTTCTCGACCGAGGCCTCGGCCTCGTCCCAGTCCGGACCCGAGGCGGGCCAGCCGGTCTCGGTGATCCAGACGGGCTTGTCGCCGACGACGGCGAGGGCGGTGGCGTACGAGCGGTCGAAGAGAACCGGGGCGTTGCCGATGGAGTTGCCCTTGCCGGACTCGTAGTAGGGGAACGAGTTGACGCCGACCCAGTCGACGGCGTCAAGGACGGGCTTGTTGGTGGTGTTGGGCCAGACGTCCCACGTGTCGACGTGGCCGACGGGGACGCCGGCGAGAGAGGTCTCGGCGAAGGCGTCGCGGAAGTCCTCGATGAAGCCCACGAGGGCCTGGGGGGAGTTGCCGAGGCCGGCTTCGTTCTCGATACCGGTGGCGGAGATGCGGTACAGGTCCTCGCTGCCGATGGAGATGCCGATGACAAGGTCGGTAAAGTCGGTGCCGAGGTTGTCGACGGCCTTCTTCAGCGCCGTGATCTCCTTGTCGATGTTGTCGGTGCCCGAGGCCCAGACGCCGAGGAGGACGTTGGTCTGGGTCTCCACGGCGGCCTCGAAGGCCTCGATGGGCTCGTCCTCCGAGTAGGCCTGGATATTGGTGTACAGACGGACGGCGCTGAAGGTGCCCGGGGCGCCCTCGAGGTTACGGGCGGTGTTGAACTCCTCCACGAAGTCCTTCTTGAATTTGGCCGAATGGTCGTCTTTGGTGGAGCCCGAGTTGAAGCCCAGGTAGTTTTGCTGAGCGGCCGCGCCGACAGCGGCGACGCTAGCCGTGAGGATAGCGGAAACACGCATTTTTACAGTGTTATATTTTTTTCTTCTCTTTTGCTTTCTTTCGCTTCGTTTGTCAATTGAGGATAGTACACTCGGGAGGTTGAGGTTGATGAACAATATATAGTTGGTGTTAAAGGTCGATGAACGAGAGTGGATGGGTTTCCGGAAGCTAAAGAGCGACAAAAAAGAAGGATCTGAAAAAAAGAGCGGAAACCCAAGAGATGGAAAAGAGAGAATAACGATAAAAACAAGTCGTTGTAGAATAGGAGAGGTGTGTTTGGAGGAAAGGAAGAAATTGAAGACAGTGAAGATAGGAGCCAAGGAAGAGATTAGGGGCGCAGAGCGGAACGCGTAGTCGTCACGTGCGATTAGTCATGGAGTTCTAGACCTCGCATTCAGGGGGCGAAACGGGAGGAACGACAGTGTCAAGTCACGTGTTTACGGTTCTTCCAACAGGCTTAAATCCCTGCAGGAGCCAGGGGTTGATACAATGTGGGCGGAGTAATATTATGGAGGATGAAACGAGCAACGACCACCTCGTATTGTCGGTCATACCTACTACGAAGTACGAATACTTCGACTCTCATCGGGTAATTATAACCCATAGGCCATACGTAGGTACGGAGTTGGTACTCCATCCATACAGTAGGAAAACAGTGTAATTAAGACGAAGATGAGTCAGCAGAAAGGTATGAGTCAACTTCCGTCTCAACAGGCAGCCGCAAGGGAAAAGACCAGGAAGTCTTCGGAAAAAAGGACGTGATGCCACCAGCCTCCGCACAGTCATCTACTATACGTACATTCTCGGAGCCTCCCAGTCTCCCAGTCTCCCAGTCTCCCAGCCCACCTGGAGGCTGGTCAATCTGTGGACTGGATCTCTTACCAACCCCCCGCACTGGCGCTGAACGCCGTGAGAACGGCGGACCGAGGTCATGGGCCTCTTGAGATCCCAGCATAACTCTGTACCTTGTTCCCAATACCATTACATCCATGGCTACAGATACCAAGTCTGTTCAGACCGGCGAGGCCGCCGCCGCTCAGGCCCAGTCTCAGTCTCAGTCTCAGTCCCGATCCCAAGCATCTGAGGACCTTGCCGCCCTTTCGCAGCATTGCCTTGACATGATGACCAATATCACCACCCTCCTCGACGAGCTGCAGTTGCTCAAGGCGGCACTGGACCAGCAACCCGCCATTGGCTCGAAAGCTCTCCCCTGGAACCAGGCCGTGCCTGGCCTCGGCGCCTTTGAGCGCCTCGTCCAGTCCGAGAAGCGCAACGTCGAGGGCATGCTCGGCATATGCGACTCCGCGCGGTCACTGCCCGACGACCCTCGTGATGCTGCTCACCCGGACGACCCGGATGTCGAGTTAGAAGCCGCTAACAAGATGCTACGCCACAAGCTTGACGCATGCAACTACAAGTTTCACCAGATTGTGTGGGATACCGCCAAGAAATGCCATCGCCTGGCCGGACTGCGACGTGAGATGCCCCGCTCGACTTCCAACCGCAAACGGGATACGGTTGTGGTGGATGTGGTCGGGAGTGGGGGTGGCGAATGGGTCAAGATCATCACTACCACGGAGCGGCGCCTCTTCTATGAGATGACCGACGCCGGCTGGGAGTGGGACGAGGTCGAGGTCGAGAACGACGGTGACGGTGACGGTGACGACCAAGCGAGCCCCCTTCCCCTCCCTGATGAAGGTGGCGAGAATGACATTGAGATACTTCGTATCACTCGTCAGCTCGTCACCGCTGCCTCCCTTGCCTACCACGAGTATCGTCATCCGACGGTGAGAGTCCTCCTTTCTCGCATCGCCCAAGGTCGGAATGCCCACGTGGACAGGCTGCTGAACCACGTTCGGACGCTTGGGGGGAGCAGTGTGCACCTTGTGGTCGAGACGACGAACTCTGACTCCCACGCTGGTGGTCTCCTGAACCGACCCGTGCCGCCTATTGACGAGGCCACCGCCAACCTCGCGCATCGGGAACCGTTCGGTGACTTCACCGGGACGCTCAACGTCGACTGCTCCGTCTTCATGGCCTTGGCCTCCGATTTCAGCCACATGGAGATCCATCCGGGGTCGCCCCTGCTGCGTAACCACCAGCACCGGATCGACGCGGAGGACGAGGTCTCCAATGGGCCCCGCCTGCTGACCACACTCTACCCAGCCATAACAGGGCGGGACCTCGTCTGCACGCAGGACGCGGCGGATACTTTTCTGAAGATTGTGTACGATATTGGCACCGACTCGGAGCAGGCACGCACTCGGGTTTTGTTCGGCAGCCCAGCTGATGATGACGATGACGATGACGATGACGCCGGGGCAGACAACGATGAGCGTAGGGACGCAGACCGACGCAGACGGCGCGACGAGCTCGCTGCTCTGTCCAAGTACCCCGTGCCCGAGGACCTTCGCCTCCCCATCCGGACGGTCGGGACGATCACCTGGCAGGAAGCCCAGCGGCTGGTTGGGAAGGGTGAGCTACCGGAAGTGGCACTTGCAGTCGGGCGTAAGGGCTCGGGACTTAACGCCATGAACGTGTCGTCTTTCTTGTACGGGTGGAAAAGCCGGCTCACGACCATCACGTCGAACTGGGAAGCGGCGAAACGGCTTCGGATGCTCATCGAAACGAGCGAGCCCCCGGGTCATGATGACAAGAAACCGGACCGGTCCGACGAGGCCGAGAGTGTCGGTGATTTTGGTTCGGGCTCGGGGGCGGGGGTGGTTGATAAGATTGGGGAAGAAGATCGGAGCCGGTTCGGGCCCGGTCCCCAAATCTGGCGGATCCCGTTCGCGAGGAAACTACTCGCCAGGCCGCGGGAGGCGGGGGCTGAGAGGGCGCCTATCAAAACCAGGAAGGAGAGGAAGGTAGAACAGGCGACGTCTCTTGAACGGTACACAAAGACGGAATGATAGGGGACACATTTCGAAGGGCGATTCCCAGCCCAAAAGACTCGAGATCATGATGCATAGCGAAGGAGTAGCAGTCAGCGGGTTTTTAGCGTTTTTCTATAAATGTAGCGTAACAAGAGTAGAATTAGATTCAAGTGTCTTTTTTTCCCTTTTCCTTCCATTTTCCCCCCTTCTTTTCGCGTCGCTTGTTTTCACTCGTCCACTCGGTTCTTGGGTTACGTCTTGTCTCGTTGTTCCGACGGTTCGACCGCCGATTGATACAGAGCCATTGACCTGTGTTTCATGTGGTGGTAGATGCACTGTAATCAATACTACAAACAGACGTCGACGGTGAGAGAGCCAGGGCCAGAAAACGGCATCTTTTGCGCGGCGGCAGGCTATCTGGCGTGTCCGTCCCGTTGGACATTACTACATTAGCTTCCTAGCCGGTACCAACTCTTCGAGAACCATTTTTGGAACAACCCAACACGATTATTATTATTATTAACACACGTCTTACGTGTGTGTGTGTCCCCTTCGGACTGACTATTCTTGGCGTTTCTCTTGGCGAGTTGGTCATCCTTGCGATGTGAACACGGCAGTTCCAAGCTCAAGGCAGATGACTAAAAAAGGGGGCGTGGCTGTGGAAAGACTGTTATTTCTCGGTCTTCGGTCAAGAAGTTCCGTCGCTTCTCACTTCCAGCATTGAACATTTATTTCAGCCCGTTTCAACCTGGCCAAGTCTTCGGGACACGGACACCCAGCCAACCAGTAGGCAGCAAGACAGAGCGAGAGGGGTGTAAGACAGCGGGTATTTCACAAGGAATTGTTCATTTGTTTTGCGTGTTGGACAGGTCGAGGAGGGGGGATATGTGAAGCCATGGATAATCTGCTGATTGTCCGCAGTTGGAGGCGAGTAGAGAGCTTTCAAAAAGTCGTAGTTGGCTGGTTGCGACTCTGCACTGACACTGGCTCAATCCACAGGTTTAATCCACAGGTTGGGAATTCCACGGCTGGTATCAGAGGAGGCTCGAATAGAGAAAAAGAGAAGAAGAGAGTTTCGCCATCTCAGTCATGTGTTTATGAACGCATCCATAGGTAGGTAGAGTTGCGTGCGTCCGTCGACATTCCGGCAGAGCCCATAGCAGAGCCCGCGGGGGAGACACGTCCGTTGCGACCCATCCTTAACCTCTCCCTCGGTTACGATGTCGCATGGCAGTGACATGTCATGGCATCCGCGTGAATCGCGCTGCAAGTAGATGGATATTGACCCGAGGGATGGGGAACAGAAAGGACGCCGAACGTGAACATAGTAGGTATCCGAGGATATGGATGATTGAGATGGTGGAGTAATGGAGATGGAGTACGAAGGTACCTACCTTACCTTAGGTAAGGTACCTAGTTCAAAGAGGAACTTGAGGTCGAGAAGCTGAGATGCATGGTGAGTAAAGTTCTGTAAACGTTTTAAGGGCAAAATGTATCGGTACTTTTGAGGCACTATTCCTGGATTTCGCCCAGATCTTTGCGATGGTACAAATCAGTCCACACAAGGGTCGAAGTGGTGTACTTTGACTTATTACCGAAACTGTTGCTTCCTCATTGTACCCGTAACTGACGCACCAAGACTGTACGAAGTAATTATACGAGGTACTCCTTCCGTACCTAAGGTATCTCTATGACGTCTTCGTACCACCATACTCAGCATTCCCCAGTAATTACACACACGACTACCGAAGGGAAGGAACGATGGAGTCACGGGGCCATTGTTCGTGAGTTAGTCATCCTGTTCATAGCCGCACGTGTCAGAGGGCTTGGAACGGTTTCTTAGCTTCCCATAGCTCCCCGCCCCCCCGTAGTTTCTTTCCACCTCCACGCCTTCAACCGTCCTCATCGAATCTTCGAACGGCCCGTACAAATGACGTTACTTATCCGGCAGACTACCTAAGCTAAGGACCAACAGAAACGCCCCAAAAGCCGCCCCCTGTCGTTCTCCCCATCGTGCCCCGATGCAAACGACCGAGCGGGCTTGACTCTCATTGGAGCGCATCGAGGAACATTACCCTGCCCGTCTCCGCGTTGCCCCGTGGACCGCTTCTGGAGATTCTCCGGGTCTCATTGCCGAACACAAAGCTTGGTTGGTTGCAATCGGCTGTTCTTGCGTTGCCTCCCCAAAGCCACCAAAGCGGGAGCGGCGCCCAGAGGACGAAAGCCACCGAGAAAGCTCCCCCGCCAGCAAAAAGCGAGAAAAGCCACCCAATCGGCAGATTTAATTCTCCCGTCTCTTCTCCACTGCCGACCACCGACCTCGGACGTTGACTGGCGCGATTGGGGAAGAAGAAACAAAGGCACCACCAGCCCAGACAGACCGCAGATAGGTAACACCACAGTGACCGCAAGAGACTCGAGGTAGGAGACCACAAGAGACCAGCACCCAAGAAAAGAGGGGGGACCCCGGACTGGGGAATGGGGTAGGTAACATGGGAGAGAGAACGGAGTAGCAACCCTACACTTAGAACGAAAAAGAGTGGGGTGGGCGCATCAGCTACGGATCTGACCTCTCTCGACCTGTCTTGACCTCTCTTGACCTCTCTCCATCAACTATCCCCTGGTCAAGCCCCCGGGTATGTCCAAGGGTGTGGGGAAGAACACGAAGGGCCGGTGAAGCGAGTGAAGCAAGCGAGCGAAGCTCTATTGGCCTTTTGTGACGATATATAACAAGCTGTCCTCCCTCTTTTTCCTTTCGGGATCTCCCAGCTTCGTGGGTTCCCAGCTGTCTCGGGTGTTTTTTTTTTTTTTTTTGTGAGCCTCCTCCAGTCTTGGCTTGACAGTGTGTGGCTTCGCCCATTTGGACCCTCCGTTGGTCTAATCCCAACATTGGTTGGATTTGAAGGTCGAGAAAAAGAGCTTCCTTCGTCGGTCTCTCGACCTCCCCCGTCTTTACGTACAAGATCCTGTCTTAGCTACGGTTTCTCCCAAGTCGCCCATCATGTATCGCATCTATAACATTTACGGTAAGTCCTCTCAGCGAATTGATAAACAGGCACACGAAGCGGGGAAAATCGACCGTGTGGCTGACTTTCCCCGTCCTGCTTAGTGCTCGCCGGCTTCGGCACCATCGGCGGCATGCTCTTCGGTTTCGACATCAGCTCCATGAGCGCCTGGATTGGCGCCAGGCAGTACACCGACTACTTCAACGACCCGGACAGCACCCTCCAGGGCGGTATCACCGCCTCCATGTCGGGCGGTTCGCTTATTGGCGCCCTGGCCGCCGGTTTCATCGCCGACCCTCTGGGCCGTCGCGGCGCCCTCCAAGTAGCCTCCGTCATCTGGATCATCGGCGCCATCCTGCAGTGTTCGTCGCAGAACGTGGCCCACCTCATCGTCGGCCGTGTCGTCTCTGGTTTGTCCATCGGTATCACCTCCTCGCAGTGCTGCGTCTACCTGGCCGAGCTCGCGCCGTCCAAGATCCGCGGCCGCATCGTCGGTATCCAGCAGTGGTCCATCGAATGGGGTATCCTCATCATGTACCTCATCTCCTACGGCTGCGTCATGACCGTTGACGGCCCGGCCGCCTGGCGCATCGCATGGGGTGTCCAGGCCATCCCCGGCGCCGTCCTGCTCGCCGCGCTCTTCTTCTTCCCCGAGTCCCCCCGTTGGCTCGCCGGCCGCGACCGCTGGGAGGAGACCCATGAGGTCCTGGCCAATCTCCACGGCGGCGGTGACCGCGACGACCCCATCGTCCTGGCCGAGCTCGAGGAGGTCAAGGAGGCCGCCCGCATTGCCATGGAGGCCAAAGACGTCAGCTTCTTCGGTCTGTTCGGCCCCAGGATCTGGAAGCGCACGCTTGCTGGTACTTCCGTTCAGATCTGGCAGCAGCTGCTTGGCGGTAACGTCATGCTTTACTACCTCGTCTACATTTTCAACATGGCTGGTTTGGTATGCATCATTTTCTAGTTTTTCTAGTTTTTTTCCTTCTTTTCTTTTCCTTTCTTTTTCTTCTTCTTTTTTTTTTTTTTTTTTTTGGGGGGTGTACGACATAACTAACACGTTCTTTTCAGACCGGAAACGTCGCCCTCACCTCCTCCATCATCCAATACGTGCTCTTCCTCGTCACCACTGCCTTCATCCTCCCCATCGTCGACCGCGTCGGCCGCCGGCCTCTCCTCCTGGGCGGTGCCATCTTCGCTTCCATCGTCCACTTCGCCACCGCCGGCGTCATGGCCACCTACGGCTACCCCGTCGACTCCATCGACGGCAACGCAAACCTCAGGTGGGCCGTCGAGGGCGACCCGGCTCGCGCCATCATTGCGCTGTCCTACATCTTCGTCGCCATGTACGGTCTCACCTGGGCCCCCATCGGCTGGATCTACTGCTCCGAGGTCTTCCCGCTGCGTTACCGCGCCAAGGGCGTCGGTCTCTCGGCCGCGTGCAACTGGGCGATCAACCTGGCTCTAGCCTTCTTCGTGCCTCCGGCTTTTACGAACATTCAGTGGCGGACGTGAGTGGCCTCTTTACCCCCAACAGTTATATATGTCTAGGAAGACTAACATTGCCGTCAAAAACAGATACATCATCTTTGGCGTCTTCTGTTTCGCCATGACCTTCCATGTCTTCTTCCTGTACCCCGAGACTTCCGGCAAGTCGCTTGAGGAGATCGACCTCCTCTTCGACCAGAACCTCTCCGCCTGGAGGACCGGGAGCAAGACTAGTCACCTGCACACTCGCGCCGCTGAGCTGGCTAATGAGAAGGGGGCAGGCGCCACCGCTACGGCGACTGAGGAAGAGAGGGCTTAATTAAATTTAAGCTCTCGTTTTTTTAACGTTGAAAAAAAAAATCAATGCAACCTATGGTGATAAGAGAATGGGGCGTCTATATATACCATTGATGAGGGGGGGGGGCAGGAGACGGATGAACAACGATGAGAGTTGGAGCGTGTTGTGTTTGATTGAGCGCAGCGGACATCGTAGTCAGGCGAGGGCAAGATACCAATATACCAAGCTTTTTTTCGTCATAATAACTATAAAGATTGAGGTAAAACAAAGAATAAGATCGTATATATATATATATATAGTAAGAGGGAGAATAGCGGTGATCAGAGAAGACAGCTGATTGCGTGCCATGACTCGAATCAAACAAGAAACGAACAACACCCGCTGCCGCGACATGGAACATGGAAGCCATCCAAGTTTCTCCATCGATACCTGATTAAGACAAAAGACAGAAGGCTGTGAAAGAACTTGATGAGAATCTTCCCATCCTGAAGAAATCGGCCTCAACTCTCCGTGATGATTCACGTTCCCCGAACACCCCGAATTCCCATTAACATCCCCCCCCCCCCCCCCCCTTCTTTTCGCGTCCGCCTCCCGCCTCACGCATACCTCGACTGGGAATACCCGGACACCGGCGTATTCTGCAGGCTATTCATGCCGGAACGCGCAGGGGACGCACCATCGAGCTCGGAATACATGTTGGGCGCCTCGTGGATCTGTGTTTTGCCTCCTCCGGTTCGCAACTGCTCCGCCGCCCAGGCCAACAATGCGTCCTTCTCGGCCGCGCTCATGGCCGTCACCGCGCTGTGCGCGAACCCAGAGTGCGCCGACGGGCTGCTGCCGGCTGCTGCTGCTGCTCCGTCGCCTCCTCCCTTGGGATTATTACCGGCGGCCAGCTCGGCCCTGTCGCTGTCGCCGCCTTGTGACGGGTAGACGTTGGCGCTGGCGCGTCTCCGGCGCCACCAGAGGAAGGCGAGGCCGGCTAGGAGGGCTACGACGCCGAGGGTTGCGCCGACGGCTATTCCGGCAGCGGCGCCTGCGGTGAGGCCTTCCGAAGAGGAGGAGGAAGGGGAGGACGAGGGGGTGGAGGAGGTGGAGGGTTCGTCGACTGGGGCGGTTGGGATTGGGGTGGTGGAGGCGCTGGTGGAGTCTGAGGTTGGTACAGCGTCCGATGATGTCGCTGCGCTTACATCGGTTGAGGAGCTTGGTGTTGGTGATGAGACTAGTGAGGAGGTTTCCTGGATGAAAAAGGGGTCAGTCTCATTCCAACACGTATCTACCATGGCAAAAAAAAAGGGACAAAAAAAAGGGGCAAAAAAGGCCACTTACCCCGGCATAGATGGTAGACCACGCGCCATCATTCACATCCCTCGCGCTCGAGAAGATCCAATGCTGGGCCGGATGCTCGGCGTCCGACGTCTCCCCCTCAATCCGATCATTCAAGAACAAGTTGGACCCCGGGTGCACGTCGAGCACGGTATCGGTCCCGTTGGCGAGGTTGGAGATCTTGTAGCCGCCGTCGCCCCAGTCCTCGATGTACCACTTGTGCGAGTCGTGGAGCGAGGCGCGCTGGAGGCAGGCCACGGTGCGGGAGGAGGCCACCTCGTCCGGGTCGTGGCAGGCGGCGAGGTGGTTCCCGACGCCGGAGCTGCTGAGGCGCATGATGTAGCGGCCCGGCTCGTCGTCGACGGGCTGCATCTGCCATCGCTGGTCGACGATGGGGAAGACGCGGAGGCCCCCGTTTGTGGTTTGCAGGGTGTGGGAGAGCCGGGTGCCGACTTCGTCTACCCGTTCTTCGGAGATGTGGTACCACACGTTTGGATCGAACTCGGCTGGCATGATGAATGTGCCGATGGTGAGTGCTGGGTGAGTGGGTGAAGTTTGGGTCGGGAGACCTAGGTAGCTGCTAGAACGGCAGCAGTGGGCGAAAGAAAGTAATTAATTGTTCTTTCCACGGCGAATGTCCGTCCCGTCGTAGACCTCTGCTCTTCCTCAGATGCTGATCTTCCTTGCACACCTCAGTTGGCCCCAGGTGGTAGTGATTAGAACGGATAGATAGATACCCGTCTGTCAAACCGCCGTCGTGGTCTCGTTGTCGTGATAGCCAACCAACCCCGTTCTCAAGTGTCGACGACTTTTTTGTCGAAAAAAAGAAGGAAAAGATCGGTGTCACAGCATGAATCTCAGAGGGGGGCAGGCAGTGAGTGCATTGCTCATCGGGCCCCAGCCAGGCCGATTTTGGCGGACGGGTTCCATCGCGGAAGAAACCGAAGTGGATATATGTAGCATCTCTGGGCGTGGCTCTGGCGGTGTTCCAGAGCGGCAGTGTCTCCTTAGTCGGCGATGGTCCCCCCGCGGCGACCCCCCTGTCCGAAGGATCCGCCATGCTGAAACCGAACAGGGGGACACCTGGTGCCGGTCAGTTCTCTGGTGGGTTTCGACGGTTGATTGGGTTCTCATTGGCTCACTTTACGGGCTTTGGTAGGTATCTGTGCCTACTGAAGTGGAAGGATGGTCGTGACACGCGAAGCTTGAGCACTCTCCTCCACTCGTCTGGTGGTCTGGTGGTCTGGTGGGATAACTGGTCCTTTGCTGGTCGATGAGCGACGCAAGAGACGCCAAATTCGACGCCAAGGTATCCTTCGAATTAATCATTAGCCCTCGCCCGTTTCACTCACGCATTCTGCGAATAAGAGCTTTCAGCCCTGGCGGCTATCAACCCCCCCCCCACCCCTTACATACTCCGCGGTCATTCGTTCCCCAATGCTTTGCAGCATGTTCCCGAATCCCGACAAGCTGACCATATCCGTTCCCTCGAATCGTTCCACGTCTTTGGTTAGCCAGTTGACTATCCCACATCCCACATCCCACATCTTACCATCCCAAGAATCATCCCATCAACAAGCATTTCCTGCATAATTTTCTGCTTCCTGCTGTCCACCCAACCCAGGCTTAAGACAGTCTTAGACACGAGTCTGAACTGGCCAATCCCGCACCGTCGCCGCGGCAGACGTGAAGCCTATGCGCAGGGTCAGGGGCACACTTGGAATTATGAGGTTGCATTTGCTGAACAAAGCGGCGCTTGGACCCAGATATTATCCGTATCCGCCCCTAGGACGTGGACCCGTCCGACGCTCCCGTCGCCTAGTGCTGACGCTCTTGAGCTGGGCATTAGGCATCAGATTAGCCTGGGGGAGAGGACGCCGTTTAGAATCGGGCTCCCCTTTCCCAATACCGTAATTGCTTCTGTAAGTGCACTTCTGTTGAATTGACGGGCGTGTGATCCGGCCGGAGCAGAGATTCAATGGATGTATGATTGTATTCGACACACAAAGGAAAGGAAAAACAGGAAGGTGTGGGTGTTCTAAATACATCTACCCCTTTTCACGCGAGGAATGTGGGGCTAGTAACAGCCAATAGAAACACATAAAACCATCTCACGTGTTTTCAGTGCGACAACAACTTCGTAGACCCTTGTCCTTAACCCCGGCAGCCGTAAGGCTGCCCCGACCGACTCTCCGGTCAAAACTCCCCGGACAGACGTCGGCGAAGGGAAGAACAAAAAAAAAAGAAGAAAACTAAAATTAACTAAAATAAAATTGAAAAAGAAAAAGAACAAACAACAGCAAAAAGAATGGTGCCCACATTCAGAATTGAACTGAAGTCTTGACGGATTTACAGTGTTCGACCACAACGTCATGTTCTACCACTAAACTATATGGGCCTCCTCGTTTCCGGTTGATGGTATAGCATTCGGAAGATGCTATCAAGGACTCCATTTCCGGTGGGACTTCTTTTTACGTCAGGGGGAACGAAAGTGAAGACGCGATAAAACACGCCGTCTCGTGTCTGCTCCATGGCTTCAGCATCTAGGTCTATGTGCACCGTACGACGTATAAGAGGCGCGATACGAGGGACGGGCGACCCTAAGTCACTACTCGATATCTTCAACCTCAAACTTTCATTGATTTGAACCGGGCTTGTGAAATAGCCCCGTCTTACCGCTGAGACTGTGGGCGTAGAAAGAGACGCGTTGAAAAAATGGCTGGTTTACCTTAAGGTATGCGAAGAGACTGCGTACAGGAAACCATCGAGTACGGTAGATGCATGAGAGCATCAATTGGAGCTGCGATAACGGTCCGTACAGGACCGCGGATATTCATGCCTTAGGTAAGGTACCTTACCTTGGACACATGTTATCGAAGAAGTGCACTGCTTCGTTACTGCTCTGTCTGTGCCTACGCAAAGTGACCATGACTACTGTGTACGACCCTACCCAGTATCGAGTACCGAGTACCGGTGCAGGTGTTGATGACGAGCTCGTTGACGTCACCCCCGCGAGTAAGGCACATTTGATTCTCTGCGTGTACCTCACCTTAGCAGTCTACAAGTAATTATGATATCTCTTTCCCACTCTTCACTTGATATCCCGCCCGGATCGCAAATCTCCCTCCAATCTCAAATCACAACCGGCTATCCAACGCCCAAATTCAGCAAACGCAAGGGATCCCGTACATTGAAACATTCATCATGGCTGATCAAATCAACGCCCACACCGACCAGCAGCAGCAGCAGCAGCAGCACGAACCAGGTCTGATGGCCGGACACGCCGAATACCTGAAGGGTGTGGCCGAGGTACGGCAATTGCCTACTTCCCATACGTGACGCCTACTCAACTGACCAACTGACCACCCCTCCACAGAGCGGCATCGGAACCATCACGGGCTCGCAGGCCTGGTCTTCTTCGGGCGAACAGGACAAAGTCCACGCCACTTCGAACTTGAGAGCCGCCGCCGAGGCACGCGACCCCGCCAAGCAGGGCTACGGCAAGGTTGAGGAGATTGCCGGCCGGGTTCTTGGATGCGAGGGGATGAAGAAGGAGGGCATTGCTAGTGCGCGGAAGGGGCAGTAAGGGTGGGCCATATTTAACATGTGCCCTGTGCCCTCTGCTGTCGTCGGTTGGCTTGTTGTCCGCCGGCCGGCGAATGCGTCTGTAGTACTTACCGTACGATGTTGGGCGAGAAAAATTACCGTGTACAACACCTGTGGGATTTGTCTTTATATCACGATACGAATGAACGGATGACGAGGGAGGCAAATTCAGACGATGGACAGCTGAATTATACGGACTAAAATCAATTTATTCCGGCACCTCTCTCTTTCTCCTTTTTTTCTTCCTTTTCTTTCGGCCCGTATTAAATTCCTGCACGGAAAATAAAATAATCAGCTGTATATACCACCAAGAAGAAGTGGAAAAAGAAATCAGGGGTAACTCATACCTAGCGCCTTCGCAATAGCCACACCCACTTCCTTGGAGGAAGCCGGGTTCTGACCCGTGATGACGTTCCCAGACACAACAACCTTCTCCCCCATGGGCCCCTCATCCGACTTGACAAAGTGCCCGCCGCTCACCTCAGCAAGCCGATCCTCGAGCGAAAAGTCCATCTCGCCGTCAAACTTGAACATCTTCTCAGCCTCGTCGGAGAACCCGGTGACCTCACGCCCCCGGAGCAGCGGCGTCTTCCCGTCGGCGCCGCGCGCGTTGAGAAGCGCCGCGGGGCCGTGGCACACCGCGCTGATGACCTTGCCCTGGGCGGCGAAGTCCTGGACCAGCCGGAGCGAGTCCTCGTCGCCGACCAGGTCGAACATGGGGCCGTGGCCGCCGGGGAAGAAGACGGCGTCGAACTCGGAGGCGCGGCCGGCCAGGCTCGAGAGCGGCACCGTCTGCTCCCAGTCCTGCTTGTGGTTTTCGAAGAAGGCCTTGCAGACTGGGTCGGAGGAGAACATCTCCACCGAGGACGGGTCGAGCGGGGCGACGCCGCCTTTGGGCGAGGCGAAGGTCAGGTCTGCTTTGCCGTGGAGGACTTCATGGGGATGGGCGAGCTCGGGCTGCGGGAGGTTTTGCGTGTTAGTAAAGGTTATAGTAGACAGATGTCCCGGGGAGCGTACATACCAGATACCAGCCGATCTTCTTGCCCGACTTGGGGACAGCGTCGACTGAGGTGAGGACGACGAGAATCTTGGGCTTTGAGGACGCCATGGTTTTTGAGGCGTTGTCGTGTGTTGTGGGTGCTCTTGTGAGTGGACAATGGGATGGAATGAAACTGGATTATATAAGATGAGACTGGCGTTTTTGACTACCCTGTACTCGGCATTTGCGACTCGATTCTCAAGCTTAAGCTGGGATCGATCCCAGACGGCTGGGTTGGTCATGATGCTATATACCAAGAAGTACCTGTTTGGCCCACCGCATCATTGCCCGCGGACGGGAGGGGCGACCGTGAGGGGTGAACGTCATCATTATTCAGCGCTCACCCCATCAACAGGTCCAGTTCTTTCCTCACTAGGGGGGTGCGCCTGCCTCTTGTGTTGCCGATGCTACTGCGTCTCCCCGGCAGCTCTACTACCTGAGGTACCTCTGTAAATAATGACGCGTAAATGCTCACACCTTATGTCAGGTCGTTGTACTGGATTTAGAAGTGAGACGCCAGATGGCGGGGTGGGAGGTCGAGGAGATACTTTTCCGAGGAAGGATTGCACAGTGATTGTCGTTGGCTGTGGCTAAGGTAGGTACCTAAGTTACTGCACAGCCCTGGGCCGTGGCTTGTGAAACCTTTATTAGCGACTCCGTACCTGCTTGGTACCTAGGTACATACACTACTGTACCTCGTACTTCAGCAACCATCTTCTGTAGCTTCAGGCTTCAGCCTCGCAATCCGTCTTCCACCTCCTTTATTCCACCTCAACATCTCTGTCAGAACACTCACCAAGCTCCAGCGCAATTGGCATCTAAATCCACCACCGGGTCTCAACCGGACTGCACCTAGCCACTGCCGACTACCGCCGTCAAACCGCCTACCATGGCAACGCAACCACCGCAAGCGCAGCAGCCTCAACAGGCACGACCCCAACAAGCCCAGAACCCGCCCGAGACGAAACTGCTCTGGAACCCCGACAACGTCAAGGACGTAGCCGAATCGGTCGGCATCTCCGTCCTGGGCGACGACGCCCTGCGCGTCCTGACCCAGGACGCCGAGTACCGCATCGGCCAAGTCGTCGTCGAGGCCCTCCGCTTCATGCGCGCCGCCCGCCGCACCACCCTCCTCATCGCCGACCTCTCCCAAGCCCTGCGCGTGCTCGACGTCGAACCCCTCTACGGCTACGACTCCACCCGGCCCCTGCGCTACGGCGAGGCCAGCCTGGGCCCCGGCCAGCCCCTCTTCTACATCGAGGACGAGGAGGTCGACTTTGAGAAGCTCATCAACGCGCCCCTGCCCCGCGTGCCCCGCGACATGAACTTCACCGCCCACTGGCTCGCCGTCGAGGGCGTCCAGCCCGCCATCCCCCAGAACCCGTCCACCTCCTCTTCCTCGGGCCCCGATGCCTCTGGCCGTTCTCACGACCATCTCCTGCCCAAAGGTCCCGGCGCCAACCCGGCCGCCGCCGCCCTGGCCGGTCTCGACAACGTCACCGTCCGCCCGGCCGTCAAGCACGTCGTCTCGAACGAGCTCGTCCTCTATTTCGACAAGGTCCAGGAGGCCCTGATGGAAGATAACCCGGACGAAGAAGTCGTCCGCCTCCGCCACGCCGCCCTCGACTCCGTCCGCGCCGACCCGGGCCTGCACCAGCTCGTCCCCTACTTCGTCAACCTCATCTGCAACAACGTCACCCACCGCCTCGACGACACCTTCGTCCTCCTCCGCTCCATGGAGCTCGCCGAAGCCCTCGTCCGCAACCCGCACCTCTTCCTCGACCCGTACGCCAACGCCCTCGCCGCCCCCGTCCTGACCTGCCTCCTCTCCCGCCGCGTGGGCTCCGACGACGACCCCGACGCCCCGCGCGACCAGTACCTCCTCCGCGAGTTCTCCGCCTCGCTCCTCGGCCTCATCGCCCGCCGCTACGCCGCCTCCAACCACCTGCTGCGCCCCAAGCTGGTGCGCACCTGCCTCAAGTACTTCATGGACCCGGACAAACCGCCCGCCAGCCACTTCGGCGCCATCACCGGCCTCGCTGCCGCCGGTGGTCCCGAGGCCGTCCGCATTCTCGTCGTCAAGTACCTGCGCCCTTATAGCGACGAGATCCTCCAGCGCGTGCGCGACAGGAACGAGGCCAATGGCTTGCATTTCGAGGCACTCACCGGTGCCATTGTCAAGGCCATCGCCGCTATCGCCGAGGAGGAAGGCTCGTCGTCTGAGAAGACCAAGAGCCCTGGCCCTGTCAATGGTGAAGGTATAACCGCCGCGGATCGTGCCCAGCTGGTCGAGTTTATCGGTCCCATTCTCGGCACTCGGATCGCCCAGCTCGGTAACAAGAGGTTGGTCGAACAAGTCCTCGATGTGCGGAACATCCAGTGAGACGGGGGTTTTTCCTTTATCTTTTTACGTCTGTTTCATCTCTGTTGCATCGTTGGTATGATTTTATTTCCTCCATCAGAGAGGTGTACCGGTAGCGTTCTTATGTAATACCCGGGCTGGGACATGGGAACAAAGCGGGCGTTGATGGCGTTTTGACGTAAAAGAGACAAATCACCAGAAACGAGCACTGGTGGTGTCCCTGGCTATGGTGGGCGATTGGTTATTTGAAACAGGAAAATCTTTGTCTTCCACATCCACAAAAAGTACACTTCTTTTTTTCCAGCCTCCTCCCACCTAATCCATATCATTCATACACACGGTCGACAAGTCATGACCGAGTCTGTCCACTCCTCCGTCCACCCTCCCTTCCCATGCCTCTAGGCAGATAGCCCTATTCCCATCCCGAATGCTGGCGTAAGGTCGAAGGAGGCACGAAAAAGTCCCATCTCTTCCCTTTCCCATTGTTCTTTTGTTGTTGGTTTTTTTGTTATTTTGATTTTTACAGAGCAAAGCCGGCATACAGCCCCAGAACCAAGCTGGTGCCCCAGACAGCCCACCCCCACTTGACGATCTGCTTCTTGGCGAAGCCGAAGGCGAGGTCGTACGAGAGGTGCCTGACGCCGTTGACGCAGTGGAAGGCGAACGGCCAGGCGACGAGGAACTTGATGCCGCCCTTGGCGACGGCAGGCAGGGCGGCGAAGGAGGCGGCGAGCGAGGCGCTCTCGACGTGCCACCCGAGCAGCGGCGAGACGAGGTAGACGGCGAAGTAGGCGTAGAAGGCGCCCGAGAGCGCGCCGCCCGTGAAGCGGTTCCAGATGGAGGCGCCGAACCAGGTCTGGTCGTAGCGGTAGGCCGTCAGGTGGGGGGCCACGGGGCGGTTGAGACGTTGCTGGGCGAGGAGGGAGTGGGCGTCTTCGGCGGTGATCTTGGAGGTTCCGACGGGGCTGTGATGGGAAAGATGGTGAGCGTTAGTTTTCGATTTTTTTTTTCTTTTCAATCAAAGCTGATTGACTTGTCTTTGTGTGCTCTCGGGACGATGTCATTGAGCCTCGTGTCGGGGGGGTAAAGGCAAGGGAAGAGAAAAAGGCTCGGCGTACCGGATCTGGGTGGTAGAGAGGCGCGAGGCCGCAAGCTTAGGGAGATGTTGGGTGAAGAAGCCCGACGGGTTCCCGGCGACGACTACATCGAGTAAACAGACAACACGTCAGTAGTCTAGGAGAGGAGAGGGCCATGTCGAGGAGGGAAAACGTACTTCGGCGCGCAGCCGATACTCCCACCCGTTGCGCAATCATGTTCGTCCTTTTCTTTTTTCTTTTTCCCCTGGTGTGTACAGGGAAGGAGTAAATAAAAAGAAAAGAAGAAGAAGAAAAGTTCAAACTCCTTCCAGTGGAACTCGATATGTGTTCCTAGCACCCGAATTCTTTTCGAGGTAATCGAGCTGGGTGACTGTTCGTTCGTTCGTTCGCTTGGCCTCGGTGAGGAAAGTTGCCGACGTCAAGCTTCATTCCATGCATCACCACCACACTTGGGGCCGCTCGGAACGGGGAATATTCGATATTCCCCTCGGTTCCTCGGTTTCCCTTGACCAATCACCAAGCAGCTGATCCTAATCGTCCATGACACGCACGAGGAAAACCACGTGATGTCTGTTGCATGGTGCACTGACCATCTGAGCCTTGTCAAAGTCTTCCTCCCGCTCAATTACCTAAGCAGGTACCACGCTGTTTTCCTCCATCTGCTTTTTTTCTGTTCCTCTCTTTTCTTCCTTTCTATTTCTTCTTCTCATCAATGGCCGCTCACCACAGCAAAGCTAAACGGGCCCTTTCTGGACCTAATGAAACGAAAAAGCTGTCGGTATGTCCTTGGACTGTGCAGTGGCCACAGAGAAAGATATGACCAATCGTCAAATTCGGATCCTTCGTTGATCTCGGCGTCCAGCTTTCTTCCTACTGGACTCCGTTTCTTTTCTGCGATCTACAACTCTTCATCTTCGACATGTCCATGTTAATTTACCAAGGAGCATGAGCTTAGATATAAACATGTCGGAATACCAAACTTGTCGTATCATCGCAAGACCTTACGTTTACGTCGCCCCATATGCGTCTCTTGTGGCATCCTGCCCGCTACCTTATGCTTCTCTGTCCGTGTCGAACCCACGACCCCAACAGTCGAATATCAACAACATGCCACAATTCTACTCATTTCATTGTCAACTGTATCCATTAAACCTATCGTAGCAGTTCCCATGTACCCCATAGTCCAAGGGGTTTGGTTTCCTTTTTGTATGTGAAAGTGTTACATGCATAGTACAATCCCCCCAGAATCGCCCCCTTAAACACTTCCCGAGTCAACCCATGGCCCATGGTCCCCTCCCAGAACCCCGTGAACCCATGATAACTTTGACTTCAATACGGTGTAGGCAGCCTGGTATCCAAGATAGTCCCAAATAACGCCCTTTACCCGTACGCTATGCCCACCACTACCGTTGCCCCCTGGAAGGGAAAAGAAAGCAAATTAGAGAAAAGGATACGCTGGCCAGAATCCCACATCTCATCGATGACCACATCATAACCGACAGGCGGTGCAGCATGGAGGCATGAGGGCATGGGTGACAACCAGCACGCAGTGCAGAGTCTACCAACCCCCTCTCCCCCTCCTCCCCCCATTACTCGCCATCGAGAAGGGCGTCCATTCCGTTCCGCTCGTTTTCCAGGCTTTCCGCCGTCGGGACGAACCCTTCCAATGGATCCTGCGGCCTCCGGTCGTCATCGTTCTGATTCGTCAGATCCTCAAACATCCTGTCCACGGCACGCGCATCGTGCGGCCCAGCGCCTGCCGCCGTCGGGGTATTGCGAAAGCCAGGCTCCCGATTCCAGACCGCCGGTCCGAAAATCTCCTCTGCCCGCCGCCTTCCGAGCTCCGTCCTCTGCAGTATCTCCAGCGCCCTGCTCCTCTCCGCCGGGTCCTGCAGGTTGAGGCCCTCCTCCTGTCCGCTCAGAAGGCGCTCCTCGAGGGAAATCCCCGAGTTGTTCTGTACCAACTGAGGCCCCGGTGTTCCGTTGGGCAGTAAGAGCCCGGGGTGCAGCGTGGGCCCGTTGTCTATATCCATGGCGTCGTGGCTGCTCCCCGTCGACTGACGACTCCCGCCGACGCGGCCCAGTGGTCCCTGCGAGGTGCCAGGCGGCGTGGGCGACGCATGGTGAGGCGTGTGCCCATAGAGAGAGGGACCGAACGCTGCGGGGGAGACATTCGCGCCCGATCCTGACCCCGACGTCGCCGCTGCGTGAGCAGCAGCAGCGGCGGCCGCCTCCGCATTTTGCTGCTTCTTTCGCAGACTGATCGCCTTGGTCCTCTCGGGCTCTGGAAGTTTGTCAATCTCATCCACCCCAAACTGAGCCAACAGCTTCTGCAACTTCGTCGGACGCGGTTTGCGCGTGCTCTTGGAAACCTCCAGCAAAGGCGGCGGCTGTGGAGCCACTGGGCACCACTTATGCAGCTCCTGACGAAAGAAATTCGTCTCGTAGGAGAGCAAGATCTCCGCTCCCTCGATCTTGCGAAGGTAAAACCGCTGCGTGTCCGCTTCCGACTTGGTGGATACCAGCGGGTTGCAGAATGCTGCAATGTGATTGCGGAACTCTTGCCCGTTCTCGATAATCTTGTGGAGCAGTTCCTCTTCCTCCGGTCGGAAGGGCAAGTCCGGGATCTTCTCGGCCCAGGCGACGAGATCTTCAAGCTTTGGTCGAGCCGCATCCCGAGGAATCTTTCTGCGCCAGTCACAAATCGGACACGTGTATTTATCTTCTTCCTTGACCTTTCCACGCGCAATCTTGAGACACTTGCCATGATACCTGACTCGTCTTGTTAGCCTTTGTCTTCTCGACAATTCAGGTAGAGCTGTGACGCCAGGGGGATACAGGGATACAGGGATCACGGACCAGGGGTATAGGGGTACTACAGGGACATATACGCACCACTCGTGGCATAGCTCGCACTCGATCATCATGCCGGCCTCCTGCCTTCTGCAGATACAAAAGACCTCGCGGAACCGGGGGTCGTTCCACCGAGTCCGCTCCTTACCCTCGCCGTCGGGGCTGGCTTCGCGCGAAGCAGGCTCGGCCGGCATTCTGGGCTTGTCATTGACAATATCGAAGCAGTCCATGTTCCGTTCCAGAACGTACTCCATGTGACTCTTGAGGATGTGGAGGGGGGCGTTTGTCTTGCCAAAGAGCTTTTTGCCTTCCCGCATCCAGTCCTCGTGCCGCCTCTGCTCGCGCTCCAGGTCCAGCGTCCCGTTCGGCTTCGTGTTCAGATCCTCGAGCTTACGCATGACTTCAACCACTTCGGAATACTTGGGACGGTGGCTGGGAATAGGATGGCGGCATCTTTCCGTGAGGTCCATGATCTGCCGGTGGGCCTCTCGCTGTTTATGCAAAATGGCGTCCACGGCGGCAAGCGTCTCGGCCGCGACGGGCAGCGAGTTCGACACTACCTGGCTCGAGAGGGCTTCAAGCTGCGCATAGTGGACCGTCTCCGCGCCGATGAGCTCGCGCGCCTTCGCCTCCCACTGCTGACCCAGCATCATCTGGTCGCGGTAGTGGACCAAGTGATCGTTGTAGGGAGGGATGTCAAGTTTCCGACCTTCCTCGACGAGCTCGCGCACCTCGTTGAGCGTCAGCATGACCGCCCGGCTCTCGCGAGCCTTGTCGTTCCATCTCAGTTGATCTAGGACGCGTGAGAGGCGCTCGACTTCGGGAAGATCCACGTTGAACGAGCGGCCTTCCTCGAGAAGCTCTTCAATCGTCTCGGAAGTGGCCGTGTGCAGATGCTGCAGAGTCTTGGCGGCGTTCTTCTGGAAAGCCTCAATCCCGTCGGCCCGTTCCCGCAGCTGCGTGATTTCAGGACAGTCGAACCCTATGTGCTCCGCCTCGCGAAGCAGCCGGTAAATATTCGACGCGTCGCGAGTGTCGCGCTCCTTCGGATCGTGCGCCAGTGAGTTCTTCCGCGCCGTCGAGGCCTTGTCGCTCTTTCGCCTGTTTTGTTGCTTGCGGAGAGTATAGAAAGTGGCTTCCTCGACCCAGTCGTTACAGCGGTCGACGAACTCTCGTAGGAGAGGCAGAGAAGGCAGCTCGTAAGGTATACGTTCGCCTTCATGCAGCATGGCACGCAACGACTTCAAAGCCGGCGTGGCCTCATCGTCCAGAAGCCTCTCATACTTCTCCTCCCAAACCTCTGGTGTGCGCGCCTTTTCCAGAACCTTGGCGAAGGTCGCCTGAATAACGTCATCAGCTTTCCGATAGAACAGTACATGCTTCTCTCCGTAAAGTCGCTGCTGCTCTGTCAAGTCGCAGCACTGTTGATGGCCCGCATGGCCGAGACACAAGACCTTGCCCGACTTGAGACACTTGAACCGAGACAGATACGTGAAAGCTTTGCAGAAGAAGCAAAGGTATTCGTCTTCTGGGACATCCCGATCTTCCACCTCGAAGGCAAGGGGACAGTTGCTCTCCTCAGCACCAGAGAGGGTGCAGGTGTGAGGCTGAGACTCCAGGTGTTTCGTTACGAAATCCGCCCTGGCGTCAAGCTCGCGAGTGTGTATCTTCTCGAGCGCCGGCGCCAGCCATTTGGCTGTCTGGATGGTAAGGGCGTTGGTAGTGGTGCCCTCGGCCGCCGTCCAGAGGAGTTCATCATGAGAGAAACACGGCTGCCTCCGGAAATCTCGCAGCCTATCGACGCCAGATAGACCGAAGGGCTCCCAGTCGAACGGTGCAAAGTTGACGGCTTCATTGCAGTTGAACCCATGGTTGAAGCCTGCATGGTATGCCTGGGGGAAAGTGATGACGAATTGTCCTGCGCGCTGATCCAGGGCATATACTCGTACGCCTGCCTTCTTCAGCTGTTCCGGCGTGAGAAGGGTAACCAGCTGGAACAACAAATCAGGCTGCGTCTCAAACAGCTCCGGAACTGCATCCCTCATTGCAGCTTCAAACTTCTCTGCGTCTGCGCCAGGAATGCCGTACCAAGTCTTTGTTGCTCCGAAATGCTGGTAATTGGCCGAATAGGCATAATGGTCCTCATTGTGCCAGCAAAACGTTGAAAAAATCATGCCGACGTACACCCAAGGAACTGTCATGCCGGATATGTCGGACTTGATATGCCGGAACAGGCTGTCAGGATGAAGTGGCAAGAGGTTGAGATTCCATGGATCGGTTGAGTAAGGGTTGTTTGGATGCTTCTCGATCGTGGGGAAACCCGATCCATGGGTGGTGCAATGAATATCGGCGCCGTATTCGACCTCGACGGTTTCCTCGATATCGGTGACGAGCCGCCAAAATTCCGTCTCGACGTCTTCTTCCGTCACCGGGCGATGGCAATTGAGCACGGGATCAAAAGGCATCTTCTTCTCGAAGTAGCCCTGCTTAAAATCGGCAGCCTTCTGCTGGAACTGGCGGAGAGAGTAGAGGCCACCGTCTTCGAAGCCGTACTGACCGTCACCGACAAGACAACGGTGACAATTCCATTCCGTGTCGGGCTTGTGCTTCAGGGGCGGATCGAGACACGAGCCATGGTAGGCGAGGTCACAGGATTCGCAGGAGATGAGCGGCCCTCCCTCCCCGGCTTTGCCACAGCTTTCGCATCTCTGATCATCGTTAGACTGGCTGCGAGGCGGAGTTGCCATGTGCGAATTCATGCTCACCTCTCCTGGCGCCGAACTTTCATCTCGTCGCGCCCTAGTCGCGGACGGCCGGAACAGGGACATGTGCGACCCGGCCACTGTGGGAACAGGTTCTGATAGTCGGAGGTCAGCATCAGTTACACAGCGTTATGGGTGGATGGCTGCAATGCAGCGGATTGCGCCGACGGGATGGACGAAAAGCAACTCACCTTTCTTGAGTCGTTTGCTACGCCTATTATTTGCGCTCTCTGCCTCGTCCTTTCCCGAGGTGGTGTCCTTCTTGGCCGAGTCGATGCTGTCGCAGCTCTTCTGTCGCTTCAGCGCATTCGCGGGACCCAACCCGGACGGACGACACTCTGGGGTGTTTTTGGCGGAAGTGAGAGGGCTGCCAGATGCCTTGTTGGGAGTGCCGGCGGCTTCGAATTGGTTGGGTTTGTTGACACTGGTAAACCCGGAATTCACAGCCGTGAAGCCGCCCGAGTTAATTGCCTTGAATCCAGAGGACGCTGGCTTCGGAGCAGGAGGCGGCACGTCGGTCATGGCAGTGTCGTGATCGGGTTCGTTCTTAGGCCCATTGATATTGGATTGGAGAGCGTCCGAAGCATTGCGAGTAGGTGAGTCAGGGGCGTCAGGTCGTATGCTTGAAGGTGAATTCGCATTGGACCGTTTCAGCGGGGTACCTCCAGGGCTGGGGGTGTAGGGCCCGCCGTTCTCGAGCTCGAGTTGCTGATGGACGCCGGGTTTGGCGAGACGCAGATACTCCTCGTACGGGCAGAGCCATTTCTGGTAGGAGTTTTTGAGGGAAGTGGACAGGGAAGACATTATCTTGCCACTGTAGCCGAGATCTCTGCCAATCTCGGCCCACTTCTTCTGCTTGCAGACCTTATTAAACCCGCCCCGAGATTCGACAGCCTTCTTCAGTCGGTACAGGTCGAGCGGCTTCTTGTCAACATATGGCAAGCGATGAAGGTTATTTCCTTGTTGCTTGTGGAATTTGGAAAGCGCATCGAGGTAGGAAATGCTGGCTCGAGTACCTATGCGAGAACGGTTAGACGTCGTCCCAGCGGCGCGAAAAGAAAAGGTTTCGTGACGTACTGCCCTCGACGGAATTCAATTCCTGCTTTCGGGTTCTGAAGTGAAATTTCTAACGTGGTGTCGTTAGCAACAGCCGTCTTCTGTCCCAGCCTTGCGCACTCTCGTTTTTTTTTCAATGCCGCCTGGGGAGCCAACCGTCGGGGATGCTTCTGGAACAGGCATGCATACTTCTGTCTCTATGGCGAAATCCGGGTTCCAAGAATCGGGGGGGATGATCTTGCACAAGCCATACTCCTGGGCTTCGGGGGTAATCTTGCGGATGTATTCGAAGGGGTCTTTCCACTCTTCCTCGGTCGGGCAGTACGTGGGTGCTTCCCCCAGACCGTACGGGCGGCTCTTCTTGATGACGGGTTCCTTTACGGCGGTAGGCTGACCGCGGCGTTCGACAGAAGAGAGTTCGAGCGGCAGGCTTGTCATGGCGCTGAGGGGAACATGGGAGTTTGTGGGATGGTGTCCGTTTGACTGAACTTGGGTAGTTTTGGATTTCGCGGAGGCAGCAGAGGCGACGGCGGGCGAGGCTCGTGCGCTAGCGGTTGCGCTGTTCGCACCTCCCGCGACAGCGGCGCTGCCCATATTTGCTGGGATGGAAACTGGGGAAGCGACAGCGGCGGCGACGCTTCTTCTCAAATGGGGAATGTCGATAGAGGTGATGGGTATCGTAAGGAAAGGACGGCTCGTTGAGTTTGCGGTAAGTGGATCATGCGAGCAACCGTTCGTGGTTCGTCACATCCGGAGATTATCGTATCGCAGGGTGGCTTAAGGTAGGTACGTGTTGCCGAGCAGTAATCGTCTATCGCGGAGAAGAGGTATAAATTATAATGGTTGTCGAGTCTAGTTTCGGGACGGGAATCGCTCACGAGACGATTGAAGAGGGGCGTGGGCGGTTTAAAGAACCCGGGTGTGTGTGGACGTGGCAGTGGCAGGGTGGATGTGGATGTGGAAAGTTTTGGGTCTAGGTGGGAAGTCGAAAACCGAAGGATATCTAGCACAAGGGTGAAAAGCTTAGCCAAGCCCGGGGATGTATGATGGGCGAGAGTGGAGTCTACAGTGGTGAGGGCAACGTGGGGGAGAAAAGTGAAAGGACGGCGGCACAGGAAGAACGCAGGTAATAATCAATTTCTCTCGAAGCGCAGCATAGATGGAAGCTCGGATATAACCCCCAAAGACACGGGAGGGACGAGACCATTGCGTCTCCAGGAGAAAGCGGGCTCGAGGGAGCAACGAATAAGACGCTCCACTTACTTTGCATCGGCTGGCTATAAGATGACCCCGGGCTTCAGAGAAAGAACGACTTCAAGTGAGACGGGGGATATTGGGGCAGAGGGATGGGAACCGGCGAGTCATGTGCGGCGATGTCGGGATGAAGGGTGAAAGGGGGGACGCTGAATTGCTTGTTGTCCCGATATCCCCGGATGCCGTGTTTGAAGGAAAGGAAAACGGAGAATTGCGCAGGGAGAAGACGACGATGACGAGGAATATCGGGGAAAGGATTGAGAGATATTAGAGAGGGGAGTGTGAAGAGTGAGGGAAGAGAGAAAGGTAGGTAGGAAAGAAGGAGTGGCTTTGGGGCAAAGAACACATCCGAGTTGGTCACGTACAAGGTACTTGCGTCGTGCTTTTTAGGTGGTACTGCAGGATTTGGAGCTAGGTGTATGTCACCCGTACGTATGTATCATGTTCATATTTGGAGTGCTGGATTATGGACAACGTAAAAACCAAGAATATGAGTACATGTAGGGTACCCGGAGAAAACAGAAATAGTACCTGTAGCGAGAGCCAGGTGCCTCACCTCAGACACATCGAATACCTGACAAGCTTCAGACCAGCCATAGAAAAATAACTTAATAAAGTAATTATCTACGATTAGTTTTATTATTAAAGAGTATTGACACGATAATATATCGCTGGGTGCTTACCAGTAGTTTGTAGTGGAGTAACAAATATAGAGGGAGGCATGTCGATGGAAAGAAACGTGCCATGCGTAACAGAGGTCACTATACGAGTGAAGTCGATACCTAGGTACCTAAGTACCTTAGGGAAACCACGACCTGCGTCCCCACCTGCATTTGAGGATAAATGTGGATTCTCTGGAACAACCAGTCACACCAATTCCCACTTCAGCCAGCCCGATCCTCCGAGAACCTCACTACCGACTACCGGCTACGGTCGTAGAGGAATTGCGCACGGGGTTTTCCTTGAAATTTTGTTTAAAAATACGGGGGGAAAAAAGAGAGAAAATATACATCAAAACGGGGAGTGGAAGAGATACGTCTTCCTCTCATACTTTATTCTACACGTGTAGTTGATTCGATGTAAATTTGGGTACACGTGTAAAGACGGGGTGTATAAGGAGAAGATCGACGTTCACAACAGCCTCGATCTTCTTTTTTTCTTTTTTTTTTTCTTTTTTTCTTTTTTTTTTCTTTTTTTCTTTTTTCTTTTTCCGATTCAAATAAAAACTGGTAGTTCTGTTCCTCGGTCCGAATGCTCTACCTAGTCCGCATGTATTTGCGACTTGACCTGACAATTTTGCCCTTTTGATATCCATAGCTCATAAGCCAAGGGTCCATAATTCCTTTCGCCTTTCGAGCCAATCAGCGATCCACGACGTTGAACTTGGTCCACTCACATGGTTGTCGTCTCTCAAACATTTTGCACCAAGTATGAAGTACCGATATCCGTGGTGCATGTCGTGCAACCACCCGATCGGGATGACTTGATACAGCGTTATAGCCACTACCTCACCTAATAAGTACAGCAGTGCTCGACATCAGAACAGAATACGAACAGAGCCGAAGGGACACGCCATAACATAGGAAACAAGACCTCGCATGGTAACAAGTCAAACCAGAAACCCCAAGGAAAAGCCATTTCTTGTCCAATAACTTTTCATCACGCCTTGGCCGACCGCCGTTTCGTTGGTTTCAGCAACTTGGCAATCTCTTTCGAGCCCCGAATCCGCAGAGTGAGCTCTCGCATCATATCATCCCACTTGACATCGCCAAGGCAAGACGGACAATGTCCCTGCACGGGTATCACGGCCTCTTTCCCTTCCTGGTCCTGACCGAGCAAATGTCGGCTCCAGCAGGTCAAATGCCCAACCCCTTCGCACCCCGACGCGGAACACACCGCATATGACCCGTTGCCATGCTCCAGCTCTTCCTTGCAGATAATACAAACCCCTTCCCTCTCGAACGTGAATATGGACTGGGCTTTCTCCACATATTCCTTGATCGGCGCGTAATCTAGCGCCAGGGCGTCAATGCCCCGTCCGGCAGCACCTGAATCCCACCCCACAGAAGAGGCGACAGATGCCGCGTCCCCCTGCGTCTTATCGCCGGACGCCGCGCCCTTCCCACCATTCCCTTCAGGGCCGAAGTCTGTCACGACCTGTAAATCTCGTCGCATGGCCCCGTCCGCTGTCGCACAGCTCGCCTCCCACGCCGCATGCGCTGCCGGTGCAAAAAGGTGTAGCCGTAGAGGCCAGCGCTCGAAACTAGGGACCCGGAGAAGCAAATGCAAATTAGACATGATAGAGCCGACGGCTGGTCGGGGCCGTTTGGGTGCGCCGTTGCGTTTGACACCCGTTGCTCGTGAAATGCGCGATTCGCTGGGTATATGTAGTGAGAGATGCGGGTTGTTGAGCGCCCATCTACACGTAATGCCAGGTCAGCGGCCCATCTTCAGCCCCGAACGTTTCAGACCCTACCCTCCGACTCTTCAACTCTCCTGTCGTTCAGTACCTCAATTGGGTAGCGAGAGTGCTGGCAAAAGGAGGGACGTGCAAGGGACCCGTACTCAAACTTCAGCGCGGCTACCATACTCGGAAACCCCGACACCAGCGCAATCATCTCCCAGGGTCGCAGGCTATCACGCGACGTACGAGCCGCGCCCCCGCGAGCTTGGCCATTGTGCTGCTTCAGTCGTCGGGGCGGGTTGGGCGTGGACCCGATATACAGAGAGGCGTGTCTCACGGTCGAGCGTAGGACGTAGACGGTGTACAGGGCGGGGATCGGCTTGGTCGAGACACCCATCACAGCCGGTGTCGCCTCATGTCATCCTGGTTCAGATTATCGATTTCGCTCCCCGAAAGTATGGAAGCATACGGGGTGATGGCCGATGACTGTATGAAGCATGGAGACGATGGGGTTGACGCGGTTGCGGGGCGACTGGGTCGAGACGCGTGGGGGAAAATGTCCAAGTCCATGTCCAAGGTCCAACCCCCGCGTTCCCAGTGGGGTGGATCCAGCTGTACCCCTTGCAGGTCAAATCGCCGCTTAACACTTGGAGCGAACATCATCGTCGTTCTCAGTGTAACTGACAACACCAACGTCGAGCACCCTGAATATCTGGATGGACACTTGCGACAAGCGGGACTTGCTTTTTCGCGGCGTTGCATGATCTCGGCGATACCTTCTTTTATGTTTGAGGGGCTTAATCGCAAACTGAAAAGCTGAATAGCTTTCTGGTCGAGTATCCCGACTTTTGCTTCTTGAGAGGAAAGTTTGCTGTAATTCGTAATTCCACGAATGCCTTTTTCAAACGGGCAAAATCTACACTGTCTGCGGTCTGTGTTCTACAAACTTGGGGACGGAGGACACAAGACATCGGGTCCTCCCCTTTGAATTTTGGTATCACAAACAAAGATCTATTATCTAACACCACCGCAGACTTTCGTACAGCTGCAAGCGTTCGCTCACAGCAATCCTTGTTTCTGCAAATCATAGTACACCTTCTCCGGCATGACGTTGCCCTCAGCATCCTCCATCTGCACGATACTGCCATCGTCCACATTGTGCTTCTTGGCTTCACGCTGAATCTTGTCCCACAGGTTCGTCGCCTCCTCGATGCTCGAGATGTCACGGAACAACGTCGTGCTGGTGATGCCCAGGCACCGCAACCCATGAATGTGCCGCGCCTCGTTGAAGTGCTTATCGAACGCCCGTCGTCCCATGTACACGAAGTTGCCGCATATCTCGCACGGGAACTCCACGCCCAGCCCATGAAGCCGGTACAGCCAGAAGGGAATGGGCTTACCGTCCCACGCCAGCGGCAGCTTGAGCGGGTTGTAGATCTTCTCCTCCCCATCCTCGCCATCTTCGTCCTCGTCGTCCCCACCCTCCTGCCCGTTCCGCCTGCCGCCGCCGCCGCCGCCGCCGTTGGAGGCTGTAAGGTTCATGAGATTCTCGAGCTCCTGTTGCCGCTCCCGCTCCGTCATGCCCTGCCTGCGCTCGACGTTGACCCGCGTGTCGCTGCGTTCTGTGCTCATCGCCGCCGCCAACTTCTTCACTCGGAACTCGCGTTCCGCCACGGCGCGCTCCTTGAGCCGGCTTCCTGACAGACCACCCTTGGCGCCGTTTCGGCCGTTGGTCTCTTCCGCCGAACTCTCTAGCCGGGCTTTCCTCGCCTCCGCGGCCTTGGTGTGTTTCCTCCCAGTCAGGTGGGCCTTGTACACGTTCTCATTCTTGAACTCCCGCTCGCAGTCTTCGCACCAATTCGCATCGGCCGTGCTTACTTGCTTTGCCCCGCCATGGGTACCGTTCTCCGCCTGCCAACCGGGGACCTCTTGCTTCTCCCACGCCTCTTCGAATTCCTTGTCGAAACCGGCAAAGACCTTGTCCAGGTTCTCGAGCGGCCGTGTCCTGCGCATGAACGACTCCAGATACGATGACAGCTCCCCTACATACTTGAAATATTGATCCGTCAACTTGTCGTTCCTCTTGACGCCACCTGCACCGGGAGCAAAGTTGTCGAAAACCTCGAGGTATTGCAGGTAGGACAGCCGCTTGACGCCGGGCAAGTTGAGGTACGCCTCGTGGCAAGTATAGAGGTCGAAGAAGCGGCCGAATCCTTCCTCGCCCGAAAACAACGAGTCGACGATGTAGGGCACCGGCTCGTCACCGGACTTCTTCGCACGGTACCGCAGCTCCGAGTTCTCTGCCTGCTCGGCCGGGTATTTGGCATGGTGCTCGCGGGCATTCTTTATCTGGTCATAGAATTCTTCGAAAGGGTCCTCGGCGCCGATTTGCTGGACCTCGCGAGAGAGGAACCCATGGTTGTCTCGGTAAATGTCCAGGAGCTTGGAGGATTGTGATTGAATCTGGTCGAGCAGCTGCGATATTTCGTGGTCGCGATTGAGACGGTCGCGGATGTGTTTCGGTTCTTCGCCAATGCGGTCGGCGATTCCTTGTTCTAGTCGCTCGAGGTCTTCGTGAAGATATCTTTGGTCTTCGAGGATCATCGTGTCGAGGTTGACGCGCCCCGTAAAACCGAGGCGGAGAGATGGAAATGGCAAGAGAGCGAAGATGAGAAGGCTCTAGAGTCGCTACCGCCTTTTCTGTAGAGAAACCACTGCCTCGATGATATACTCTGTGCTTGCGCTCTGTCGAATCAAGTCGTCCTTGATAAATCGTTGCGACCTTGCGATCATGGATGAAGCAACCCCAAATTTCTCGGTACCTTACACTTAGATAATAGAGCTGGGTGATTATGTAAGGACCGCGCCCCACAAAAGTAGTGCACACTACAGTTGTAGAAACGTATTCAGATGGTCTGTGCTTCATCCAAAATTTTGGAGCTACTTCCTGGATGAAGCTGGCGGCGAAGTTCTTCACCCTCATCGAAGGACGCCCTTGACAACAGCCTAACAACAACACACATACGCATCACAACTACACACATCATCATGGTTGAAGGTACCAGCGGCATTGACCGAAAGGCCGAGGAGAGGATGGAGTTCTCCACCTCAAAGGAAGTTACTGTCCATCCGACCTTCGAATCCATGTCACTGAAGGGTGAGTGTCTCCTTGCCGAATCCCAGCCGGGTGACTGCTTCTGCAGTACGGGAAGAGGCTAATCCTGACCACCGCGTCGCAGAGAATCTTCTTCGTGGCGTCTACGCCTACGGTTACGAGTCCCCTTCAGCCGTACAGTCTCGCGCCATCGTTCAGATCTGCAAGGGCCGCGACACCATCGCGCAAGCGCAATCAGGCACGGGCAAGACGGCGACTTTCTCGATTAGTATGCTCCAGGTCATCGACACGGCCGTGCGCGAGACGCAAGCCCTCGTCCTCTCTCCGACGCGCGAGCTCGCAACGCAGATCCAATCGGTCGTCATGGCCCTCGGCGACTACATGAACGTGCAGTGCCACGCCTGCATCGGCGGCACCAACGTGGGCGAGGACATCCGCAAGCTCGACTACGGCCAGCACATCGTCTCGGGCACGCCGGGACGCGTCGCCGACATGATCCGCCGCCGCCACCTCCGCACGCGCCACATCAAGATGCTCGTCCTCGACGAGGCCGACGAGCTGCTCAACCGCGGGTTCCGCGAACAGATCTACGACGTGTACCGCTACCTGCCGCCCGCCACACAGGTCGTCGTCGTTAGCGCCACGCTCCCCTACGACGTCCTCGACATGACGACCAAGTTCATGACCGACCCCGTCCGCATCCTCGTGAAGCGTGACGAGCTGACCCTGGAGGGGCTTAAGCAGTACTTCATCGCCGTCGAGAAGGAGGAGTGGAAGTTTGACACCCTCTGCGACCTCTACGATACCTTGACCATCACCCAGGCGGTCATCTTCTGTAACACCCGCCGCAAGGTCGACTGGCTGACGGAGAAGATGCGCGAGGCCAACTTCACGGTCAGCAGTATGCACGGCGACATGCCCCAGAAGGAGCGGGATAGTATCATGCAGGACTTCCGTCAGGGGAACAGCCGCGTGCTGATTTCGACTGATGTCTGGGCGCGTGGTATCGACGTTCAGCAGGTCAGCTTGGTCATCAACTACGACCTGCCGAGCAATCGTGAGAACTACATCCACCGTATCGGCCGGAGTGGCCGCTTTGGTCGCAAGGGCGTCGCTATCAACTTCGTTACCAGCGAAGATGTGCGGATCCTACGAGACATTGAGTGTAAGTTGGCAATCGCCTTACTCATGCAAACGCCGCCCTTTTTGTCCCTACTGTCCCCTTTGCTGACCCGAATGGCAGTGTACTACTCGACCCAGATTGATGAGATGCCCATGAACGTCGCCGATCTCATCTCGTAAACGATACGGGCCTTCTTGTTGGGACAGCTCCAGCAAGATTTGTGCGAATAATATGTCCTATCTCATGACGTAAAAAGCAGCAGGCTGGCGCAGGGGGGTCGTCCAGCCCAAGAGTGTGTGGAGGAAAGGGGCCTTGGCTTCCAGCAAGTGAGTAGTCTACTATCTCCTGTCCGAGTTGATCGGTTGTTGTCCATCACCTACGTTCGATGCTTTCATTCCTAGGGTGCTGCTGAATTTAGAATACTGACATGACGACCCTTTGTATAGGCCAGCATCAGATTGTTATCACTACTACGCCGTTGATACTCTAGGTATCGGACCTTAATCGAGTTCGGACAGGCTGGGTATTTCCGCTCATGCGCATAGAGACGTCCAACACCGGGTCATACATCTCGAGTGGAGTTTCTCGAGGAGTACAGCTAGGCAATCCACGGTATCCGCCGACATGAAGTTCCAGTGTCATGAATCGAAATGTTTATTCATCGAGCCTACATTCATGTGACCATGTCCGCAGACTACATCAGAGTGGATATCACCGCCCTTACGTTGATGTGATGAAGGACAAGACTTGTCCAGTTTGAATCATTGTGTTATCTGCTCTCCAGCCAGGGACTGAACATGAATGCATGGGTCTAGTCTGCAAGAGACGAAGACTGGTAGAAGATTGAGGAATCTGGCTGCTCTGTGAACCTCGAGTCTCTTCGCCTCGGGTGTCTGAGGCATGCCACTTGGGTCAGCATCCTGCTCTGTCACCTCAAATAGCTCTCGATACGCATAGGTATTGTAAGATGCCTGTGTCCTGTTGATTATTAATTCACAAATTCTTTCCCAATCGAGCATCACGCCGGCCTGACACGTATAATTCCGGCTGACTGTCTTTGAGAAGCTGTGGCCTAACATGTCTGCCGAGCAAAGCAAAGATAGAACTCACCGGCTTTGAGTGATTCTCGAAATATGAGATCCGGACACACTCTTCCCAACTCAACATGTTACTATACTTACTTTACAATCCATTCCCCTTCCGTTTCCTAAGATGAAGCCTCCGTCGGAGTAGGAGTAATGCCAGTATGTCATATTCTTCAGCATCCTCTTCATAACGAATCGAACATTAGATGATGCTTTCCTAAGAACTATATCATGCCAAGTTGACAAGTTTACTGAATTCTACCTTATCTTCTGCAAAGGATTTAGCCTCGAGTGGTATCTTACCAACGGCAACCCTTTTCTAACCCCTTTTTCTTTCGAAATCACTCAAGTTATGGGATCAAGTCGCCGCGCCATTGAAATGAATATTATATGTATACTAACGACCAACGAAGGGAGTAGAAACATGGAAGGTTAGGTATCTCGTAGGGTGACATATCTCGTCCAGCGTCATATATGCTAGATCCCCAACTGGGGATCCTTCGACCTTCAACGTAGGGGAGAGTGTTTTCTTTCTGTTTTTTCCATGCCACCAAAAAAAAAAAAAAAAAAAAAAAAAAGTCCCAGACCCCAGAAAACGCCCTGCTTGGTGATTACATCGGCACAATGTTCTTCTGCTGCCCAAAAGGCCATTCAGAACTCGCCCTCGGCACTGTTGCCGATCACCCCAGCTGCCCACAGCCCTACCAGGCCCCACCAGCTCACCTTCCACCCTCTCCATAGACCATCCAGCCCTTGCCCTTGACGATACACAGCCTCCCCCGCCTTGGCCTTCGCTTTGCCCCGGCCACTCTTAGCCGCCGGCGCCGGCTTAGCCACAACGCGGCGTCCTTCCTCGTTGACGATGTGAAACATCGTGCCCGTCACGCCGTCGTACCGGCCCGGCGGGACCACCGTGTCGAGGCGCGCGTCCTTCTCCTGGGGTTGCAGCGCCCGCATGTACGCCGCGCTGGAGAGGATGGCCACCTGGCCCCGTCGGAGTACTGTCTCGACGGGAAGCTTCGCGAACACGGCCGCCGAAGAGGCGAAGAACTTGGCCACTGAGAATGTCGTTGGTGAGATTTGGCTGTCGATCATGAAGCGTGTCCGTAGAACGAGGGGGGTTGACAAGGTTAGGAGGGGATGCACGAGCGAGTGCAGAATCGTGGGCACGACAAGCCCAGGCGGGCAGAGATACGAAGGGAGAGCACGCAGCGTTGATAGCGTCCGTCTAGGGCCCTTGGAAGATGGGGTGACGAGGAGTCTATGAGATGTTAGCACGAGACTTGTATCGCGTCTCTTCCGAGAAAATGGGACAGCAACGTAAAGAAAGAAAAAAAGGGGGAAAAGAAAAAGGAAAAGAAAAAAGCCCAGCAAAAACGTACCTCGTGCGCACCATATCGAGCGGTGCTAGGATCAAACCCGTCGCAACAGCCGCCGCGGCTGCCACACCCAAGGACGCCCACGGATAAGGGGACGCAATATCAATCAATCTGTCAATGTCATCCTTCACCCCCAGATCCGGAACATTAAAAAGCGCACTGAGGGCACTGCGCGACCAGTTCTCCAGCACCGACGTGAGGACCGTGTACAGGAAAGTAGCATTGGATCCCTTCCAGACGCCCCACGCCCCTTCTTTCTGCCACAACTGCCCGATCGCCTCCGTCACCGAGTCCGGGAGACGGAGATTCAGTTGATGGGGACGCACCGCCGCGCTCTTGGGAGAAGACCGCGATGGCTGTTGTGCGGCGCCGAACGACGGGTCCTGCCTGTTCCGACGCCCCCGCTGTGACTGCGAGGGGGTGGGCGTCCCGGGCATATGGGACGTGAAGTAAGCGGGCTCGTCGGCATCCGAATCGGAGTCTGCGTAGCCGTACGTCGACGAATCGTGGCCGTGGCCGTGGCCGTAGCCGCTGTGGGCCCTGTCGGCCGCCGTGGGTGTGGGCAGCGGCGTGATGGCCGGGGTGATGGTATCGGCGTCCTCGTCGTAGCTTCGGACTTGCAGGACTGTCTTGGCCACCTCGAAAGGCTGGGCCATCAACACGGACGTGTATTTCCATAGCAGCTCGTCTATGAGCTCCTTGAGGGTCTCGACTGCTGAAGAGGACGGCTCGTTGATGTATTCTTTGTAGTCGAGGTCCGAGAAGAGGTCCCGCGCCTTCGACGCGTATCGGTCGCCGGGCGCATTTCCTCGGGAGAACGGATTGGGTATTGGCGATGAAGTGGGATCGGGCGACTCGCCGATTGTCGGGGGAATGTAATAAGGCCGTAGAGGATTCACTCCTTCTCGATGTGAAGACATGGCTCGTCGATGCGGTTCGTGGACATGGTCCGACTGAGGAACAAAATCTTGGACGTCAGTGCTCGAGTACGAAATACACCTTGGGTAAGGTACTAACTTATAAATTTCCTGCTATCGGAATTGGAGTACAACATGAATGACGAACGTTGTGCTTAGTCATGTCGCATGGCATGGCGAGCCATTATCGGCTTATTCCCGGACTCGGCGTTTGCTCCAATCAACTCACATCTTTTGATAAGCCAGAATGGCCCCGATGACCGAAGATCGGGGTTATCGCGGCTCAAATTTCGCAGCATTTCTTCCGGTCTGTCAGTCCACCGACGACAGCAGAGCCGAGCCTCGTTACCAAAAGTCGCATTCCACCCAGCGTCCAGTAGGCGAGGTCAATGGATTTGTAGAGTTTCCTGTTGAAGATTGAGACGTCAACTTGGCAGTTAACTCTTACGGGCGACTGCCTCGATTTTCAACTTTTGACCGGCATCGACAAGACTAACAACAACAACGACATCCTCCCCTCCCACCTTTTCGCAGCCACTATCCCGGGGCCTTGAACACAACGGCACACGATGAACCCGGTGATCCCCCTCCGTACCGGTATCCGTCGGCTGGCGACAGGCGCAGTAGGACAAAGTCGGGCGCTACACACGAAGACCGGATCATTCCGACTCGGGTCCAGTTGCGTTTCCCCAAGACGGCCGATCGTCCGTTTGGCAGACAAGGGAAGGATAGGGTGGCTAGGGCTAGCAAAGCGGAAGTTCCATACCACCCCAACCGTCGCTCACGGACATATTACGCCACCTAAGCCTGGTGAAGAGTAGGCCAGACCCACGGACTACTAGAAGATACCCAGGAATTCGGAAGCTGACAGGTCTCAGGCTATGGGTGACCTTCATTGACAAGGAGGGCGATGAGCACAAGATTGCGGTGTCGGAGGGAGACAACCTTCTGGACATTGCACAAGACAACGAGCTCGAGATGGAGGGTAAATTCCCCTCCCCCCCCCCCCCCCCCCCCCCCCCCCCCCCCCCCCCCCCCCCCCCCCCCCCCCCCCCCTAACTTGCTTGCTCTTTCAACGCTACACCCTTTCCTCTGACTGGGAAAAGTTGGCTGACTGTTTCTCTCAGGCGCCTGCGGAGGATCATGCGCTTGCTCGACGTGCCATGTGATTGTCACGGATGAAGCGTATTTTGACAAGATGGATGAGCCTAGCGACGACGAGAACGATATGTTGGATTTGGCGTTCGGCCTGACCGAAACGAGCAGACTGGGTTGCCAGGTCAAGATGACCAAGGAGTTGGACGGGCTGAAGGTCAAGCTGCCAGCCATGACGAGGAACTTGCAGGCAAGCGACTTTAGCAGCTAGGCCTCGCGGAACCACATTGAAGGAGGAAAAAGAAGAAGAAAAGAAGAAGAAGAAAAGAAGAAGAAGAAAAGAAGAAGAAGAAAAGAAGAAGAAGAAAAGAAGAAGAAGAAAATGCTGTACCTATTACCACACTTGTACATTACGATGTCGGGAGCAGGTCCGGGGTGGGCATGAAAGGGCGTATTTCTGCGCAGCATACATTGATACCATCAGTATAGTGTTTTCAGGGTATCTAAGGAGGATAGGTAGAGACAAGGTGGTGTAGCATATGTCCACTCCGATACAAAGCCAAAGCTTAAAACCAAACCCCCAGAAGATCGTTCATGGTTTTCTTTTCTTTTTCTTTGCCACAAAATGCTTGCCTCAGGGCCAGTTCAGTCCATACCATCACATCAAGCCTCCTCGATCGGACCTTGCTTCAGCCCACCACCAGAAGCGATCAAGTCCAAGAAGCCCTTCTTGCTCATCTCATTCACCTTGGCCTCCTTCCTAGTCACTCCCACCACGCCCTGCTTGCGCGCCGCCTTCTCAGCCTCAGCGGCCTTGACCTGCGCAGCGCGCACGGCGTTGAACAGCTTGACGACACCGCGCTGGGCGACCTTGCGCAGCCGCTTCTCGGCCCCGAGCACCTCGCCCGTGGTCGAAGGCCCCCCCATCATGACGTCCTTGTTGGTGGCGACCAGGACGTCCCGGACGCGCCCCTTCTCCTGGGCCTCCTTCTTCTGCAGCCGCAGGAGCCGGCGCGCCTTTTGCTCGAGGGCCGAGTCGGCGGACGCCCGGGCGGCGTGGTGGGCGGCGGCGCTGCGGGACAGGACGGGGTCGGCGCGGCGCGAGGTGGGGAGCTTGGTGGAGAGGATCTTGGACATGGAGGTGGAGAAGGCGGACGGGTCGTTGCGTTTGGATTTCGTGTTGGGCCGTCCCGCGCCGTTTATGGTGTCTGTGTCGCTGACTGAAAATTCGTCGTCTTCGTCTTCTTCTGCCGAGTAGCCGCCGCCCTCTGCTTCCTCTTCTTTTTCTTCTTCTGCTTCTTCTTCTGCTTCTTCTTCTCCGCTGGACGCATTGTCGTCAGCTTCAGCTTCCGAACCGTCATCGGCTTCCGCCGTGGTTTTGTTGTGTTTCGATTGGCCGGCTTTGCTGGGACGCTTTTGTGGTGGAGGGGAAGCGGCGTCGTCGTCTGAGGTAAAAGCATCGCTGTCGGAGTCTGCGCCGTCATCGGCGATGGCATTATGTATATCGTCGGAATCTGAGGCGAGAAGGTCGACTGCTTTGAAGTCGTCCTCTTCTTTTTTGTTCGATTCGCCTCGGCTTTTTGACTGCCGCTTCTGCTTTTTTGGAGGAGGGGCAGCCTTGTCCTCGAAGGACCTTTTCTTTGATGATGCACCGGCCATTTTGCCGTATCGATATAGCAATGGCTACAAAGTATGCTGCAAGTGTATGTTGCGAAGAGATCAATTACTGCAGATTGTGTTTAGCAGTGGCCGGCAGAACTCTTGGTAGGTAGATTTTTAGGTGGGGCCATGGAGGCGGTCAGCTCACCGAAGTATCACTGGACACACACCTGCACACCTGTAAACGGTGGGTAACTGGTCGTTGAAAAAGATATAACTTCGTAAATAGAAATTCGGACAGGAAGAAAGCTAGAAAAATATAACCACGGAGTACATAAATCACAGAAGTAGCTTGGGAATATTGCGAGCTTGATATACACTATACATGGTGTGTTTGGGTATTACCATCAGCATATTATCAGGCCTAGAATATCTCCTGCTGCCCTCGCTCAAGAGGCTACTCATCAAGAGGCTACTCATCAAGAGACCAGTTTATCTGAGTAATAAAAGAAAATACGTGTAAGACGGACGGACGAAACCAGGTGGTAACCGTCAGATGTCAATTCCGGCTCCTATATCGTCTTCCTTGAAGCCAAAGTGGTGCAGACATATAACTCGATGAAAAAAAAATCCTGGTTTTTCCTTTTTCCATTTTTTTCGGCGATGAACCTGATAATGAATCCGACAGCGGGTTGAATTACTCCGAGTTACCTCTTCCAAGTATAAACTCAACCTTGGATCGATGGTATATTCGGAGATACAGTTGTATTGCATCGCTCAGCCTTGTAGAAGCTGGTGGATATACTGCTTCCATATAAGGTAGCTAGATGATAATTATCTTCGATTTTCCAAAGATTCATCCTTCGTCCGAAATCCGAAGACGATGAGCCCATCCATGTATGAGGTTTCTGGTTCCCGATGAATTACTTCAGCCCACACGGCCTCATGTATGTACGAAGTAATTAATTAATTGTGACCTACTTTGTCCGCATTTGCTGACTGCATGAAAGGATTCTTAGATTGGGTTGACTTTTGACTTCTACACGTGTAGAATCCTAGCTACAGGTCGCTGGCCCCCTGTCCGACCGACTCCGGGGCGATGGTAGACGCCAGATTGGGCCGTGGGCATCCACACTTACTGGGATTCAGGCGACTATTAACGTAAGGATTGGCAACTTGGACCGTTCACAGCCATGAAGACCCCAGAGAAACGATGCCGGGGGTATGCGTGGGGATAGAGCAGCAAATGGATGGCAAAAAGTCCACGCAGCCCCTCGCCCGAGAGAAAGCTTTTCTCCACCAAAACACGCCCTCTTAAGCTGCCATCGTCTAAGCAGCACACTAAATTAATTGCACTAATTAACGACCTTAAACGACCATGACTCCTGCTTCCCCAGAGTCTGCGACTAAGCTCCCGGACGCTCAGGAGTCGCCTCCCAATTCCTCGCCCATCGAGCCGGAGCCGGAGCCCGAGGCCGAGACTGCGCAAGTGGCGACTCGCGACTACAACGACGACGACGACGCCGCCAATGAAGACGCCGACTCGGCCATCGGCGCCGACAGCATCCTTTCCTCCACCGCCTCTCTCACCGAGAGCATCCTCCAGTACCGCCAGCTGCACGGGCGGACCTACCAGAGCACCAAAACGACCGAGTACTGGGCCCCGAACGACGACCAGCAAAACGACGGCCTCGACATCATCCACCACGCCCTCCTGCGGCTGTTCGACGACCGGCTCGTCCTGGCCCCGATCGGGGCCCATCCGCAGCGCGTGCTGGATCTCGGCACGGGAACCGGCGTATGGGCGACCGATTTCGGCGACCAGTTCCCCGGCGCCGAGGTCACGGGGACCGACATCAGCCCCATCCAGCCGACTTGGGTGGCGCCCAACGTCAAGTTCGTCATCGACGACTTTCTGCTGGAGTGGACCTGGCCCGAGGACCATTTCGACTTGATCCACATGCGCGCGCTCTACGGCGTCATCCCGGACCTGGAGGACCTCTACGCCAAGGTCCTCCGCCGCCTGCGCCCCGGAAGCGGCTGGGTGCAGCACGTCGAGATGGAGGTCAAGATCGAGTCGGATCACGTGCGGTTCCCCGAGGACCACATCTTCAACCGGTGGGCCGCGCTGCTGTACCAGGCCGGCGAGAAGATGGGCCGGTCGTTCGCCCTCGCGCAGGGCCACACCATGAAGGAGGCGATGGAGAGGGCGGGGTTCGTCGACGTGGCGGAGCAGAAATGCAAGGCGCCGCTGCATTCCTGGCCCAAGGACCCGAGATTGAAGGAGGCCGGGTTGTACCTCCAGGCGGCCTTCGACCAGAGCGTCGAGGGCTTTGGAATGTTCCTCTTCACCCAGGTGTTGGGGATGGACCGCGATGCCGCGTTGGTGCTCGCCGCTGAGATGCGGAGGGAGACGCGGAAGAAGTCGAATTATCACTGGTTCGAGGTGTAAGAACCTCCTATCCTCTTGTTTTTTTTTTTTTTTGGTCTTTCGTGCTTGCGACTGTACAACTTATGCTAACGAACGAACAGGACGGCGGTGTATGGACGGAAGCCATAGCTCGAATGGACACGCAGATCACGATCAATGCATAGCATATTTTTATTTTTAATGGGGCAATCGTCAAATCCCATGCGTCCAATCTATTCTCTCTCTCTCTTTTCTTTTCTCCATTTTTTATGTATACCCTTTTTTCCCCTTTTTCCCCTTTTTCCCCTTTTTCCCCTTTTTCCCCCTTTTCCCCTTTTCCCCCTATTCCCCCTTTTTTCCTTCTTCCTTCCCTCCTCCAGCATTCCAGCCCGAGATGGCTAGTCTTGAAACTACACCAGCCTCCTTTATACGAGACTCACACGATCAATCGGTACCGATTAAATTGGTTCCCCCATTGCGAAGGCCGGTTCAAAAGACATCATCTACAGTATACTAACGCTTCCGTAAAATGAGACACGCGCGAAGACCAGATGCAGCGGATGGAAAAGCGAGCTGGTCATGCCGTTGAACTGCAAACGCCATTTGAGGTCCAGGTTCAAAAAAGTGACTGCGGTCGTCTGTTTTTGTCTCTCAAGACGCTGATCCCAATGGCCGCGGGTTGCCAAGACCCGACTGGGGAATGCTGATGCGAACGGGGGTTTGCTCTACTCGCAGCTTCGACCTGTGGGTATACCAGTGCCCCGATGACCGGTTTCGGGCATGGATGATGGATACCTTGATATACTATGTATGAAGGAAGACGATGCGCTGGATATTGACTGGTATCGTGATCGGGTTCCTGGACGGCGCCGGACGTCCTTCGTGGGCATCAGGGGTTCACACGTGGGGTATACCGACGCTTACCGAAGCATCTAACCCTCGGTGAACGGTAAGTGTACTGTAACATTATATCCCGACATCGCCAACATGGTCATCCACTTCGCACTCCTATGGTCAACGAACCTCTCAAAATAGACCAGAGTCTCCACTGCTCTGCCTACTTGAACGGCTCTAACCTTCGTCCTCCTCTTTGCATCCGGCTTTACATCTTCATAGCATGATGACACATGACGTTTGTTAGAACTTAGAAGAGCTTTTTAACAACTATGGCCTCGCCAACCTGACCCCCACGATAGTAGACTTAGACAAGTCACACATCTCACTTCCGGGTTCGGAAAAAAACAGTGGTCCTCGTGGACGCCACACGCACGATTCCGCCTCAAGTCAATGACGAGTATCAACCGGAACAAGAAGAACATGCGAGCCCCGGTCCGCCCAGGCCATCGGATGGGTCGGGATGGGCCGGGAGACTACCTAGGTAGTGTGAGGGCCTCGATGCCATGCCTCGTCCTCATTCTCCTGGTTAGCATCCTGGAGCGGCTGCTCCAACTTCTCGAAAACCGTAATCCCATAATTATGAGATGTCAGGCCAACGTTTGCAGCCATCGAGCGGAGTTTGAGGTCCCGCTATCCGTTGAAAACAGGGAGAGAGAGAAAGGAAAAAGGATCGAAAACGAAGAGGGGGAGAGAGATAAACTGGGAGCGAGCTTTCGCATTCTTCGACCGTTGGGTGGGTGAGGTGAGGTGAGACATCACCAAATAGATCCATAGAATCTTCAGATTCCAGACGCAGTCGATCCATTCTTCCCTTGTTTTCCTCGAGATTCTTGACGCATGCCAGGCGAGGTCGGAACGATAGGGATATTGAGATCGAAGATCGAGGGAGCCGGTTCCAGTAAAGCTGCGTTATCGAGCACACCGAGTCAAGAGAAGCTAGTTGTTAAAGCTGATCCGCATTCGCCGAAAACGACGGCAAAAGTCCTCACCTCCAAGTATAAGAAAGCCATTCATTTCCGTCCCAGACAACGACTCTTTTCTGTCCTCCTCATCACACACACAAGACCTCCCTACTGCCTCGAGCCCCTCGCTCAGCATTCCCGAGGCTTTTCTTTCTCGCTCTTCCCCCTTTGTTTTGCCCCCCCCCCCGTCACTCGTTTCCAAAAACCAGTCACTCGCTAGGCATCTCGCCCAATCCCTTCCCCTCCCCCCCTTCGACAATAATGCGTTACATCTCTGCTCTCGCTGCCCTGGGCGCCGCCCAGGTCGTGGCTGCCGGCAGCGGCGCCTTCAAGCCCCTCCGTGCCATTGAAGTTCGCCAGGACCCGGAGGTGACTTCTGCCATTGAGAGCAGCGTCGTCCCGTCTTCTGTTGCCAGCAGTGTCCTGTCTTCTGTTGCCAGCAGTGTTCAGTCTTCTGTTGCCAGCAGTGTCCTGTCTTCTGTTGCCAGCAGTATTCAGTCTTCTGCGGCTAGCAGTGCCCAGGCTTCTGCCAGCAGTGCCCTGTCGTCTGCCAGCAGTGCCCTGTCGTCTGTCAGCAGTGCCCTGTCGTCTGCGACCAGCGGCGTCCTGCCCTCTGCGAGCAGCGTCTTGTCCTCGGCCAGCAGCGTCCTGTCCTCGGCCAGCAGCGCTCTGTCTTCCGCCAGCAGTGTCCAGTCCTCTGCCAGTAGTGCTCTGTCCTCCGCCAGCGACGTCTCCTCTCCGAGCGGCACCCCCACTTCCTCCGCGGCTCCTGTTCCGACGAACCCCACCATCGCCGGTAACTTTGCCTACGTGGGGTGCATTGGCTCCCCGGACGGCTTCCCGACCTTTGAGCTCGCCCAGACCTCCGAAGAGATGTCCAGCACACTGTGCGCTGCCACTTGCGATGGCGTCTCTCGCTTCTTCGGTCTTTTCGGATCGTAAGTTATTCGTCCCTCCCCCCGGAACACACCCGCCCTCAATCGAGTGAGACTAACAACATGGCCAGTGACTGCTATTGTGGTGACGACTTGAGCGGCGCCGAGACCGTCGGTGATGATCTCTGCGACATTCCCTGCCCCGGAAACGCCGCGCAAGCCTGCGGTGGCTCCCTCGCCCTCCCGCTTGTCCGTCGCCAGGGTATTCCCACCACCATCCTGCTGACTGTGTACATTCGAATCGACGGTCCCGGGGTTACCGAAACTGAGACCGTCACCGGCACCGTCACTGCCACCGACACCATCATCGGCACCGTTACCGGCACCGTCACCACCGTCACCACCCAGACCATTACTCTCACTGACACGGACGGCTCCGTCACCACCGCCACGGAGACCTTCACCAAGACCCTCTGCCCGACCTGCGGTCCCTGCTACGGGCCCTGGTGCCCCCAGCCCCCTCGCCCCACGTCCACGCCCGCGCCCGGCCCCGAGCCCTGCGCCGGCGACGACTGCTACAAGAAGATCATCTGCTACGGCAAGTGGTGCACCTTCGACTACCCCTGCCACGGCGACTGGTGCCACCGCCGCATCGTGTGCAAGAACGACATCTGCTTCCCGGACCTCTGCTACGGCGGCGACTGCCACCGGCGCGTCTCCTGCGAAGGCGACGAGTGCAAGTACGCCCGGTGCGAGGGCGACGAGTGCTACAAGAAGAGGCTCGTCTGCTACGGCGACCGCTGCAACTGGGTCGAGTGCCACGGCGACGAGTGCAAGAAGAACTGGGTCTGCCACGATGACCGCGAGTGCCGCCCCGAGCCGTGCCGCGGCGACGAGTGCTTCCAGGAGCTGCACTGCCGCGGCGGCCACTGCAGGCCGGAGCCCCCTTGCGAGAACTGCCGCCCTGAGCCGCCCTGCGACGACTGTGAGCCTGTCTACCCCGTGCCCGTGCCCGAGCCCGTGCCCGAGCCTCCTTGCGACGACTGCAAGCCTGTCCAGCCCGTGCCTGTGCCCGAGCCCGTGCCCGAGCCTCCTTGCGACGACTGCGAGCCTGTCTACCCCGTGCCCGTGCCCGAGCCCGTGCCCGAGCCTCCTTGCGACGACTGCGAGCCTGTTCAGCCCGTGCCTGTGCCCGAGCCCGTGCCCGAGCCTCCTTGCGACGACTGCGAGCCTGTCCACCCCGTGCCCGTGCCCGAGCCCGTGCCCGAGCCTCCTTGCGACGACTGCGAAGCTATCCAGCCCGTGCCTGAGCCGGAGTACTCTCACGTCGTCGTGGCTGGAGCCGACAAGGCCATTGCCAGCATTGGCGTCATGGCCTTCGCTGCCGCCGTCTTCGTCCTCTAAGCAGCAACAGTCAATTTTCTCACACTACAGCCGCAAATAATCAGGAAAGGACGTTCTCTTCTTCAGGCATCCTCATCGTGACCCTCGCTTGTAACCAGCTTTGTGCGTCGAGACTGGTGTGGCACTCTTCCACGGAGTCATGGGGTTTCTTCTTCAATCTTGTTAGCCCATGGGGGGTTTCAGGTCGGATATTGTCCCAAAGCAACCATGAGATTCGACACTTCATTTCTTAGCTAATAATACACGATCGCATTCCTGAAATACCGCTGTGCTGTTCCATGTTTGGTATTGTGCAATGGCCGGTTGTGTCATATTGCTCGTGAATGTTAGCAGTGTACTTGGCGTAGAAGGTGTCGGCCATGTAGATGCCGTCGAGCCACATCTGATTCTCGTAGATGGGAGAGCGGCGCCAGAAGCCGCCCGTCGGGTACGCGGGGGACGGTCGAGCATGGCACGAATGACGGTAGCGGCCTTCTTGTATTTCTCCTCGCCGGTGCGCTCGTACCAATACAGAACATTGTGGGCCGATGCGGTAGTCGTCGAGAGAGCAATGCGACTCGTTGAAGCCGAGAAGGCTGCCCTCCTCTAGGACGAAAAACATCGTCGATCTGGCTACGGTACCACTCAAGGAGCGTCTCATGGCCAGTGAGCTCGATGGCGGCCTCGCAGCCCTCGTACAGGGGCAGCGCGACCGTACCACAAGGGTCTGCTGGCCTCGTTATTGTTGTGGATCCAAGAGCCCGCCATAAGGGACAGGTAGGGCTTGGAGATGGCGACGGCAGCCGTGCCGGTGGCAAAGAGGAGCGAGGACTTCATTGTAACGGCTGGCTATGAAGAGCAGCTCGGCTAGGGTAGGTTATCGGCTCCCAGCAGTAGCTCGGCAAGGCGATCGAGCAAGCAGTAGGTAGAGTGACGACAGATGCAGAAAATGGAGACGATGCCGATCATGCAGGTCGTGGACGGGACGTGCAAGCCTTGCCCGTGTCGGCTGGAGATGCACTACGGAGAATTGTCCTTTACTTCGTACTTCTCTTGAGACCCAGAGGAAGAGCGGAGAAAGCGAATGGCGATAGGCGCATTGCTCATTGCCGAGTCACTTGAAGACTCGACGGACATTCATTTCTCCAGCGAGTTGCGAAGGCTGTCGACGGAGCTGGGCAGACGATAGAAAGGTGGGAATCCCAGGAAGTGAACGTCTGCTGATGCTCGATGCTGGCTTGACGGACGGGTTTTCCTGTCCATAAAACCCCGTCACGGACCGTTAAAGTCTGACCACGATGTGACCATGTTGGCGATGATGGCGAAGGCCTATCCTGGACTTAAGGGAGCTCAGCTCTCTGCGAGGCATGGACGAGGCGAATCTGTCTGATCGGACTTTGGTAGACACTCGAAGTTGACGGGAGACGAATTCCCTTTTCTCATTTGATGGATGAACTATCCAGCGGGAAGCCAGTATAAAACGAGCAATGAGTCGGCGCTTCAAAGCAGAATGGCGGGAATCAGGGAATGAGCAGCTGTGGTGTTGAAGAAAATCATTAGCTGTGTTGGGATAATGCGTCGGAGCATTGACCATCTCGACTTGACCACGGGTGTGGATTTGATTACTAATACTTGCTTTGCGACCTGTTTTTTTTTTCACTTTTTTTTATTTATTTTTTAACCCAAGCGAGACGTCCATCCTCGGCTCAATCAAAGTGTTAGGCAACGAAATAATGAGACCGCAGCCTACATTCACAACGGCAATTCTGCCAAGCTGCAGGTCTGTAGTAATAGTAGTATCCTCTGCCAAATCTAATCGATTTGAGCTAGCGCACTAATTTACTCATAAAGTTCATAAACCAAATCTTCGCAAGCCTTTCCCTTGGCCCAATTCTTCCATCGTATGCCGACTCCGCACGCTCATCACAAATCGTCATGGAATGGCAATAGATCAATAGATCATGAGAGCCTGGCGGGTTCGCTAAACACCGCTTTATTCTTCCTCAGATTCTTCCCCAGAGCTTTCCGATGCACTGTTCCCCGTATCCACCGGAGAGGCGGTCACAGCAACTCTGGGGGGCGCCGTCTGGATCTCCAAGTCGCCCTCCAGCTCCTCGACAAACCTCTTCCAATCCATGCCCGTGTAGGCCCGCACGTCCGGGACGGCACGCCGGCCTTCGTCGGCTTGAGCGACCAGCGACTTGAAGTTGACAACGCAACTGAGGATGCCCGGCGTATCCTGCATGGGCTGACCTATCATGACATGCTCGAGCTGAAGGGGCAGCGCCCGCATCTTCTTGAGGAGCTGGACCCATAGATTGGGCGGCGGTTTTTCGTGGAAGTAAACATGTGCAAGATCACGCTGCTGCAGCACGACTCTCCAGAGCTCCACCCTCTTCAGCGTGGGTGCGAACTTGCGCAGGATTCGAATAAACATGCTGGGGCAGACACGCATGTGGCCCAAGTCTAGCTGCTCGAGCGCGGGCAGGCCGACCGGGTCGATGGTGCGAGGAAGGTTTGTCGCGGGGTCGACGGCAGGAGCATATGCAAGTGCGGACAGCTGCGCGTCAAGGCATGTCGGAGTCGGAGTCGGAGTCGGAGCGGGACTACCGAGCCACTGGAGAAACGAGGTGGGGCCCGGGCCCACGGGGTTATTTTGGAAGTTGATGCGCAGATGCTTCAGGTTAGATAAGTGGGCGACAAAGAGACGGAGTGGGAAGTCGGGGCATTTTTCCAAGTCCTGCCCCCGGGCGCCGTTGACATTGACATTGTGGCTAGGGCCATCGGCACCAGCACTGCCGGTGGAACCGCCGCCCGAGGCAGGAACGTAGTGGCAACTTCGAGTGGCCCCAATTTCCAAATCGAGAGCCAGGAAAAGGGTCGTCAGATTGCGTAGTACGGGGACCACGGTGGGGTATGAGAAGCCGGGGAGGTAGAAGGAAATCGGGCGCAGGACGCCGCGGTGACGACGGAGAACCTCGATCGATTGGGGACGTGCCTCGGCGGCGCCGAGGGCCGTCAAGACGAGCGAGAAGACTTGGCTAGGCCAATACGGGGCTATATCGCGGCCCGAGGCGAAGCGCGACGGAGAGTCCGTCATGATATTAACGCCGGTCTGGTTCATGACGGTCGTGGCACCATAGCTCGCCCAGCGAGCGTTGGATCCATCACGGCTTCTCCGGCCATCCGAGTTGTAATCGCGGATGCCGATGGTGGTGGGTTTGAGGTTGCGGAAGGCCGTGGTCAGCATGTGGGCGGCTCGGCCGCTCCAGATGAGAGCCTGCTGACCTTGGAAGCCCTCGCGGTAGATGGTCTGCTGGATCGGATTTGCAAAGTCGCGGTCAGAGTAGCGGTCGAGGCCGATGATGACATGCTTGAGATGCTCCGCGAGGCGTGAGTTGGAGATATCAATGAGGGTTTGTAGGCTGTGCTCGGTGAGCATAAATTGCTTTTTGGAGAAGAACTCTCTGGCATAGGCGAGGAAAAGACAGGATTCAATGGTGCGGCAGGTGAGACGCAAAGCATTGAGGTCTTCCGTCTTGAGCTCAGCGCTTATCCGGAGCCAAAGCTCGACAGGGACCTCGTGTAAGGGGCTACCAGCCGACATGTTTCTTTCTGGGATTGTAGCTGCGCAGAGTAAAAGGGAAGAAGTCGGAGGGCAAGTAAGTAATTTCAGTTCTATTTTGTTTTCGTTGGTTCTTGGTAATTGACCCGGGTTGTGCTTGCTCGGAGGAGATGCGCGTCCAGAAATAAATAATGCCGCGACAGACGAGAAGGAAGCGACCTCAAAGTGAGAAAGAAGCAAGACCTGAGGTTTTGAATAGGGAGCAGGGAACGGTACGCAGGATATAACCTGGAAGCTTCCTATTATCTGACGTTTGGAATGGAATGTGGAAGTTCATAGAAATCACAAGCCCTGTCTAGGTACCTGCCAGATATTAACGGAAGTCGGAGCTTATGAGGACAAGCTTGGACTCCTTTGGGGCTGCCTGCCTGCATCAGAGGTGCCAAGATGTCTTCTATGCTGTTAGTACGTGTAGTCTGTTTAATAAGCAGCGGGATAGCCCCCGCAGCGCAGGGGCGAGCATTAGGGGCTTGCCGCAGGGCAAGCAACCAAGCTCGTACTAAGCACTACCATTTATCTTGGCTTCTGCTTTCTGCTGCTTTCTCTTTTTCTTTTGGTCTTCTTTCTGATACCAGAATGGTTAAACGTGTAGTTGGGTCGCGTCACCTCGTACCTTTCGAAATACCTTAGGCCACGGTGTCGTAAGCAGGCAGCAGGACACTATATCACGTGACTTGGCGATCAATTTACGGCGCGAAACCACGTGATTTAGGCACCAGCGCGTGGAGACCGTGAAGGTGGAGACATTAGGGGAATATTACCGGGGACCGTTCATAATTGGGTGTCTAACATCCCATGTGTGTTTACGTCCTTGCCGCATTAAGAAGGGGCCCGCTGAGAAAGGTTGAGGATCCCTGTGGGTGCCTGTTGTACCTTAGGTACTACCTTAAGTTAGTCCCTGCGTCGTCAACTTTAGAAGTACCTTATCGATTTGGTCGTTGTTTCCGTACTTTGTCACCGAGGCTCGATGTTCGTAGTCCAATGACGAGGTTTAAAAACCTTTTGGCGAGCCCAAGAGCCTGGGGCTTGGACGGAAAGATTAAAACCCAGGACATTTGTCCCAATTGTTGCGAAATGCCCGAACAACTTCATTTCCCCTCTCAACTCGACCGTCTGCAGTTTCTTATTTCCTCAAGAATCGGGCACTGAACAAACACATCGACGTCCAGGGCCCTCCCTCTCGTCCTTTTAGTCTGAGGGATCGATCACGCATAAGTAAGTAAGCAAAGGCAGCATTGACAGCACCCGGAGATATGATCTCGGCGTCTGTTCTTTTCCTTCCCTCTCAATCCAACTGCCCCCTGGCTTTCCCCTCGGAACTGACATGTTGTCGTCCAACAGTCTAGCCAGGTCGACCTATATCCCCCATTCCTTAATCGGTCATTGTTCAAACATGACCAACGCGCTTCGCGGTTGCGTCATCGCATTGGGCGGGAGTTTCGCATGGGACGTGGCGGCCTACGTCAGTACGCTCGGTGCGGACTTCAACCTTAGATTTTCCAAAAAGACAACCCATGTGATCACCACCGACAAGGACGTCACGAAGAACGCCAAAGTGCGCCAGGCCCGGGCCCGTGGCGGTTGCCATATTATCAGTGTCGAATGGGCCCAGGAATCGGGGCGCCTTGGGTGCAAAGCCGACGAGGCCAAGTTCGCCTTTGACGACAAGAGCACCAGTAATGGCTCCGTGCCGGCTCGGGCCGGAGGGCGTACTACTAGATCGGCTGCTGCTCAGTCTGTCGCTGCTCAGCCCGCCAGTGCCAGTGTGGTGCAGGATGCTGGTAACGATACCGGCTTTCCGATTCGCAAGTCCACCAAACGAAGCGCCCCAGATGCCGATGAGACCGATGCCCAGAATGGTAACAAGGACGACACAGTCTCGCAGTCCAGCAAGAAGTCGAAGGTGACCAAGTCTGAGGAAGAGGAGAAGGATAAGAAGGAGGAAGAGGAGAAGGTTAAGCAGGGGGAGGTCAAGGAAAAGGAAGAGGTATCCGAGGGCCAGATCGCCAAGTCAAAGGACGTCGTCATCCCTCTCGACGAAGGTGTCACCTTGGCCAACGCCAAGGTCTACATCGACCCCAGCGGCGTCATATACGATGCCGCCCTCAACCAAACCAACGCCGGCCGCAACAATAACAAGTTTTACCGGGTCCAGCTCTTGCAGAGCGGTTCGACTTACATGACGTGGACTCGCTGGGGCCGAGTGGGCGAGTATGGCCAGACAGCCATTCTCGGCCAGGGCACCCTTGACGATGCGCTCTCCCAGTTTAACAAGAAGTTTAAGGACAAATCGGGTCACCGCTGGGAGGATCGCGCCAAGGATCCTAAGCCTAACAAGTACGCCTTTGTGGAGAAGAATTACAACCCGGATTCCGATTCCGAGTCCGAGTCCGGCGCGCCCGATGTCAACATGAAGGATATCGACGCCGATGAAGAACCGGGACCGGAACCGGAGTGCAAACTTGATCCCGCAGTCCAGGACCTCTTGGCCCTTATTTTCAACCAGCAGTACTTCGCGGCGGCCATGTCAGAATTCAACTACGATGCCAACAAGATGCCACTGGGCAAGCTGAGCAAAGCAACTATCACCAAGGGCTTTCAAGCGCTCAAGGACCTGTCGGAGCTGTTCGACAATCAAACTTTGGCGCAATCGATTTACAGCACCGACTATGGCTCGGCAACCGAGATGCTGTCCAACAGGTTCTACTCCTTGATCCCGCACGATTTTGGGCGGCGACGGCCACCCATCATTCGCACCGAAGCCCTGCTCAAGAAGGAAGTCGAGCTTCTAGAGAGCTTGTCCGACATGAAGGACGCGGCGGAGATCATGAAGCTGGACCGTGTGAAAGCGGCCGGCAGAGACAATGTGCACCCGATGGAGCGCCAGTTCCTGGGCCTGGGCCTCGACGAGATGACGGTGCTGAACCCGAAGAGTAACGAGTTTGATCAGCTGAGCCGGTATCTCATGGAGACCAAGGGCAGCACGCACTACGTCAATTACAGCAAGGTGGAGCAGATCTTCCGCATCGACCGGGCCGGCGAGCGAAGCCGGTTCGAGAAGTACAAGGATGAGATGGGGCAGACGCCGGGGCTGGTGGCCAAGACGGAGCGACGCCTGCTCTGGCACGGATCGCGGGCCACCAACTTTGGCGGCATCCTGAGCCAGGGCCTGCGGATCGCGCCGCCCGAGGCGCCCTCGACGGGCTACATGTTCGGCAAGGGCATCTACCTGGCCGACATGTCGTCCAAGTCGGTGAACTACTGCGTGCCGAGTCTGTCGGGCAACACGGCGCTGCTGCTGCTGTGCGAGGCCGAGCTGGGCGACCCGATGCAGGAGCTGGTGCACGCCAGCTACTCGGCGGGCGAGGAGGCCCAGAGGAAAGGCCTGGTGGCGACTTGGGGCCAGGGACGGACCGGTCCCACGGCGTGGAAGGATGCGGGTTGCGTGCACCCTTCGTTGAAAGGGGTCAAGATGGTAAGTTACCTGGCCCACGCATGGGAAGACGAAGAACGAAGGGAGAGAAATATGCTAACCTGCTACGAAAAAACGAATAGCCCGATGTGAGTGTCAAGCCCGGGGATAGCGGAATTGCATCTGCAGGCCTATTGTACAACGAGTACATCGTATACAACACTTCTCAGGTCCATCTTCGTTACTTGCTCCGTGTGAAGCTGGGTTGACGGGAGGGGGTTGAGCGAGAGACGAGAGGGTCGAATGGGATATAGTATCGTTGTTTTGGAGCTGGGCAGAAGTTTTGCATCAGTAAACGGATAGGAGTTGGGTGCCTGGGAATGGAGTATTCCAAATGTCTTTGCTTATTCCGGCTTCACAAGGGGTCTTTTTCAGGGTTTGTTTGTCTCTTCCACAAGGTAGTCTACTTGCATGAAATTAGAAATTGACGTTTGCAATCTTGGATCTCCATTGCTCCGTGACTGTTGTACTAGCTTCAGCGATGTCTTCAAAATATCTGTCTTCACGGTGTTGCGTGCCCTTCGATTGATCTCGTTTATATTCTTCCTTTTATTTCCTGGCCTTTATAAGAGGCATCGTCAAAGAATACTAGCACATACGACCATACCCACTGGAAAACTCGGGATCCCGTCCAGCTCTGACTTTTATCAAGTATGCTGCTATGTCTGGAGTCCTCTGCCTCCACTTTCGGCAGCCCCAGCCTCCAAAGCCACACACAGTTACACCTCCCCACATATCCTTTCACTCTAATTTTAGAAAACTGGCCTTCTGAGGAGCTGTTCCCTTGGTAACTTAATCAGGAAGCAACCGTATAGTAAACGGGAAGTTTCCGTTATATTACCTGACTATAACGAAACGGGCAGTCTAGGTTATACCCCCTCTATCGCTTATTACGGGGCGCTGCGTTTTAGACTGGAGTGGAGTCGTAATTGAAAATTTGAATATCGGATTAGGCTTACGCTTTATATGTTCTCGAATTACGCGAACCGCTTCCGAAGTAATAATATTCTCTCCTCTCTGCTATCCATACCTTTATTACTTCCATTACATACTCTAGCGACCGACCGTATTATATAAAAGAGCCTCTAAAGAGCAATCTGCCTACTCGAGTCAAGACTCTAGTAGAAAAAGCGAAGAACCTAGGCAACCGTAGGCAAAGGCTATCGAAAAATAGCTCTCTTACGCGCTGCTAGGGATAGACTGCTATTCCCCTTACCCTGCCCGTTATGGCTGACTCCTACCCGTGCCCCGTCCTACTTAAAACTAGTGAGTGGACCTATTAGACTCACTTATTAGACTCACCAGTTTTAAGTAGGACAGGCACGGGTAATCCTTCGTATTCGTTATATTTTAGGAGACGTGCTATGGTGACTTTGTATCTGTTATTGGTCAGTGCGCCCATACACCTCTACGAGGATTTAAATATATTAATTTGTGTGTCCAATGAGTCCACTCACCAGTTTTAAGTGGGACGGGCACGGGTAATCCTTCGCATTATGACGATTTTAGGAGACGTGCTATGGTGACTTTATATCTGTTATTAGTTAGTGCGCCTATACACCTCTACGAGGATTAAATATATTAGTTTATGAGTTTTCTCCACGTCTTAATCGCTTATTGGATTAGCCTGCCGATCCGTACTTTTCCACCTATTTTCTATAGGTAGATACAAAGCTAAATGTTGCTACCGGGAGTGACGAGGACCGATCTTAGGCAGTCGAAGCTATCACGAGATTCATGGCTTTTACGACTTAAACGCTCTAACTTTAAACGCTTATAACTTTACTAATTTAATAATAATCAGTTTTTCGAAGCTGTTGCCAGATTTAACAGAAGAAGACCTTATTAATATAACCTCTATTAACCTCCTATCTTTCTTAACCGCGCCTTAGGGTAGCGCTAAAGATATAGTTTATACGTTAAGAGGGATAGCGAGAGATAGATATTTATGTGGTGTTAAGGAAAGGAATTAGTATTTTTCTGTAAGTTAGAGGTACTTAGAACTAGGGGAGTTGCTTTTTAAGAAGTTACCTAACCCTTGTGCCGTTTCCCCTGAGGCCGCCACGGCAAAGGGCAGTACCACCGCCCTAAAGCACCAAAACGGCTTCACGTTCGGATTTCGGCTCCACTAAACAACGCACTTTATAAGAAAATGGTAAGTAAACTCTTTACTACCGTGATCGGTGCTATATAGTATTCCCCACGGATTACTAGCGATAAACTAAATAAGAGTCACCTTACGACCAGAAAATAAGTAACGGGTCTCTTCCTATTTAACCCTGTCCACTAACTCGCGACCTTGCGGTTTCGCTATGAACTGTCGCTTTGCTTCGCACCGCCGCTAGAAAGTTCTTTACTAATATTCCTACTAGCTCCGAAAAAAGGGCGAGATAGGAACGCTATCCTGCTCGATATAGACGCACGAAGACGGAAAGGCTCTGCCGCTTTCGCCTACTCAAGTGCGGATGCCGATACGGGATATATAGAATCGGTAGGTATATATCGTAAATAGCTACTCGTAACTAATTCCTTATATAAACGCCGCTATTTTTAGCTAGCAGTGCCCGCCACACAAAGCGGCCTATCGATAATACGTAGTGCCTGTATATTACGCCCGGCAGTAATTTGCCGGGTATACCTATCCGAGCGTTATTTCAGCCCTCGAACCGCTATTCGCGTAGCCGGGTCGGTATTAGGGCGCTATAGTAGAATACCCGTAGGCCCCGAAATAAAGTGGCGGTCCCGCCGTAGTGCCCCTATACGTAGTAATATCTCTGCCTTGTATCGGGTCCCGGCGGAGGCCTGCCGTTAAGCCTATTTTCTCCTTAACGTTAAGGCTAAGTCTTCCGTCCTCCCTCGGGGCGAGACTAATATATATCTAAAAATAATAAATTACCTATAAAAGGAACGGCTTCTTTTCCTTCACGGCGGCTTCTCTCTCTAGCGGACGCCCTTAAAAGCGGCCCCTATAGCAAGTAAATAAATTCAACTAAGGAAACCAAATCTGAATCGTCCACCCCCGTATACTAATCCCCGTAACGCATTCCTTATTTAACCGCTCCGTCCCCTCGATATCCGCTTTCATATTAATATACCAAGCGCATCGCCATTTATGCCCCTTTCCTTTAACCTCCTTATTTCCAGGGGCGTCGACGGCCTGTATTTCCCCGTGGGCGAGGGGGGCGTTAGTCCTTATACGACTTTGTTCTATGACTTTTAGCGTAAGGTTTTGATAGTATACGGCGGTGGGGTAGTAGTCTTAGAAAGGTGTTAGAGGGCGGCGATTCGACGGCTATGATATAGTTGTTAGGGTATCTCCGTGGTACGTCGTGGAGCGTTTATAGGCTGGTTAGTCTTTGCCTACGGTCTTCGGCGTAACTATTTTCGGGACGGCGGAGGCGCGATAGTAAGCGAAGATTTATCTTAACACGCCGTAATCCGTGCGCTGCGACGTAGTTCTTAGGGTATCGCCCGAGAGGCGTCTATTAACTAAAGTAAACGCCGGATAGCTCGCGGCCTCTATACTTCCTCTTAAGATATAGGCCGATCGTAGTCGATCGCTAAAGACGCTCGCTTATACGCACCTCTCCCTTCTGCTAAGATTATATTATTACCTGGCAGCAGGCTAAGCTCTTCGTAACCCTGCTTTTGCCTTTTAGGGCCCTTATCTATAACAGAGATAAGCTTCCTCTTCCTAGTCTTTATCGCATTAGATCCAGCATCAGTCGTCTTCCTTTATATTAACTCTGCTTCGATTAAAGGAAGTTATTCTAGAACCTATGGCAAGAGGTTGCCCTGACGGGCTGTATCCTCTTTTGTATTTCTGTAGCTAAACGTCCCGCGAACGAAATCTATAACGAGATTACTTCGTCTTTATAACCGCTCTGGTCTGGTTTTTACTGCTACTAGTTCCGCTATAGCTTTCTATAATATCTTTCTCCTTTCTAATATAGTAATGTCTAGTCGATGTGAATCTTATTGGGTCACCGTGTAGATTCTTTTAGCCTCTGCTATTACCGTCTTTATAGTCTCCTATACCCTGTCCTTCTCGGCTTAATACCGTATCGAGTATTAGGTAGTCTATATAAATTCCTGCGTCTCGTGAGGCCTTAACACACCTAAGTCCACAAGTTCCTGCTAAGCCTTATCGTGATCTGGCTTTAGGCGCTTAATGGACTTGGTATACTTATCGAGCTACTAGTATTCGAAGTTAAGGTACTCGATCTATATCGTTAACCTATCTTATTGCTTAGGGTCCTCTCTTAGTTAGAACGGTTAAGTAAAGCCGTGTCGCGCTAGGCGTCGCCTTACTGCTTCGGTATAATTGGGGAATCCGTCATAGCGATATTCCCTATTATAGTATCGCTACCGTTCGCGTTCTAATTACTTATATTTCCATAACGACTTCCGTATTTCGTTATATTTCTGCTCCGTTAGCCCCGGCTAAACGATCCCGTCCTTCGCCTCTTAGCGCTTATCCGCCTCGATAAACGCTTAGAATCCACTATTATTATCTTTAAGATCCCGGTTATCTCGTTGCTATTTACGGAAATCCTGCCATCATTCCCACTGCCTCTGGAATATCTCCTAGGACTTTAGGTCAGAAGGGTGTTACTATAGTCGTAACGTCTCCTGATACTCTTCCGGGTTACTGAAAACCTGCTTAAGAAGGTCGATCGGGTATAGTGGGCAGCCGCCATCGTTAACAAGGTTATAATATACCTTAGGCTCTCTGTCTCTAGCGTCGCCCTCGAAATCGACGAATAGAGTAGGGGACCGTAACGTTTCTATAATACGTGGCCGAACTCGCGACGAGGCACTATTATTATTAGACGATACTTTACGTAGGCGTGCGTCGAGCTAGTTAAGGTCAAGTGGGCGGGAGTGGATCGTAGGATTCTGCGTAAGGGCTCGTTCCTATACCCTAGATAACTATTAGCAAATAAGAAACTAGTAGCTTAACAGGTAGGCTAAACGAGTGGTTTACTTTAATCTCTTAGTAAGATAATCTCGCTTATCCTTCGACAATATATTCCAGCCGTTAACGGGAAGCTCGAAATCGCTATTAGAATAGCGGTGCTTCTCTATAAACTAGGCGAGCTCTGTATCGCTAAAGGTAAGGAGGTCTTACACGGATAATACCGCGGTCGATAGTTCTAGGAAAGATATTCTACTAGGAATCAGAGCAGACTCGAACTTAATATAGACTAATACTTCCGCTTAGTAGATAGTAGGCACGGCTAACTTTTATTAATAGTAGTAGGGGCTATAGCGATTAGGTAATATTGGCCTCAGGCAGCAACTTCGTCACCGGGGTCTAACCAGGCATTACGCGGCATATTACCTAATTACACTTCTAGTATACTTACTTACTAGAGAACATAGTGGAAATAAATATACCAGGTGTGAATATAATTCGCCTTATCGGATGTTCCTGTCGGATAGGCTAATTAGATAAAGCCGATACCCGCTTTATTATTTAGCTGGGTGTGCGGGGTA